AGTGCTAACCAGCTTTCAGAAGATTAGATGAAGAACTCATCTTTGAACTGTGATATTAACAGGATTTGTTTATCTCTCATTTTGTTTTGATTAAAGTTATCAATTTTAGAGATTAAACGCAAGTCAAACATTATATAGATAGCTATTATATCACTGGGTTCTAATATATTATATATTATATCTATCACTAGATAAAGCTACAGAAGAGCTAAGTAAAGAAAATTTTATCAAATTCTGAGAAGATGTATAAAAGCTTTTCATAATGAAAAGCTTTAGATATCTCAAAGAGAACTAGAGCTTATAAGACTATAGCTATCAAAGATAAAGATATAAAAGTATATGATAGTCATACATCTATTATGACTCCTTGAAATACTGCAATGAGTGCAAAGACTGATACAACTTAAAATCAAAGTGATATAGTAAGATATTCGCTTTTTCTATCTCGCCAATCTTAGTATCTGATAGTAAGCACAACCCATTTAGTTAACAGGTAAAGCCTTCAATAAACTAAAATAAAAACAATAATATACTAGAATATTGCTTGAGATAGCTCTGTAAGTTTCGTTTAGCATAATGCAAAAAAAAAAAAAAAATAAATAAATAAATAAATAAATAAATAAATGAGAAGAAAAGTAAGTAAAAAAATCAAATGAGATAGAAATCAATGATATTTTGTTCTACTGGATCTATACGCTTGTAATATGAGATTACGGAGATATTTATATTTAGAAGCAAGGCTTTTAAATGCTTGAAAATATAATAAAAATAGGTAACTAGAAGCGGCAATATAGTGGCAATATTGTCTATATAATGCTCGCTATTATCCGTAGGTCTTAGGAGATCAGCGATTAGCCTTGAATATAAGAGATTACTACCTTAGCCTTTATACTCTTATCATTAACGCTATTATGCTTTACCATCCTATTCCCACCTCTTACAACGCTCTTTTCAATAATATTTTTCTATAATACTAATACTGACTTTACTAATTTAACAATATTCATTATACAAAGTGCGTGCGTGAGAGAACTTTCATATATAAAATATTAGATTTATACTTGCTTTCTATCACTACAGGCTCAGCTATTATCAGTTAGCATATAGATATGTAGTTCTCATCGGCTAGGTTGGTTATATATACTGTACATCTGATTTATCATGTTTATGATTGATGATATAAGATACTAAAGAAATCTATATTCTCAAATCTACACAAATTTTCTCTGTTCTGATATGCTGTGACATGTATATTACTTGTCAAGGCACTTGATCTGTAGTAATTTTTGACTTTTATCATCTTTATTTATATTGCCACTAATATGATGAAAGGAATTTTATGAATATGATATTTCTTTCAGAAGTATGTAGATTTTCATATTGACTTTTATCATCATGACTTTTTTCCGCTTAATTATTTTAAATATCTACTATCATTATCAAAAACTTGAATATATAGCGCGCAGATCAAACAATACGATGATTGAAGTCTTCAATTGCGTAGATAAATATGCAATCTACGCATCTCCTATATCCTCTGTAACTTTTATATAATCAACATAACCGGTTATACCTTAATCACTATTAGTCTTTGACTTATTTTTATTGATATTTGAGCTTTACAGCAATATTTGAACTCATATATATTAGTATTTTTTGAAAAAAAAAAAAAAAAAGAAAGAAAGAAAATATCTATAGAAGTAGAGAAAGAGAAATCTATTATTTACAAGCCTGACCCTGGTAGATCGGACATATATTAAGCTGCTAGAGATACTTGTTTTCTAATTCAAAGCAAGTATATTGTGAGATAGAAGGAAAAATGAGGCCGGATGCTCATTCTGAAACTTTCAAGCGTTCAAAAAACAAATAGTAAAGTAAAAGGAGCTTGAAATGAACACCACTACAGAATGATATCCCTAATATATTTGAGTGTGAGAGCAAAGTCAGAGCCTGTTTAGAACTGCTATCTCTACATTGCTTTATAGAAGGAAGTGAAAATAATATCCTGATGATAGCTGATAGGCCTCCCAGTCTACCAGTCAAGCGGCGTCAGAAAATCAAGAGGCAAATAAGCACGCACGATTTGCCATCCTTAGTAAATTCCGTAGCTTCGAACGTCTACACTCATCAGAAATGAAACTCGCCACGAGCTTGACTGATTGGCAGCCTATTAAAAGGACTATTGTGGCAAACACAATTGAAGAAGCACGCAGACGGATTTAGACTCATGCTGCAACGGTTGGAGCAACGCTAAGAGCTATAAATATGATGATCTTCATTTTGTTGTCGCTATTGATAGTTACGACATGGTGAAACATGGTGCCGACCCAAAGAGTATTGAAAGATCATCGACTAAGGGAAACGAGATAATAAATAGAAAATTAAATAGATATCGAGATTTTCCTCCCTCAGGGGTATGCAATTGGAGAAAGAAAGGAGGAGTCGGAAAAAAAATAGAAAAAAATAAACCTTGAGAAAAATGAATTCAAATAACTGATGTGGTTGTATATCTAACTGCAATAGATACTTCAGAGCAGAATGATACATCAACTTAAGTTCAATGATAATAAGGGAAATATAAGATGTTAATGTATGCAGAGCTTGAGCTTTGCTCTCTCATCTCAATTAGTGATAAATGGCATAGATTCTGAAGAGAATCAACATAACCACGCAGATTCATAGCCACGAAGTGTATTTGAAAGGCTAACATCATAGAATAACTCTATGACTTGCTGATATTATCACTTGCAAGGAGACTTTATCTTTTCTTATATAGATTATACCTAGAACTAATCAAAGTATGATCAATCTGCCAATGAATGAAGAAACTTAGTAGTTCTAGACGCCCAGTTAGAAGAGAAGAAGAAAGCTAGCAATAATTTAAATTCATATTAAATCAATCATTTCTGAGAAAATTCAGATGTACTCTTTCACAAATACTCTGAAGACTAAGGCTACAACGGCCGATCATTGAAATCAGTTGAGTACTATGAGAAGAGATAATAGAAGTAAAAACAAAGTTCAGAAGGGTATCTATGATTCCATTTCATCTTTGATGTTGAGGAGGGTCAAGCCTTATCTTTTGATGAGAGGACTTGAGAGTCAAGGCTCATGGTCTTTATTTGACCCTTAGTTCATTCACAACAGTGAGCAAATTTTCTATAAATAAGAGTCGCCTGTAGCTGAATAGGCTGAAGCTGAGACGTATTAGAATTAAAATAAAGGAACAAATATGGTGCAGTGAATGAATTTATATCCATTCCAAATCATCGCAATTCAGAAAAATGAAAGATTGGAGATTTGCTCAAGAAATTAGAAATCAGATAGGGAATCTCGGCAGGGAACTCGGCGACTATGAGGGGAAGAGGAAAGATGAGATAGATTTATGCTCAAAAAGGCTCCCCAGTTAAGCTTAGTACCTACGACAGGAGATGCGGAGTTATGGGTTGGGCGGAACAGACGGGAGTACGTCTCCCCCCTCCCCCACATGCGGGCTCCTGTGATTCCGATTCCCGTTCCAAGGGTCAATATCAGATAGTCGCACAGCAACCGGGAATATTTTCAGCCCGGATACTGTCATGATGGTACCAGGCTTCCATTGCTTGTTAGTGCGGCGCGACGGAATAGTGGGGAATCCCAGGCCCACAGGCCGACGCCCTATACTTTTTCAAGGTGTTGGAGGCCGATTCAGATCTTCACATTCTTCCCTACCCGGCTGTTCCTGGCAATTGCACTCTGTAAACAAACGGATGAAAGCCTACCACGTGAGCTAGCCTGTCACGAGGACAGTCAGATAACGTGCTGTAGGGAGCGAAAAAAGAGTTAAAAAAAAAAAAAAAAAAAAAATAACGTACTGAGGCAAAGGAGCCCGGTTATCACCAGCGCCACGCTGGTAATGGAGAGGACGAACCACCCAATCCAATCCCTCCAACATTATATAGGTGTGGCTAACGTGGTATCAGCGAGCATTAGGATGCGAGCACTTCCCATGTAATTTCAATTTATTAAACCATGCCGTGCTCATGGCCTTAAAGAAAACATTTACTGACAAGAACGGGAGGGCAAAATGATAAACAAAGCTCTTGCAGAAAATGTAAGAGTTAGAGAAACCAGTGATATCAAAAAGGGAATGTATGTTCAAGAGTGTTTTGAAAAAAGACAAAGAACAATATATCATGGCTTCATAATTGTGTGACAGAAATTAAAACCAAGGGAACAAAAAAACGGAATGGAAATAGCAACGGCCAATGAGGTGAATAAAGAAACAAGCTGAAGAAACGTTCTGATGAATACCGGCAAGTCGCCCCCGTAGGTCTCTATCTGCATCCTCTCCCCTGAGGCCTTAAACCCTGACCGAGAACACCGGAAAATACTAACAGCCGTAAATAAAAGCTTTCTAGAAGGGTGCATATTGCGGAGAGAGAAAGAGCACCGCAAAGTAATTAAAAACACAAAAACACGAACCAAGGAAGGCTCCTGGGACAGATTTGAATGCATGCATGTTATGAAAAACGCCAAATTGAAGTAAGGAATATCAAGAACGGAGAAAATCTGAAAAATAAATTAAATATGAAAAGGAGGAAGTAAAATAAAGATCATTACAGAAAGGGCCATGCTTTAAGAGTTCCGGCAGAGCTTTGTAGAAAAAGGGGGAAAAAAAAGAAAAAAAAAGGAGAAAAAAAGAGACAAAAAAGAACATTTGTGGATTGAAACCAATGACAGTGTGGATAAAAGTGCAAAGGGGTATTTCATTATTTCAGGGGATGGAATTTAAGATTTCTAAGTAAAATCGAACCGAAAATTCCGGTGTTTACGAGTAGACGGATAATCATCCAATTGCGAACGCGGAGGATATCGAGGAAACCAAGGGCCAGGAATGAACAAGCCAAAGGACGTATGTATGGATCACAGCGTTGAGGTGGGAAAAAATAATTTTCAATGTCGCGGAAGTTGTTCCCCTAAATACGAGGCGGGTATATGGATCAGACGATTATTCCTCTTCATGACACTGTCTCCTGCTCGGTGGTACCTGGGTCGTTGCTCTCGGAATTTGACACGCCTTGACCTCGACATAGCGGGCAGGAATTGCGCCCGGTGGTCAACCACTATAGCCAGTGTTAGTTATTCTGCTTCATCAATAACACGATATGTCGGAGAAGAACCGAACACTTACCTCATCAATACATTCGCGATGATAGAGGTGATGGCATTTGGTTAACTGTCTGACTTCCTCCGCAGCCTCATACTCGGAGAGGCAGATAAGACATCTTTCATTTTCCGTAATAAGAATTTTCTGGGTCGTATCTGCCGATTCAGCGATTAGAGAACCATCATACTCGACCAATCGATATATGCCTCCTGCGGAGGCAACGTCTTCCTGGGAAGCGACAGGCGGTTTAGCGGGACCAAGTAACGATGAAAGGAGTAACATGTCCTCATAGGTAGGGTTCTAATAGCGCTTGATTAACAATGTATTTATTTGAGACAATGGCAATATGTCAGGTTACATACATCTGTAAATAAACTTGGAGTTGCAAAAGCTGGGTGGTTTTCAGATAAATTCGTGCCAACCACGTAGATCAACCAGCTTCTTCCTGCAGATGGCGAGGTACTATCGGGTTCCACAACGCCATTTCGTCTTGCAGCTCCAGAGCCAAGTCCGCGATGACGAGCCGTTTCTGAGTCGCTTCTACGGCGTTGGCGTACATTGTTGAAGAGAGGGTGCTGATTTTCGGAGGACTCGTCGGGTTCCTGAGAAGAGACTTCATTCAATTGCGGAAGTGCAACTGAGGATGCCGACGGTCGTCGACTTGGGCTGTTGGCTTCTGAGGAAACATTGGACAAACCAGGGTCGGCAGGAGTAGATGGAGGGGGATGAGGACCAGGTGGACTTTCTGATAGAACTGTGGGTAATGAAGTGGCCAAATTTGATTGATTGCGAGATGATGTATGTGACCTTTGGTGACGCTGGCTATCGTAATTGGCAGGGAATGTGTTGCTTCCCATTGAGCGACGATGGCTTGAGAATCTAGACCGTCTATCAGCGCGCCGAAGAAACCCACTGGAGTCCAGCTCGGTTCGAGAGACGTTATTTGGTGAAATAAACGGCAGCCGGAGCAGAGAATCCAGTGATACACGGGCGTGGAGTCCAGCATCATTGTCGGATCCATTGCTTATAGAGGGAACTGACCTTACTCCTACCACCACCAAAGTCACCAATCGTCTGTCCTGGCTATTGTCTGTTGGTGTCGGGTCATCAAGGTCCATTCTATCCGATCCACTGTCCTGAGTATATTCAGAGCCTGGTTGGTTAGGATGTCCTGTTGTCGAGTTACTTTCTGTATTTTCCGGGTTGACAAAGCGGAAAACCCTTAAGAAGTTGACGTGAGGTAAGCCACCGTCCCTTTGGTTACTCCCACTCTCGTCTTCTGTCCCTATTCCTTGGGTTTGGGTAGATGTAGCCTGTTGTAAACTTTGTATAAAGCTTTCCAACGACCCATCCGCACCGTCCGCACCAATAGCCTGGATATTGGGCATTGCTGGTGGTGTATTTCCAGAGAGCTGGGCAGCAATTGCAGCCGCTGCCATTTGCAAAACGCGAGACAACGGAGTTTGTTCATCCCGGCGAATGGAGCGAATGTGTCGTGAACGCGCAGGAGTATGTCTTCGTGCGGGGGAAGAGGTCCGGGGAGGTCGAGAAGGGGCACTTGTAGACATTTGTAGTGTATTCCTTGTAGAAGGCTCAACGGAGTCAAGTTCACGGGATCCACCAAATTCCATGTACGTGTCCATCGACCCTAAAGGCGGAAGTAAGTGATCAGAGTCCTCGGTAAAACTAGGCCGTGATGGCCGACGTGGGGGCAGCATTGTTGTCTGGTTTGGTTCAGATATGGCAGGTGGTTGGCCAAATATCTGAGATATTGGCACAGCAATAGAATGCCGGACATGGCTTAATCTCGCTCGATGACGCCAAGAAAATCTTCCGGAGCTAGAATCCCTTGCCATCGCGGTAGAATCTAGGTATATGGGGTTGGGAGGAGAATCGGGTAATAGAGCTGCATCGCCTCGTGGAGGAGGGTACGGTCCACGTATCGAGCGTCGCCTCGATATCCCCCTTGAACTAGACCCAGGAAGAGATGAGAAGCGGTGTGAATGGTGAGCAGAATCCGACCTGTGTAGAGTCCTAGACAACAAACCAATCCTGTGAGCACGTCCTTCCGCGGGTGTTTCTTCTCCGCTATTCAACAGGCCCCTCACAACTGCGTTTGGAAGGATCCTCGAGCCGAGACGAGACATAGTCGACTGTCGATTTGTCGCGGACGCTGGAATGGCAGCAGTGGTTTCAAGGGTGGAAGAAGAGTAATGCGACCCCAAACGTTCCATAGTTCCTACAGGGCTGTCTGCTCGTAGGGATGGGTGGAAATCCAGGTCACTCGAATTTCGAAACATATCAATATCAGGATTAGTGGTGACTGAAGGCAATGGTGAAGCTGCAGATTGGGATGTTAACGGAGGATTTGCATGACTGCGCTCGACAGTACTGTCAATCCCGCCAGTAGAGCGATGTCGACGGTGAAAAGGGTGGTCCACGTTTCCAGGAGAAGATTGTTGGTTGTGTTGTTCGCGTGAAATGCGCGAGAGGGAGAGTGATGAGATACTGTTATTGTTGTGGTTGTGGTTGCTCTGCGCGAAGTCTGCGCGTTGGGAAGAGGATACTTGCCCCATAGTACAATGAGAAACAAACCGGGTAGCTGATGGGTTACCACTGAAGCAGATGTCGGAAGGAGCAGGAGCAAAGACCTCGAGAGTCTACTTAGTCACTCATATTTGGGAGGGAGGGGACTATCTGGCCGCAGGAGAGGGAATCTTTAGAGAAGGTTAGGCCGAGGTTTTGAGGCCACTCGATTTCGATGAGTGACCGCCTGCGACGAGAGAATTAATGAGACCCTGGGTGGTTGTTGGGTGGGAGAAATGGCCTGGAAGTGATCCAGGAGAAACAGAGAGGATACTTACAAAGGACTGAGCCGAAGGGATCCAGTGTTCTCGGTTGGGAATACGTGATGGTCAGGCTTAAGTCCACCGTGACTAACGATCACTAACTGACCTTGGACAGCCGCCGACTGGTGAAAGATAGACTTGTTTCAGGGCCGCATTAGTCGCAGGGCACCACCAAAAGAAAGTAATCACGCTAGAGAAGTTCTGGCGGTGGGTATGATAGAACGAGTGTTGTGAGCAAGGAAATGCAAGGAAACTGGTTCCAGAAATAGTCCGGGTCTCAGCCTACGACACTATCTGGGTCCGTGGCAGAAAGATACAACAATAATCCGTGAAGATGATGATGATGAGTTGAAGCAAAGTTGAAGCGATTCAGAGCGAGCTGAGGTTGAGGTCACGTATGATGCTAGAGCGGGTCCGGGGTCTCGTGATTACGGAGATATGTTGCTCCGACGGCTGTGTCACTGCACGGAGAAGTCTTTAGTTGTGTTTCATGAACGTTGAACAAGCATTGCAAAAGAGAGAGAAGATGATTCGGTATGCTGGGATTCGAAGCGAGAGAGAGTGCACATAGAAGGCAGAGAGGCGAGGAAGGGCTTCATTAAACAACTCCCATTCTGATATAGCAACTACTGGTACTATTGAAGTTGAACTGCTAACTCGTCCCCAAGTCACTTACTAACCCATCATGTCTCTGGGATCAATGTGATGACGCCCATATCCACATGGGTTAGACGATGTCTGGTCTACAATATTCCATGGCGAGAACTGAACATACCCATTCATTTTACTCCATCCATCTTCTGATCGTTGAGACATTACAATCATCGCCTAGTAGGTATGTCCTCTATATTGGACAGTCCACGCCCAAGACGGATTAATATTTATCCGTGATTTGCTCAAAAGTTGATGAGGACTGCGAAAGTAACGACCATCCTTGAGAGGAAGCAGTCTAGATATTGTCCTGGCCATGAGGGAGTAAGAAGAAACGAAACAAGAAAGCCTGGCTGTAGGATTACTGTTTGATTGGTTCTGGAATATCACAGCAATGACGTTTGCAACTGTCAGCAACCGGGTTACGCGATGATCTTTGGAGCAACACGTTCGGCAATGCCATGCTCGCCTTGACAAGACAAGCCATTTTAATCTGATTGGTCCCCGCATCGGGTCATTGATGTCTTTATCATACTTCTCTCTTCCGCTTGCCACATGGCAGCAACCAGCGAGTTGTCGTACTGCCCGGTATGAAGCCAACAAACGCAAGCAAAATGATCATATAGAAGTGGATGAGGTATCCACCACAAGCACCAGCGATGATGATGCCGGTGTAGCCAGCAATCCCCAAAACAGTGCAGATGATGGGAAAGGTACCCGCTCCTGTCCGAAGTCGCCGATAGTTTTGTCACCAAATGAGGCACACCAATATCGCGTTGCTGGCCTGCCATTTCATAGAGCACTCCCAGGTGGCAGCTTTCCCCATTCGAGACCTGGACCAAGCAAGAGCAAGCCTTCCAGGATCAGCCAAAGGGAGGTCGAGAGGGAGCTGTCTCAGCTATCACCACCAATATTCATTCCCAGGTCTGCAGATCAGAACAACAGTCTACGACTGCTGCACCTGAATGTAATTACAACAATGCTCCATCGATGTCTGCTAGAAGGCGATTACGCGCGGGCTGGGAGAGCATGGGGCTTGATCCTACGCGATGAATTCGGGGGTCATGGCATGGATGTCCGAAGCAGTGGACGGTGGGGGATTGGTGCGGAAATCCTGCTATGGAGTGATCGCAACCCGATAGCGGAGTCGTCAGCATCATTACGGACTGGAAATGCTGACAGCGCGAACTTCCTACCCCGAAGACAGTGGTTTACCCGCAGAGGATTTGAGCGCGCCAAGAGCTATTACGAGCGCCTCATACTCCAGTTTCCATACCGTAAAGCCGCACCGACAGCATTGAGTCCACTGGACTTCTATCCCGCGATGTTCGGGCTTTGGATTTCGCTCGTGCAAGAAGAAAGCCAGTCGGCGCGAGACGCGGTCGTGATGGACATGGAGGGCATGACAGAAACGTACGACTTTGACAACCCGGCTCGGGATGATAATATGTCTATATCCGGTGCTATATCCCAACAGCCAGACAGTAGGAATAATCGAAAAGAAGATACAATTGTTGAAGCCCGTCGTAAGGAACTCGAGGAAGCCCAACAAATAGCAGCGCAGATGGATGAGTTATTGATTTCCCCGCCGTTTTCGGATAGCTACGAGCTCCTGCGGTTACGGGGAATGTTGTCCTTGTGGATCGCGGATTTGTTTGTATTATCCGTCTTCCCAGAGAATGACGATATGAGCAATGGCCCGGGTATGAGGGACTTTGATGGTGACCAAACCATGTTTTCTGATGATGATGGTGGCTACACGGACTCGGTGCTTGCGCGTATGGAGCAAGGGTCGGGGATGGACAAGAAGATGGCAGAAGTGGAGAAGGCCAATGTATTTTTCGAAAAGGCAAAGGTCAAAGCGAGCAGGAAGCAGACGTCATTGCCTCCCGATGAGGTAGATGAAGATGACTCTGTTATCTAAACTTGGTGAAAGCCTCTAGCTCGTCACGCTGATCACGGCTGTCCTGTATTCATGTTCGGAGACGGAGATGCTATGAAATTAACTGCGACTTCGGTCATTACATATCTTCTGCTATAAGGCCTCTGCTGTCGCTGTATGCTGAAGAGTATGTGATGACATCTGCTTCTTATTTACGATTAGTTCCATGGGCTAGCATGATATGGAACGTTGAGAGAGAAGGCAACGAGGTATACCCCCCCTGAATGCGATATCAATACCCATGTCAACACAATGACATTATTGTTGTGTGAAATAAAAATTTATACTCATGTAATCTACCACTCAGCGCCCGCTTTGTCCACTCAATACCTACACAAATCTTCATTCTGCCGTCCAGCTTCAAAAGGCAATATCAAGCCCCATGAAGCAGTTAACTTAATGTTTTTTTTTATGTCTTCTGAACACTACCATAAACTTAATAGGTTAGCCGATTGTAAATATTTATCAACATTTATATTAATTTTATAATTTCACAGTTTTATTAGTGTTTCTATTATAGATAGAAATCATTGTCTAGAAACGAAAAGGTACTAGCAATGACCACATGAGGAAGTGTATGAGTTTGATGCTTGGCGACTTAGTTGTCAACCCCCCATAACATCTACCATAAGGGTCAGAACTGTTTCGATTTCCATCTCTAGTGTCCTATACCTCCGTCCTGTGGCCTAATATTAGATACAGATCAGAGAGAACGAAATATATTTGACATGTAGGACAGCCCAATCAGGCAGGCGAGATCATGTGACGACATGTGCTTTGACTTCCAGAAATTTTGGCGCGTTCAACCTCAGCTCCTGATTCCTGTGCGGCACCACTGATGAGGAGGGTTGTGGAAGTGGGCATTGCCACATAACCATCTGAACATATACGCTGAACGTGTACCTATCCTTTGTACAATTTGTACCAAACCATTTCAAAACTCTTCATTCTCTCGTAATGGCGGTGGCGGAATACGTTCGAGGCAAGGCATTGCAAAATGATATCCCAGCTCCAAAGGGCGGCAAATATGTTTCAGGCAACCCCTCCAGGGAACTCATGGCGAATATGGCCAGAGTTAAAGTGCCAACGACGAGATTGAGTGAGACACCCTCATCTGCAGCTGGGACTACTGGGGAACATCGACCAGTCACAGCAAGCAAAATCCGAGGTCAGACCACGGGGTTCCAAGTACCAACAAGCCAAGCAACACCAAAGGATATATTTGATACTGATGTGGAAACTGTCGATGATTCTACTACCACAGTTGCGAGCTTCATTCGAGAGAAAGATGGTCGCAAGCGTGATTTCCAGCTTGACCCAGCCCCTCCTCAAGTTACCAGTCAGGATGAGAATGACTTGCCATCAAATGTTCAGTATAGCCAGGGTAATTCCCGTGGTCGAAGTGCGCTGGAGGAGAGGATGATTATGGAGCTTGGCTCTGATCCAGAATACGTGCATGAGGATATTATAGTGCCGCAAGATACACATATGCAAGGCGATGAGGCCCAAACTGGAGATGAGGATGACTTTGATGGAGATGATGCCCAATTATTTGATTGGAGAAACAACAACGATACCAATGGAGAGCCTCTCAGTTGGCAGAATATCGAAGCGGTCCTGCGCGATACCAAAGCTCCCCTGCCCGTGCAAAACCTGCAGCAGCAAATCAACATTAATCCGCGTTCTGTCCCTAAGCAATCGGATTACGAGAGTTACTCGGACAGTAATATGTATATGCCTAAACCAACGCAGAGAAATTCTACTGGTGGTCGGCTCCTGACGAGATCTCGTTTTGGCACCCCAAATCCGCGTGGTGGAGCTCCCCTTGATGGGGAAAAATTCTTTGGTACACGGCCAATTCCACAAACGTCACCCTCCCGCACGGTCATTTTATCCCCACAGTCACAACATGCTTCTCAACCAAACATTACAAAACCCAACAAACCCAACTCTCTACAATCGATACATGACAACCATGATCCTTACAGCCGCGGTGGTCTCTTCGACATCACAGATCTAAGTGCCCTAGACAGTTCTTCATCCGACAACAGCACAGACAATCAGCAGACATATACATCTCTACGCCTGTCCACGCTATCCTCTCTCTCCACCAAACGCCCCTTGGACGATTTCCCATCTGACTATCCCCCAAACATCTTGGAAACAAAAACTTTTGCTGACCTCCAAGCGGAATCATTCGATTATAACCCAGCCGCTCCGCAGCTTATCTTCCAGCCGCAGGATCCACCCATCGCACTTTCAGAGAAACTCACTCGACTAAAGGTATTGACGGACGAGCAGCGCCAAACATTCTTCGCATCGCTGAAGCTCACGGAGTGGGAAGAGAGCGGCGATTGGATCATTGAACAGTTTAGCCTCCTGCTTCAACGTACGAAAGAGGCCAGGCGCGAACGCCGGAAAGTGGCTACTTTGTTTGAGAAAGAGATTGAGAGGAGGTATGAACTTGTGCAGGTGGAAGGGAAAGGGATCGGCCAGAGATTAGAAGAGATGAGGATGGGAGGGATGGATGTTTTAAAGGCGCGGGTTTCTTGATGAAAAAATAAAGATAAAATCGTTTATTTTGTAAGTTTTCTTGCTGTATACTACTAATCTCCATTTTTATGGGCTACCTTACCGTATCTGTTATTTTGTAATGATACCCTGGCTTTCCCCCCACTCCCAACCGAGCCTGGCCAGAGTCGCTGGTGGCTGAGCAGCGCTCGCTCGCAGAATGGTGACATGGAAGACCTTGATTATTTTTAGACATGGCTGTTGACTTTCCTTTGACGATGCATTTTTTAAAAAAATTTTCCCCCTCAGCTATTTCACTTTATTTGTTTTCCTCCTGCCCTTTTTATCTTTATATAGATGGAATTGAGAAAGGGAGGGTTTGTCGAACGCGTGGGGATGGCTAAAGCAATGACGTGCGGCCAAGGCGAAGAAGATAATCGATAATCATGCCTTCGCTTAATAGATAATAGAATTTACTTTATTGATTGACTGATTGGTCAGATGAGAACGTTATTTCATACGGGGTTGGAAATAAAATGTAAGGAAGTATACAAACAAAAGAGTAACAGCAACAGAAGGCGCCAAGACAAGAATGGAAAAATGGACAAAGAAAAAAGTAAATAAAACAAGAAAAGAAAAAAAAGAAACACACTTAAATCACATCCGCTCCCAATGACATTTATGATCTATATTCTTCGAGATGGATGGCACTCTTCTCTTTGTTTGGGCATTCTTTTCGGTCAGCGTCACCCCTGACCCAAACATGCACTCGAATGCATATATGTATTCTAGGGGCCCGGGGGGGGGGGTGGGAAACACCAAGATCGATATAATTTCGGATTTTAATATCAAAAGCCTTAAAGAAAACCCTCTCCCAAGAGTGATTAAAAAACAGGTGGTGTCAAGGAAAACATGGAATACCAGGCCAAAATGGGACGGAGAATCGCTGAATAGGAAGTGGATCGATGTTGTTGGGAGATATGGGTATCAATGCAAGAGGTTGAGAAATAAAAGAAGTAAAAAGGAGGCTTTTAGGAAGTACCAGGTTCTTTCAAGAACAGGGCAAGCCGCTTGTAATCTTCGAGAAGCTCGGGAATATCGCTCATTTTAAGCTCTCCAGCATCCGACATTTCCAAGAATCGCTTGATTGGAGGTTTAAATTCGGCGGTGTTGATGACGTTTGTGCTCGTGTTAGTCTTCTGTGGAGCGGGAGTGCTAGAGCGGCTTGATATGGACTCTGTTGATTTCGGCTTGTTTGTGGTTAATACCGTGTCGTGAGAAGGGTCAGGTGCGCTTCGCCCAAACCCACGGATCATGCCTGGAATGTGGTTTAAAGGATTTAAGGTATTGCCGATACTCTTCATTGACCCAAATGGCGGAGTCGTTAGTTGGTTGGCGGGGTAGGAGAAAATTGATCCAGAATTAGGTGTCGGGGGAATGGACGTTTCTCTGCTGGAGGAGATAGCTTTTGACCCACTACCGCTGTTCCCCGAGCTACCCGTGCTATTCTGTCTGGATAACATTCGCCCACCGATAAGCCCGAGGAGTCTATCTTCAGCCTTCACGTTGCCGTCGGTTTCATCTAAAATGGGCGAGGTAGTGACCAACCGCCGAGCATCATCCAGAGTTTTTGGAACAAGCGTAGATATCCCATTCGGCTCCCCATTTTGTCTGCTTTGAACTTCCCTCAAGCGGCCAAAGAGAAAGTTGAAGCTATTATCAAGTGTGTTGCTGATATTTTTGAATCCCTGGTCAGCAGTGTTTCTAACAGCGTCATTGGCAGCACCAAGAACTTTAGCTGAAGGTTGAAGAAGGTTAGTGAGACGCCGCTGTGGCGAAGGATCGCCTTCATTTGACATCAACCGCCGCCCTGAATCCGATTTTCCCACTTCAAACGACAGCTGAGAAGCGGTCGAAGAAGGCGAAATTGTTGAAGGGCTCTTGCTTGATGGCGCATCATGCCGAATAGAGGTGGGGTTAGAAGCGATCCGAGGAGAGTTCAATGCACCGTCTTGTGTTTGGTCTGTTTGTAAACTGTTTAGGTCCACATTCTCTAGGAAGCTGATGGCTGCTTCTAGGTTAGTCAAGCAGTACGCTGCTTCGCCATCGAGTCTACTTGATGCTCTAAAGCGCTGAATGAACAGTAGGTTACTTATAATGTTGATGCCTTCTGCTGGTGTAGTTATTAGGATGTATATCAGGGTCGGTAATATTTCGTCAGCAGAAGAGGATGACGGAAGAACTATTGTCAATGTATCGACGATAGCCTTGTGGGCAGCAGTCAGATGATGAAGTTTGCCTAAGGGGAATTTTTCATCGTTCATTTTGATTAAACTTTCTCGGGCAGAGGTTAGGAATTTTGACGCTTCAGATTCTTCGGATCCATCCAGATCCCAAGCCTTAATCCCCAGGTCCTTGAGTCCAATACCAACTAGTGCTAATGCCGCTGTCTTGGAGCGTAGTTTCTCGTCTCTGACTTCATCCAAAGAATTTTTGTGGCGCCAGATCTTGTCGTATACAGCTTCACAGGCCCGCCGCTCGACTGCCTCCTCAAGGGCATGGCCTTTGTATTGTAAAATCTTGCGGGCTCTCCGTTTCTCTGCCACCTCTTCCGCTGTCAGCATTTGCTGGTCAGTAGTAAGCTTTTCAGAGCCCTTTGATTGATCTTTGGACAAGGGATCACGTTGAATTTTCCCAGAAATTTGAGGAGGGGAAGGAGATGAGAGAGTTTCGCGGTGCAAACGAGAGGCCAGTGTCGAAATATGGGTTGATATATGCGCGGCGGCACGCACATAAAAGTCCTGAAAGAGGCCCGAAAGCTTATCTATGGAGGGTGGAGTTGAGTACACTTTCGCGCTGAGAGAGGCAATAAACCTGAATAGATAATAGATAACTATTAATTGCGTGGCTACCTTTGAGATCTGGAGATCGATCACTAACCTATCAGTCAAGCTAGCTAGCTCTATGGGAAGTTCAAAATGGTCCGCCGCATATGGCAGCTGGGAATGGGAGGCATCAGGCTTGCCGAGTAGCCGCCCATCCGCCAAATCTATCGAGTCTCTTTTCGCAAAAAGGTCTGATTCTCCATATAGAGGGTCTGGGTCCAAAGGTGTAAGAGGAGAAGTCTCTGCTTGCACGTCCTGAGTTAAAATCCCCTCCACTGCCGTTGCGCGGTTTCGAGGAAAAGAGCTGGATGATGTGTCCTCCATACGGGAGAATGATTTTGATGTCTGGGCCCCGACCAGCCGCGGAGTGGAATCAGCGGACATTTTGTCGGGCTACATGTATTATAAGTTGATGGGAATTCCAGAATTCTGTCAAAACGAAGTTGCGAATCACAATGCCATAGTGAGCGTAACGGGAAACCGAGTACAGATTAGATGTCAGGCATAGACTTTTGAGCTGATTGGTGGTAAACAGAAGGCAGGGCGGCTGTCATTAGGCCATATCACAAGCTTTCGGTCCTTCAGCCAGCTGATGTCCGGCAGAGATTGTGTGCTACTCTGCCTAAGAGTTGCGAAGAAGTTGATTGACGTGGATCCAGGGTTTCAGAACAGGTCACCTGATTGCTCAGCTTCAGAGCTAATTGTTACCTAGGTAGGTCACTGGGGCAAAATTAAAGAACAGTAGCTAAGAGGAAAAAGCAGTAGTTTAATGAATACTGCCAGTGGTAAAACAAATTAGGATGAGAAGAACTATTGCTATTGTTCAAATGCAGATACAATGGAGGTGACCGTAAGTCAAGACATACACTACTGGAACGGCCACATGGAGAAGATTGGATGGCTAGAAGCCAACTAAGGTGGCAAGCCCTTGGGGTTGTGGTATCGAATTGAGAATCTTCAATAAAAAGGAACTGCTGTACAAAGACAATCATCGCCTACAATAAAACAGAATGTCAGCTCAGAATCAATTGTCAACGAGTTTCCCTGTGGGATAAAGGTGAACCATGATGCCGGGAATTGTTACGGAGTACAGATCTATATGGAATTCGTCTCGTATAAGGTTCCAAGGTTGCCCATCTTGTTCGTCCCGTGACTTGGGTTTGGATTATTAGTTATCACCCAGAAACACTTTCGGCAGTTTCGGCTTGGGGCCATGATTAAAACTCCATAGTAGGTTACTTGCTGTGTTGAGGGTATTACTTTATCCTTCTCCCATCCTATGAGGTATGTATTAGTCATCTGGTAAGTTGTTACCAGTGTGAGTGTATTTTAGATGGCCGGGGAATGACTTGGCGAAACCGCGAAGTTTGGCCTGGGTCTTTCCAATCGCCTGGGATCCCAGCATCACCCTCCAGCAGCTCACTAGCTGCGGCGTGGATTCATTACTTCCTCAAGGGTTTCAATAGCTAACTAGATATAAGAAATCACTTATCGGGAACTCCAGCGTCATCGCTACACGCCGCTATCTTCTAGGATCCGTCAACAACTCTTCCCAACGCTTCCGTCTGGCTGAACCAAGTAATCTTGTATGGCCCGCAGCAGCACCGTTCACCCGAAGAAGCTATTTGTTATCGATATCTATTTTACAATATGCGGCCATTTAGATGGAGAAGAAAGAAACGGTCAACCGGGTCGAATATGATGGGGCTTGATCTTCTGGTCTCCTTGCTTGCATTATCCGTATCACCCTGCATCGCCGCTACTCGAAGTCCTCTCCAAATCCCCGTCCTAGACACTCAACCTATTGAAACAGGTCGTGAATTTGTGAGTTTTTTGTGGTGGTAGCCATTATTGCTAAGACCGAAAAACTCGCTAATATTGTTTACATTTCCCTAGACATTACGACATATGTTGCATCATGGAACGTACCGAGATCCTCTCCTGCATAAGCGACTTGACATCAGGCCTGATACTTTGCTATGGGCTGCCTCAGAAAATGGTGAAAAAAGGGAATCGGTTCCTCGGTTTCGCGTTTCTTCAAGACCTATCAATATCCACCGTCTCTCTGATCGTCATGTTTCCGTCGTTGAAGATTATCTCTCAATTGCCAGAATGACAAGCTCTGCAGTAACACTCTCATCAGATTATTGGACTCTGGACGAAGTAGACGCACCTGATGTGACAGATAAAGAGACGGTGCTTTCATTAGCTAAAATGACCTCCAACGCTTACATCATGATTCCGGGATCGGGCGAATGGTTTGATGTTGTCCCTCCTTTCAACCATTCAGACAGCTTCGGATGGGACTCTGATGGACTGAGAGGCCATATTTACTCAGATAATACAAACTCTACAATCGTGGTTGTGTTGAAGGGTACGTCTGCGGCCATTTTCGATGGCGGCGGGACGACAACCAATGACAAGGTTAACGACAACTTGTTTTTCAGCTGTTGCTGTGCCCAAGGTGGGCATTACTTTTGGCGACAAGTCTGCGACTGTTACTCGTCAACATATACTTGTAACACAGCTTGCGTCAGGAAAGCTTTAAGACAAGAAAACCGCTATTATCGGGCTGCCCTTAATCTTTACTCCAATATCACCGCAATGTATCCCCAGTCAAATATCTGGGTTACGGGACATTCACTGGGTGGTGCCGTTTCAAGCCTGCTGGGGATGACATACGGATTGCCCGTGGTCACGTTTGAAGCTGTGCCAGAAGCACTACCTGCTTCACGCCTTGGACTGCCTCCGCCTCCTGGAACCGATCCATCTTCACCCCAGGCAAGGAATTATACTGGTGCCTACCATTTTGGCCACACTGCCGATCCTATTTATATGGGAACGTGTAACGGCGCAACATCTGTATGTACACTTGGCGGCTATGCCATGGAGTCCTCTTGCCATACTGGCCAATTGTGCACTTACGACACAGTGGAAGATTTCGGTTGGAGAGTTGGAATCGGAACACATCGAATCCGTGAAGTAATTACAGATGTTATTGAGAGATACGATGACGTACCTACATGTGCCCCGTTCACAGAATGCGTGGACTGCAACAACTGGAAGTTTTTCGAAAGCAACGAAACGACACCTACGCCCACTACCACCACTACGAGCACTTCAACCAGAACAAGAACGTCAACTTGCAAGACTCCCGGGTGGTGGGGATGCTTGGATCCCACCACGACTCCTACTACAACAGCGACAACGTCGACAACGTCTACATCGACCTGTAAAACTCCCGGGTGGTTCGGCTGCAAGGATCCTACCACAACAAGTACAGTACCTACTGCGTCTCCCGCGCCTACGATTACTCCGACCTCCCCTCCAACAACTACTGCTTCCACGACTTCAACTTGCGAAAGCCCTGGCTGGTTTGGGTGTAATGATCCAACGAGTACCACGACTTTCCCTGTTCCAAGCACGACATCGACCAGTACTCCTTGTTCGACTCCTGGATGGTTCTGGGGCTGTCGTGATCAAACCACTACAACATCCGCAAGCCCTCCTATCACATCCCCACCCTAGACGTTTCTGCCCATACATGTGTCCTCAGAACATTTATGGGACTCTCTACTCCAACTGATTCATTGACGTCACCGTGTTGTAGCTGATAGGCATTGCGAAAGGGACAACAGGATTTTTTGGGTGATCGGAACCTCTTTGGCATCGGAACAGAACAGGCTAACAGACTACCTTCCGTCGGCATACCTAATAATTTTTCATGACGATACGTTGTTTATCTATGCTAGGTCATTTTCAGTTTGCTATTTCTTTTACTTTCAACTTTGGAGCGGGAAATCTAGCAGTTGATTTTTTCCACTTTTGGCAACATATATTATTTACTTAAGGGATGAACCGGAGTTTGTTTGTCTTTTTGGCTTATCTTAATATCCTTTGGGGCAAGATTTAATTAATTAGATACTTGGGCTCTTTTGAGAATTCGATACTGCTACATGTAAATAGATTGTCTAGATAGTTAGCTATTTCTTTTGTTTGATAAGGCAGGTTTGAGGGGGGTTGGTCGGCCTGCAGGAGAAGCGCCTAGAATGTGTCAGGAAAGCCTAACATATTTGGTTCATTTCACTGAAACCTTCCCTCACCCCGGTTGGAGTTTGAGGATAAACTGTGTTGAATTTTTTTGTTTTTGTTTTTCTTTTTTGGGATATTGGGTTTGGTTTTTCCGCATGGACAGCATTAGTGTGTTAATAAATGAAACGTTCCAGTTACATTTGCAAGACTCTCAGTAGATTCAGATTCAAATTTAATAAATATATTCAAGAATACTAACAATAAGCTCGTGGGAAGCTCTTTTAGATTATCTGAACCACTCGAACCAGATCAGGCAGTAACAAGGGTGCGACAGTCCAGAACTAGATTTATTGTAATTTTTTATTTATTTTTCTTTTCTTTTCTTTCTTTCTTTCTTTCTTTCTTTCTTTCTTTCTTTCTTTCTTTCTTTCTTTTTTTTTTTTTTTTTGTTTTGGACATGGAGGCAGAAAATCTCCTCTAATAAGTCACCGGCTTTGGGGAGGCCAGATTAACTTTTTGAGAACACAATTTCGTCAGATAAGCTCTGGTCTCGTGTGGGAGAAAAGGTGTACAGCAGTCGCTTGACAAAAAAAAGACGGAGAGGGGAGAATGAGGCTGAGTATTATTGTACTGGATGATTAGATATAGATATAGGTCCATAGCTACTTTGGCTAAGGGAATGACAAGTCAGTGGATGTCAGGTAGATCTCACCTGTTGGTCTGTATCTCTGGGTTATGATAACTCTATCTGGATGGCCAGCACGGGTACACGGAGCACGTTCCGAATAATCTGTTGGAGTTCGGCAGTGCCCCTTTGATGCCCCTTTTGAATGCCTCTGGAAATTGGTTGATTCTTCCCCGTACGTTGTCCTGAGACTGTCGCACAGCCCCAACTCCTTCCAACGCGCGCTGACAGCTTGACAGCCAGGCACTACGTACTCAGGAACAGGAATAGTGAGGGTGTCAACTGTGGAGAGCTGAGTGCCTGGTAGCGACAGGCGGTTGGGACAGCTCTCCCATGGCTCGGTGCCAGGTATAGTTAGTTTCGAGGGCCCACAGCTCCGTTTCTGGCCATTAGTGTCAATCGCCTTAACCTGCCTGGGGATCGCCGCAGCTTGTCATTCCCCATCCAACGCACTATAAGGCGCTAGGAAGGGTCTAATGCAACTCATCTGCCCACCTGCAACATTAAATCATTGCCCCTTGCAGAACCTGAGAGCCCCAATGCGGCGCCATTTTGCCTCTTTGGGATTGCTGCGGAGGGTTTTGGCATTTTGGGCTTCTCCATGCGTGCGGCGCTGGGAAATGGTTCAAGGGCTTTTGGGAAGCATGCGCTATTGTTTCTTGGACAGTTTCCGCAGTTGCGTGTCGAATTCTTATAATAACTTGCGCAACGCGCCCAGTTTCCTTGGACCATCATCGACAAGTCCGACAGTTTCTGAAGAAGTGTGGAGTATGCAAATACACACTTCAAGGTTTCGTGCCTCCTGTTGCTGATTTTCGACTGGGTTTGAAATACCCGCTATACTCTGAGAAAGGGTCCATTTTCATTTACAATCAGGGATATTGCGTTTCATATGCAAAGTTCGAGCCCCCCTTCCCCGAACCCCCGGACATGGATTTATCAACTTCCTTGCTAACTCCATGGATAGGTTGGAAATTCCGAGACACCAAAGATTTTTTTTTTTTTTTTTTTTTTTTTGTCCTTTGTGTGGCCGATAGCAATTGCATTGGTGCTCGTCTTTCGAGATATCTAAATCACGACATTGGGGCGAGCATTTTTCAGATTTTTGACGGCGATTGTGGGGGCATGACTAAGTACCTGCCCGTCACTTCCGGACGTTGACGATTTTCAAAGTATATTTTGCGAAACGAGCAGGCGAAGTCGTTTTATCCTCCTGTACATGTACATTCATACTTCTGAAGAATTGCGACTCTTTGCCCGCTGCTCTTATCTCTATATTTACAGCCGGCCAGTATGGAAATTGCATTTATCACAATTCTTGGCAAGTTCTAACTTCTCCTCCATATTCTTTAATTCCTATCTAGGTGTATAGAGCTAACGTTTCCTCTAGATCTGACGCCGGCCGCTAGAGTAAAATATACCTCTGCGTCCGTTCAGGACATACTAGGCTACACCAACAATGAAGTGGTTGGCATGTCCCTTTGGGATTTCGTTCATCCGCTTGAATTCTCGTTCGCAAAGCAGATCTATACCCAGAGCATCAGGCATGACATTGCTGCTGGACTGAGTTACTTCCAGATTAAGCACAAGCTTGGTCACTGGGTTGGGGTCGAATGCGTATTCAACGTGGTCTATGATGTTTTAGTATCAAGCACCAGCATCTATCAGAGGGGATTAAGAAGTCAAAGTGAGTTGAGACATGTTCTCCTGGACGCATTTTGAAAAAAATTGTAAGTAAGGAAACTAAATTCTGGGACGCACATCAGAGAGGGCAACCGACGCTCCAGCTGTCAGACGACTATTTTGGTCACCATCACAATTCGACCCACGATATAGCATGCTCTCGAATATTTCGAGCAAATTTTCGCCAGTTCCACAGATCCTCTCACATGAGCCGCGCGCGGCTTTATTCTTAAACCGATTTACCCGGTCTTCGAACATCATGTATGCGACAAGTGGCGTAGCCCGCGTTCTTGGGCTGAGGCCGGCGGATCTCGTTGGTAGGAGCTTTTACTACTGCATAGAAGAGTGTAGTCTGCATGAGGCCGTGAGATGTATTGAAGGGGTGAAGTCGAATGACACGATTTCGTATCTCCGGTTCTGGTTCCGAAATCCATTGCTGGGCGAGAATAGCACGGATGACCTTGCGGAATATGGAAGCGAACACAAAGTTCAAGAGGAGGAGCAGGGTGATGATAATGATGTTGAAATGCGAGATGAAACCTGTGTCGACTCACGAAACACCCTGAACAAATGCAATATCACGGACAATAATACCAATTTCTCACGATCATTGGGCGATATCCAGACGACCACCAGCAACAGCAACAGCAACAGCAACGACAATAACCTCCATAGACCACGAATAGAAATCGAAGCAGTAATATCCTGTTCCTCCGACGGCCTCGTTGTCGTCCTGCGACACGCGCGGCCAGTAATTCCACCCTCTCTCGAAAATATCAGCTACTATTCAGCTTACCTCCCCGCATCACCGTGGGACACCGATTCCACAATCCCAGTCCAACAAGCAGACTCCAGCGAGCCACCAGAATCAATTCCGTCGTCCCTCAGAGGGCCTGAGCAAGGAGAGCTGATGGATACCATTCGCGACGTCGCAGTCCTTGCATGGGCGTCAGGCGTGAAATGAGGCTATCGCCGTTTTCGCAAAGATGCGGAGTGAGGAGTTGGACTGAACATAATTTTCCCTTTTACGATATTTGCATTTTCAGGAGTACACATCCCCGTCCCTTCTGTTTGGTTTTACATGTTTATTGTGCGACCATCAATGCCGCCTCGGCCGTTGGCATTTGCTGTGTCTCCGGGTTGCATTTTTCTCACTCTGACATCAAAATTTCATAGCATAGTAGAGCAAACCGCTCTCTACCTGTATAATCCCGACATGTTTCATGTACAACACATCATATCACTGGCGTTGTTCTACTCATAATCCCGGTTTATTTTTCGTTTTTCGTTTTTCGTTTTTCGTTTTTCGTTGTTGTACGATAGCCGCTTGTGCTCACTATTTTCGGAATAATCAATATAGACCCGATATCCAAGTCCGTTGAATGTTAGTTCTGATGTTGGGCGAAGGAATACCTCTTCTAGAACATATGAATATGTATGTCCCTCCAAAAAAAAGAGAAGAAGACGTCATCCGCATAATAAAGGTTTTCCGTTTACTTTGAATTTTATATAGGTATATGCATAAACTCTATCGAGTTCTAATCATATTGATGACCAACATTTGCTGTGGCTAGAAATTCTGATTTCCATTTCTACCCATGGTCAACTTGTTTCTAACCACGTTCAACCAGAACCCGCAAGAGGCCTTACGTCTATTAGACTTAGTAGACCGTGTGAATATGTGGCGTTAGGGATTAATTCCTGGCGACTACAGCGTAAACAACCAACGTGGAGTTTGTGCCTGCAAACTCGGCCATCAAGCTTCGATGAAACCACAGGAACACGGCAGCTTCCCTCCAGCAAAAAGCAGTGATTGTCCGGCGATACAAAATTCCAGTTCCAAGCCGTGGTCAATAACTTAACGAAGAACCGTGGGCTATGTATGCGCAGGAACTGCTAGTAACTAACAGTTCTACCAAAATTGAACGCAGGATATACAAACGACGTTGCGTCGTGTTGACTAGCCGCCTTCTCATTGGCCAAAGCTCGTCCTCTGCACCTCAACCGTAACACAACAACGACGACGATGTTGCTGCACATGCTGGCGATATCCGCTCCCATTCGATAAACACCATCCGGTCCTGATGGCGGTACCAAGCTGCTCAACTCACGGCGGGTGATCTCCGCTCCTGATGCAGAAGTGACAGCCGACGCTTCATCCTCAACGAACCCCACGACTAGCGGTGCTGTAAGTTCAAGTTACTATGATCAGTAACCATGGCCGGATTCGCGATACCACCCAGATTGGCATTTTCGCGGGCGATTTTCATGCAGCCAACTCGGGCCAGGCCAGGGTGCGCTAAATTGGAATGGGCATCAGTGGAGTTTGCCCGCATGTGTGGTCTTGATAGGACCGGAGGTGTCAGTTGCTACCACGGGTAGTGTCCTTATCTCGTTATCAGGAGGGGCGTGGGCGAAGGGCGGATACTCACTCCGTCGAACCCCCCGCAAATAATAAGTATGCGGCGGTGGAAGCACGTTGCTGTTCCTTCGCTCTCTTCATTTCTGTTCACACTTCAATTGCCTTCCGCAGACATCAAGCATGTCTACCGTGATGCCTTTCCTTGGCTCCGGCCGCAACGGCTGGGGTCTTCCGCATTTACAGATCGCGGTTGCTGCCGTGTTTGTCGTTGCCTTTGTGTCTTCCGTACTGCTGTTTGTTTTGCGCAAGCCGAAGATGAAACACGATAGCGCCATTTACACCTATTTCAAGTTCTTCTACGCCAGTTTTGTGAAGCCCCATGAGTCCCATGGCCAAGGCAACCAACAGCGTGCTTTGGAGAGTTTCTACAAAACTCAGGTATTTCTTAGTTCCTCCGACTTATATATACATCTTAACTCGTTGTGCAATAGGCCGCGGTATACGATGCAACCCGAAAACAACTCCTTCGAGGGCGCGAAGATATGCTAGGTCTGTTGGCAGCGCAATTGAAATGCAAGCAGCAGTCAGGACGGAAGCAATCGCCAAAGCCAATATGGGTTGATGTAAGTACTGCGTCGTAGAGTAGCTTCAGATCAAGCAACGAATTTACTAACAAACTAGATTGGTGGAGGGACCGGGTATGCCCCGGCTTTTATCTGATTTAAAACATGAGATTTTCTCTTCCTGTTGACTGTTAGTTAGATACAATATCGAGGCGATGGCGGCCTTTCTCCCAGTGGAATCATTTTTTGCCCATGTTTACCTCGTCGACCTCTCTCCCTCACTCTCCCAGATCGCTCGTCAGAGGTTCAGTCGACTTGGGTGGAAGAATGTTTCGGTGGTCTGCCAAGATGCGCGGGACTTTCGTCTTCCAAGCCGTACAAGTGACGAGCTCGTCAGTTCCGACAACAAGGTCAACAAGTTACGTCCAGCAACTGGCAGGGCGGATCTAGTCACGATGAGCTACAGCCTGTCGATGATCCCTGGTATTTTCTCTATTCTAATGCTATTCGCTAAAAAGACCATCACATTTGACACAATATCTGCTTGAATTCCTAGATTACTATAGCGTTGTGGACTCTTGTACATCTTTATTGAGCCCGTCAGGAACCCTTGGTGTATGCGACTTTTATGGTATGTTTATCCAGCTAAGAGCGTTGCAGCTCGGTTTCTGACCTTTAAACAAACTAGTTCAGAGCATCGTCGACTTGGCGTCTCGAAACTATACCGGCGGAGTATTCAATCGACATGTGAACTGGGTCGGAAGAGCATTTTGGCGGGCGTGGTTTGACGCTGATCGTGTTGCACTGGATGGCGCTCGTCGCGATTATCTTGAGTATCGGTTTGGCACAGTCATATCAGCTAGCGCAAGGAACTATCTTCTCGGTGGTATTCCTTACTATATTTTCATCGGATGCCAGAAAGAAATATATGGCAGCCAGCCAAACCCTAACAGCAAAGAAATAGTCGAGAAACTCGATGCTGCCTACACAGAATCCCCGTACCTCTCTCCAGCAAACCACCGCAAAGATGTATCAATGGCATTAGAAACGCAAGTTGCTGAAATTAGATCCAAAGCCTACGAATCAGCCGTCATCAACCTAACCACGAATTTACCCTTGCCTTCTTCGTTCTATCAAAATCACCACTGGAGGATATATTATAACGACATGTTAACAAAGCATACTCAGTTCGGGAATGAATACATCTACGCATTTACCTGGGAGGACCCCCGTGTGGACAATCGTTTATTAAATATTGGCAGCGACGATGTTATTTTGGCCATAACAAGTGCCGGTGACAACATCCTCGACTATTTACAATATAACCCCCGAAGGGTGCACGCGGTCGACCTCAACCCTACCCAAAACCACTTACTAGAGCTGAAGGTAGCGAGTTTTACCGCATTGGGTTACCGCGACTTCTGGAAGATATTTGGAGAGGGTAAACATCCTAACTTCAGAGAGTTATTAATCTCGCATCTCAGCCCCCACTTGTCTAGTCATGCCTTCCAATATTGGCTAGATCACTCCAATACGATCAGCGCACGGTCCGGGGTGGGCTTGTATGAGACAGGAGGTTCTAGATATGCGATAAAGATGGTCCGCTACCTGTTTACAATCTTCGGACTTTCCGTAGAAGTGAAAAGGCTCTGCGAAGCACAGACATTGGACGAACAACGGAAGATATGGCCCCGAATCCGCCGCGTTCTGATGAGCAGACTATTGCATTGGGCTGTGGTTGGCACCGAGTGGTTCGCATGGAAGGCTGCGGGGGTTCCCGCTGCACAAAGGAACATGATAATCACTGATTATCTCAATAGAAGTGGGCTCGCTGGGGGTGTGAAGAAAGATAACGAGGTTAGCGGCCAAGCTATCTGGGAATATGTGGTCAATACCTTGGATCCTGTTGTTAAGGACACTCTGATCAGCAACGATAACTACTTCTATTACCTTTGCCTCCAAGGTCGATATTCGAGAAGGTAGGAGTGAACCTCCCCTCACCCACCATCCGCGACTAAGAGCGCCCTTGGTATATGTCCAAATCGCAATCACTGAAGTACGGCAGATGTCATCCAAGCTATCTAACCCCCAAAGCCCACATGAAGCTTTCTACACCACATGCTTTTGACGGGCTCCGAATCCATACCGACGAGATCAACGAAGTCATTGCCAGAATCACACCAGGCACTCTTACGATCGCGGTCGTAAGTTAGCTACTCGCGTGCTCCCCCGCCAAATTACTAACATCTGCTAACGTGCTAATATTATGTAGGTGATGGACTCGATGGACTGGTTTGATCCCGCGAAGGAAGATGCGTCGAAGCAGGCACGGGCACTGAATAGCTCCCTTAAAATGGGCGGCCGCATCCTCCTTCGATCAGCCTCAATTCAGCCTTGGTATATAAAGAATTTCGAGGAAAATGGTTTCACTGCACAGCGTGTTGGTGCTAGATTTCCCGGATCATGCATCGATCGGTGAGTCGATTCAATGCTCGCTGTTTCAATCAATATATATTTGAATGTATCTAACTGTAGTAAATACTAACGGTAACTAATACCAGGGTAAATATGTACGCCTCAACTTGGATATGCAAAAAGACCAAAGACATCGCTCCTCCCCATCCTGTCACATGTGCCACCTCTCCCTTGACGCTGGAGAGGACGAATTCCGCCTCAAGCAGCATGGATGATCTTGAAATTTAGATCAGGAGGTAGAATGTCGTATTTCACAAGATAGAGTTTCTTCTTCTTCTTCTTCCTTTTTTCTAATTTTTATATTTATATACTCATACATATCTGCGAGGCTCAATGATTTTTCTTCTGAAGAAACATGATTTACGACCTGGGGGGTCTTTCGCCTTTCTTGGTGGTCTATCTTTTACACCGCATGTTAATAAATAATACCTCCGGCTGCACAGGCTATTTTGAGACCGCCCAGCTGAATGTATTTTCACCAATGTTGTCAAACTCAAAATATCACAACCGCCCATATCTCCAGCTTTCAGCCGAGATGTAAAAAATTGATGACGCCTATCTCATATTGCTTCTAAACTCACACACAATTTCCCTAAAACAAGCGCAACTCGTTCGTTTACTGAGTCTTTTAATGACCAATTTTCCGGATATCCCTTCTGGACCCAATCCTTAAACTCCCATCCCCCCAAGAGAAGTAGGCATCTTTACTATGAGCGGGATCTCAACATCTCTAGGCTTCCCGATGATCTCCGCTTTGTGAATCAATCTCACGTGGGACAAGCGCTCAAATCCCATATGCTCGTAAAGATGAAATCCCACCTCAGATGACTCGGTGTATATCGGGAGAACGAGCTTGTTGGCAAGGTCAATGCCCCATTGAATAAGCAACCGGCCCGCTCCACCACGCTGGTGATCCGGATGCACTGCGACTGCAGAAAGATCTTTCCCCAACGCCAATGTCAATTTTGGACATCCCTATTATCATTATTGCCTACCGGTAGAACAATATCTGTCGGAGCTGATATCTCGTATATCAAGGATCATATCATTGAAAGGGCAGAGAGTGGATTGTTGGGGTGAAACATGAGAAACTCTCACGCCACATGCCGGGTTACTACGTTCCTGCAGAGGACGATGCACGGTGTGATAATGGGATTGCGACAGGGGGTTCAAAATTCCGAGCTCCGCTGACGGCTGCTAAATTTACAGGGGTCTGGGCTGCAATACTGCGTACACAGGTGACAGGAGGCATGTAACTGTCCGAAGTGACCACCTAAAAGACAGTCACAGTAGCGGTCTTCCTAGTAATGGCTGAGGAGTTTCTTGAATCTATCAATCCAGCCAGCCAGCCAGCCAACCGGCCCGTTTTGAGTGGATGCTTGTGGGTGAATTTTTTCGGCGTAATCAATCTGATAAGATCAGGGAGGGGCTGTTATCAGATTGATAAGATTGGATTACACCTGCCAGGGCTTGGCATCCGAGGATTCCCGCTTCCAACGCTGCGGGTGCGACGTCGCTGCGACATGCGAGCGCGGAGCTGCTACGGCCGGGCGACGGAGGTGACGGAGGGATGGTGGATTCGCAACTGATAAAGACCCCTGATGGCCCTTCGCTTTTCTGCTTCTCTGCCCAGCTTTGAACGGTCCACCAGAGTTCACAGTTTTTCTGCCATACTTTGCTTGCCCCGCTAGTGACGAGTACGCCTTGACAGCTCCCTACCCATAATGACAGAGACACAGCCAACCCTCAATGGGCTCGCAGCCAAGATCTCTGAGCTTGCAGGAACCTTGACCAAGTTCCTGCAGGAGAAGAATATTCCGGCGCCGACTTTCGCAGCGAATAGCCCCACCAGCTATGTGGGCTTAACGCCAGAGATTTTCATGATACGACAAGGGCTTGTGGACGCATTGAATGATATGTGGTACCTGACACAGGGTCCAAGTGAAAGCATTTTCAATTACGTTCACACGGTGAGAAGTCCCAACCTCCCGGAGGGTCTTTTTTTTTTTTTTTTTTTTTTTTTTTGGAACTATCTGGGCAGCAAAAGTCTGACGTGAACAGGCCATGCCCGATGCCGCCGCGCTCAATACTCTGAATTACTTCGACTTCTGGTCTGCTGTGCCGGTTGAAGGCTCTGCTTCCTATGCCGATATTGCGAAACACACATCCCTCCCTGAAGATGTGGTTCATCGCATCTTGCAACATGCAATGACTCTTCGGATTTTCTCTGAGACAGAGCCCGGAAAGCCCTCGTCCCGCGTGCAGCACACGTCGCGCTCGGCTGCGCTCGCCCGTTCTTCAGGATTAAAGGCTCTTGTCTCAACAATCCTGGACGATGCAGGCGCGCCTATGATGGTCATGAATGAAGCGCTGGCGAGATATAACCGCGGGAAGCCCGCGCTGACGCAAGAAATGAATGAGTCTGCCTTCGCTTTGTTCCATAGGAGCGGTATATATGGCAACTATAGCAACTCCTGGGAGTTCCTGGAAAACGACGGCGAGGGAGAGAAAAAAGGGTGGCGGGCAGCGAATTTCGTGGAGTTTATGCGTTACGTGAAAGAAATCTTCCATCTGGAAGAAGTGGTACTTCAATCCCATGATTGGAAGGCGGAAGGGAAAGCAACGGTGGTAGATGTGAGTTGCCTCCCCCCCCCCCGGCACTCCTGTTGGACTGCGTCACTATGAATGGCTATTTCCATGACGAGGTTTCGCAGAGCGCAACCAGCTGACACTGTACTTCACAGGTGGGTGGCTCCGCTGGCCATGACGCCGTAGTCTTAGCACGGAACTTCCCAGATCTCAACGTCATAGTCGAGGACCTGCCGAAAGTCAAACCTGTGTTCGACGCAGAGCTTCCAGCGGAATTCAATACACGTGTGTCGTTTGTCGTGCACGACTTCTTCCAGCCGCAACCCGTCCAGGCCGACATTTACGTTTTCAAGATGATTCTGCACGACTGGCCGGACGATGAGGCGGCGAGGATCCTGCGTGCGTTGGTTCCCGCCCTGAAGCCCGGCGCGCGTGTCATCCTCTTCGAATACATGGGCAAACAAGATAACGCAGAGGGACCCGCGCTGCCCCGCTCGATTCAGCAGATGGGCACCGCGACGGACCTGAGGTTGATGGCGCTATTTAATGGGAAAGAGCGCGCGGTCGATGCGTGGAAGGGTATTTTCCGTGCTGCGGACGGGCGGTTTGATGTTGCCAGTGTCCAGGCGAATCCACAGACATTTTTCGCCGTGGTTGAGGCTGTGTGGCGTGGATGAGAGAGAGGATAGCCTTGCGTACCGTGAAGATAGTTTCATGAAGGACTAGTTATACAATTGAGCGGCTTGAGGAGACATCATTAAATCTCCCCTGGTTTTTAGCGTGTTGCATAGTTTAGTTTTTGAGTGCCAAAAGTGGTCTTCATAAAAAAAGGGAAACGTTCAGTACATCTATATGTATATGCATTTTACCTCACTTACTCCTAGCATCCGACAAGAGTAGTAAATCATGCTATTGCTTTATGACTATATTAACCTCTTGTTGCTACTCGAAGTACATGGACTATATAACAAAACGATTTAAAATTTGAAAATGTAGATATTTTTTTCATAGTGCCTTGAGGGGTAGTATGTGGGGGACTCGGGCCGACAACAACCCCAACGGCAAAAGGGGAGACAGTTTGCTGCAATAATTAACGGAAAAGGGTCTTTTTCTTTCTGGAAGGCCTTGGGAAAATGTCTGTACAATATACTAAATAAATGCAACTATGATGTGCTTGTATTAAGTAGTCACCTTGTGCAAAAATTAGGCCAGCTTCTTCGTATCGGCGAACACAACAGGCCTAGCTTGGACGAACAGCTCGCCGACTCAGGTTACTTTCCTGCTTAATCTTGATCCCCACAATAAAAAACATCGTCGGGAGTCAAGATGCTTCCACTCGGATTGGAGGCTGAGAACATTTGTTGTTCACTTAATAAATACAAACCAAATACTTTCATCAAACACCCCAAACTACAGTAAATCACATCCGCCAAAAAGGAAAAGGCCAAGCAAAATCAACAACAAAGTCTTAGAAAATGGATAACACTCCGCCCGCAATCCGAATCCCCCCCGCAGAAGTGGAGGATGCCTCAGCCCTCGCCCTGGTTGGATCGGATGCCTATTCCCGTGACCCCGTGACGTTATGCTTGATGGGAGAGCAAACGCCCGAAGGAATTGAGCACCGAACCAAAGAGCTTGCGGAGGGTATAGCGAAGAAAGACCCAAAGACGCGCTATATCAAGGCTGTGCTGGGTGAAGACACGGTTATCGGCCTGGGCATATGGCACTTTTACCTCGACGAGGAATCGAGTAAATCGCGGGTTGTCGATTTGGACCAGAAGGAGTGGGGTCCTGGCGCAAATGCGGAGGCGTGCAGGAAGTTCTTTGGAAGGATTTTTAAAAAGAGGGAAAGGATGTGTGGACAGAGGCATGTTGGTAGGTCCCTGTTTTCGAATTCCAGTCTTCTTTTTTTGGGCATCGCCATCTGCCATTGGCCCTTTTTTTCCTTTCCGTGCACGTTCTTCCCCCGTTTCCCATGTATTTTCTCGGGAAGGACAAGTCTCAGATTCAGACATATGACATTTTTTCTCACAGTATAAAAAGTACTTGGTTGTCTCGCGACCAAGATTGCCCAACAAGGTCTTGGTGCTGGCTCTGCAATGTTACAATATGGCGTTGACATTGCGGATGAAGAGAATATCCCTGTGTGGCTGGAGGCAAGTCTGGAGGGCCATAATTTGTATAAGAAGTTTGGGTTTCATGATGCCGAATCCTTTACATTGGACCTAAATAAAATTGGAGGAGAAGGAGAGAGACCTATTTTTGGAATGTTAAGGCTTCCCACACAGAACTGAAAGAGAGAAAAGGTGGAGAGCGCGTTTGTAAACTGCTGGAAGACCGTTTTCATTTTGGGAGATTGTATACGTGGATCGTCGGTCTCTAGCAAGCTTCTGAACATACCGAGAAGGACCGGTTCCATTGCTGTATATATTCAAGCCGAATATCACTCAGCTGTAGACTTGAAGTGCAATGGGCAAGGCCTTGGTCAAAATCCGTCCTGGACATTGAACATTCAGGAAAGGAGTCTCTGGGAGGGTGACGTAGAATCGAATCGGCCGTCGCATTTGAAGTCTAAGTTAACTAGTTAGTTAATCCTATTTGGGAAAAAGATTTTGGCTTCCAAAATCTCAACAAGTGACACCGAAACCCGTCCGTAATTAATTCAACGACCTCCCAAATAATGAATGAATTACAACTGTTTGTGGGCGGAAAGAGAGTCGAAGCTGAGAGTGGCTAGCACCAATAGGAGTCGAACACGCCTCGTTGGAATAACTACAGCTGTCGGTGCCCTGTCTCTACCGTCGTAAAGTCGATCGTCCGTCACAACCCACTGGCAGTGTTTCTTCTCCTGTAGCCAAACATGAAGCGAAGTTACGAGGTAATTTAATCTAATCCATATGCTATACCCGATCTAATATTCAGCACAGAATGCTCTCAAACTCTTGGAGATGCGCCGGCGACGCGACCGGCCACCAGCGCTTGCAGCATCCCCAGTGACGCAGGATACAGCCATGCCTGGCAATAATAATATTCAGAGGGGCGTGCCTAGTCTAGCTGGAATGTCTGAGTGGTTGCGGATCTTAGGTCACTCGGTAAGGAAGGTTTCTGGCCTGCAATTGTGATACTTAGCTTGTTCTTACCAGTGTCAGGACCGTGATCTTGACAAACTGAACATAGTCCATATTGCTGGGACGAAAGGGAAAGGCAGCACCTGCGCTTTCACGCGCTCTTTTCTCCATGCGCATGGTTTGAGAACAGGATTCCCAAGCCGTATCGGGTTATATACGTCCCCTCATTTGAAATGTATCAGGGAGAGAATACAGATCGACAATCAGCCAATAACGGAAGATATGTTTGAACGATATTTCTTTGAAGTGTGGGAATGCCTGACATCTTCCGAGATAGCGAGGTTGCCACGTTATCTGCAACTTCTGGCTCTATTGGCTTTCCACACATTTGTCAAGGAGAATGTTGATGCAGCAATATTCGAGACACACCATGGCGGGGAATATGATGCAACAAATGTGATATCGAAACCTGTTGTAACGGGAATCACCTCACTTGGCATGGACCACATTTCACAGCTGGGACCTACAATCGAGGATATAGCCTGGCATAAAGCTGGTGTTTTCAAAACCGGCACTCCTGCATTCTCCATATTACAGGAGGATGGTCTTCGTGCTGTTCTGGAAAAACGTGCCGCAGAGAAAGGGGTCAGCTTGACCTTCGTCTCAGCCAATGATGCCCTTCCTGATGGCAGTAGAGTGCTCAGCATTCCGGCTCAGCGACTGAACTGCTCTCTTGCCCTTGAGATAGTGGGAGCTTTTTTGAAGCTCAAGGCACCTGACCACACAATTGACTTGGGTGACATATCTAGTGGTATTGAGAATTTCTCATGGGCTGGGAGATTCGAGGTGATAGAAGATGGACCATCACGATGGTTCCTGGATGGAGCGCACAACATGATGAGTCTGGAACAGACGGCGGAATGGTTCTCAAATAATACCAATGCAACGGGTAGCCCAACGTAAGCCAGTTTATCCCTCTGACTAGTTGGGTAAGCTACTAACACAACTACAAAATATGGCTTAGCTTTCGTGTTTTAATCTTCAGCCACTGTTCAGCAGACCGCGACGGTGCGTCTCTTGTAGAGTGTCTGGCACATTCTATTTTGAAGCACAAAGCTGCGCCAAATTGTGTTATTTTCACAACCTACCAGGAGAGCGAGGGCGAGTCCACAAGAATAGGTATGTCAGCCGAAATTACACCACCACCTTAAACGTAATGCCGATTAACTTCTCCAATCTTTGACTTTTGTTTAGGCAACACTGGTATATTATCCGAGACATCTTTTCCTGAACTCAGCGGTTTATACTCTTCAATATGGACGAGTCTTAGCCCCAAATCTGTAGTTTCAATTGAGCCTACAATCGAGCGTGCAATTAAGCTTGCAAAACATATAGGTACCCAACAAGGTGGAATGGACGTGCTTGTAACCGGGAGCCTATATTTGGTTGGAGGGGCTCTTAATGTTTTACAAAGACAAATTGGTTCAAGCTAATTGGAGCCCTCCGCAAGAATCATGCGCTTTTTGACGGAACGATACCATTAGCTTGAATCTGGTAATTACATTTCTCAAACCCTCGCTGGTTTACAGAGCCATATTCTCCAATATTACAATTCATTCACAAAATTTGATACATCAACTAGTGCAAATTGGGTGAGACAAGCAGATTGAACAGGGCCGTGCAACTGAAGTCAAATTTGAAACTCATGGACGAATGTAACTGAAATACATACCCATAATCGACCTCTATCTACCTGGTTTTGAATGGCCATTTCGCGTGTTGAACAGATGGGAACACAGAAAATAAAACAAAAGAGCCACTGCCGGGCATTCAGCTAATCCCCATACTCATCCACAATCCATTGGCAGAATCCCTCCCACGACTCCTGCCAACGCTTTATCCTTTCAGCACGGATACCACTGCCATTGATGCCAAGTTCAATATCCTGAAGCCACTCGTCCTCAGTCTGGTCTTCATATATGCCCCAGCGAATACTGTTCTCTGCCAGTGATCCTAGCCCAGCCAGCCCGAGGTTCTCCCAACCTTGCAGTGCCGACCAAAAGTCATGAGACATTCCCGAGGTGCCTTGGCCTAGGAGAGCGGGATCATCGTTGCTAAGTGATGCTGGGACACCACGAGCTAGCAGCGCGGGAAGGGGATGCGCCAGAACCGTTGCCGTCAATCTCAGAACTTCATTTGAAATCGGACACGATTCAATAAGTATTTTCCTTTCCTTGACTAGATCAATCAGATCAGGATGTTTGTATAGCGAGAAAGCGTGCCCGATGCGTCGAGTCCTGAGCAAGATGGCGTCGTAGAGATTCTCATCTGTGCCATCGCCATCCCCTAGACACTCTCCCGCATGGAAAAAGAAGGGTATCTCCAGCTTCTCCTCGATGCATTTTTGCCGGAACCATATCAACTCCGGGGTCAAGTCTTTGAGAGTGCGCCCCATATCTTCCTGGCCCACGAGATCGAAGCCGGCGATTAAATGCGGGTGTGCCTTTTTGGCAAGAATGCAATTTTGCATGTCTTACCAGCAGGAGAGGAGTTAGTCAACGGCCTACACCCAGAGAATTTACAGGCTTAAACGTACTTTGGATTATAGGTTCCGTGCCCATGGACCGTATCCCCGTCCAGATGATACGCCCCCCCCAAAAATTCTCACCCAGCTTCGTTGCCTTGAACTTCTCCATCTCCTCTCCGATGGCCCGGACCATCTCGCTGAAATCTCCGCAGGGAGCATCCTCATGTTCACGCCAATATGGCTCTGTAAATGCATCTCTAAATTCCACCCACTGGACCCCATCTTTCGCGATCGTCTCAAGTAACTTCTGGATAAAAGCGCGTAGAATGGGCTCATAATACGTAATCGAGCCCAGAGTGACAAACGCAGACGTAAACTTCCGCCAGATCGCGTCTACACCAAGATGGTGCTCTATAGAGTCTTTTGCGACAATTGACGTCCGATCCTTCAGCCACGAGATAAAACCCTTCCGACCACCATCTGGGAAACTATCCGCAGCAGCATTGGCATCGATCAGCGCACCAGGTTCATATCCGGATTTCCAGACCGATGCAGAGACTTTCGACACGGCGCTCGAGTAAGTAAACCGCACCGCAGCCGTGCGGCGATTACTCTCAGAGTGCAGCGGTACCGTCGAGTAGAAATACATTCCCGGCGTCGCCAGCGTTTTCTCATAGAGCCAGCCAAGATCCACCATTGCTGACATGTGGCAATGAAGAAGGGCGCCCTTGGGCATTCTGCACGCGATTTTCCATAGCTTCGTGGACTCCATGCGCCTCTTGGCCAACAAGAACATCATTCCGGGATACAGTTCTTCTTCACCACCCTCATCATTGCATGTTTGGCATGTTTGGCGCCAGATCGAATTCTGTTCTTCGCTCCGGATGCGACGAACAATATCGCAGGCCTTCTGGGCTGTTGGTGAGAGGGAACGGCGGAAGTCGGCATCTGCAGCGTTGTAAATTTCAAATGTTAGATTATCGGGTAGGATACTGTGCGATATCTTTTGCAAATCGGCAGAATCTGCGCATGAATTTTATTTTATGGGGTAATTTGTAGTAGTAGCTAACCGCTGCGGTTTCCTCTCTCCTGTGAGATCAGTGCCTGGCGGCTCTGGAGATGATTTGAGACACCGGAGCTGACATCGTCGGGGATGCATGTTGGGATGCTATTGCTCCCCATTGCCAAATGATGGACAATGCAAATTAAAGCCGGGTATCTGTGGAGTTTCTGTGGAGCAAATATTGATCAAAGGCAACTCTCAATATCAACCCTTTTCCCTACGAGGCAGAACTATTCTGTTCCAAGAATGAGACCAGTGGGTGAGAGCGCAAACGGCTGCGGAGAAATAATGAAGAGCATAGGGTCCTCCCCCGTTCTGTGGATATCTCCGCGTAGATGTTCGGCTGTAAGCTCGAGGTCAGAGAATGACAGCTCCTCTATCAACGTTCCGTCAGCTCCATTGGTGCCTGGATAGACATCAGCACGGCGATTAAAACGTGTTTCCATTTTGGCTGTTGTTGGGGCGGGCCAGTTTCAGAGCTTAGCCTGCTCTTTGGCGCGAACGGAGAGGGGCTGATGCTAGTCCTGGTGCATGTAGTCGTCTCCATTACGGAGTATTCAGTTCTTATTTCTCACGGCCGAAGAGAATTACCCCTAGTTACTACATTCGCATTCGCTTTTAGTCAAAAGAAATCCCAAGGACCATAATTCGACAGAGTTAAGCTGAAGGCTATTCCATATTAGCATTCAAAAAGCCGCTGGCGTCATATCAGATTTTGCCTCCATGCCTGCAAGCCGTGCTTTCGATTAACTTCCCATCGATGGCTGGCGCTAGAGAAAACCACATTTTGTTGCACACCAGGGTTTATTTAGTCTTTGATCTACAAGCCATTGCCTGTGGAAAGTAGCTTTGACAGAAGCTCCGATTGACGTCCAGGTTCCAAGATTACCAACAATGCCAGCAATTCTATAAAGTCAATACCCAAAACATAACCATATGACCTCACTGGCCCAAAGAACTCAAAAAAATAGGGAGAAGAAGGGGAAGGGAGGCGAAATGGGAGGGAAGGTGAAATCGAACGTTTAAAAGACTCACACCACCCATCAGCGTGCGTGAGGGGGTTGAAGAATGAATCACCAACACAACATAATCAGTGACATTTTGATACCAAAAAAGAAAAGAAAAAATATCCTTAGCAATACAATCCCGATCATGTCCGGAATTAGAGATACGTGGAATACAGGTCGCCGCACAGAGCAGCAAGAATGGCAGAGCAACCCGCCGCGGTCTAGCGGAGACACAGAAGGTGGCATGCAGGGCATGCAGGGCATGCATGGCTCCCAAGGAATTGGCCAGAGCGAATTGGGCCCATCTAATATCTACGGCACCCAGTCAACTCAGGGTTACGGTGCTGGTGAGGAGCAGCAGTATGGCCAACACAAAATGGGCCGCAGCAGCCAGCCGATGTCCTCTGGAATGGGACAAGGCCAGGAGGGAATCCACAACTTGGGAGCACAGGGCATGGGCAGTGAGCGTATAGGGAACCAGGGAATAGGAAGCGAGGGAATGCGGTCCGAAAACTGGCAGGATCAGCCTGGTGAAAGCCTGGGAAGAAAACGTGGCTCGCAGTCCTCAGAGGCTTCCGACATAAGCTCAGCATCCCAGGAGTCCCATGACGATAAGTCAGGTAAGCTTCCTTGTTTTGAGGTTAGAATGTTCTAGTTTGAGGAGTTAAACAACTCTGCTGACAGGAAGTAGGTGGCAGTGGCCTTTTGCAAAAAGCCAAGGATAAGTTGTCTGGGGTCCGCTAAAGGGGATTTATTGGATATGTTGGAAAATAAAAAGCATTCGCAAATTGGATACTGGTGGCGATATTGTTCGATATTTGTTTGTTCCTGATCATGTCAATAAAACGAGAAACAGGGTGATCTATATTTTCACACCTCCAAAAAAAGATAATAATAATAATGAAAAAAAAAAAAGGCCGGTGATGGCTAAAAAGTTGGCTCACATGTTCAATTCCAAATGGGAAAAATTCAAATTCAAATTCAAAAAAAATCTTTGCGTTGGACCGTTTCAATGTAATCATATTGCTGGATTGATTTTAGACAAATAGAATGTATACTGCAGTCGTTGGCTGTAGAAAATGTCTATTTACATATATAATATACACGCCGAAAAATATTATGGTGTGTATTTATTCATTTGACCATTCCGGCTTCCGCTTTTCAGCGAATGCGGTCATTCCTGCAATGTGCTCATTAGAATCCGAAACAGACATACAATTGGAACTGGGGAGTCAAGGGCATGTGTTCATACCGATTTTCTGATCCTTACTGCCGAAAAGTCCGTGGAATAAACGTCTTTCATACTCCACGCCTTCCTTCAGGGATAGTTCTTGGCTCTTGTTGACGACCTCCTTTGCAGCAACGACTGCGACACGGCTGTAGCCCGCAATGACGCTAGCGGTCTCGACTGCTGCTTCAACCAATTCATCCTGACCTCCGTCGATGACCCGGGCAGCCAGACCCCACTCCCCAGCTTCTTTCCCACTGAAGTTCTTTCCGGTCAGGATGAGCTCCATAGCTTTGCTCTTTCCAATTGCTCTTGTGAGGCGCTGGGAGCCACCAGCACCAGGGATAGTTCCAAGTTTGATCTCTGGTTGCCCGAACGTTGCTTTAGAGGTGCAGTATAGGATATCGCACATCATTGCAAGCTCGCATCCGCCGCCAAGCGCATATCCAGACACAGCCGCGATAACAGGGGTACGGATCGTATTTGCGAGATGTGACCAGGGGGCAATGAAGTTGTTCGAATATGCAGACGCGAAAGTGAGGGGTGCCATCTCTTTGATATCGGCGCCAGCTATAATCTGTCAACACTGTGTGTTCGATTGATATTCCTCAAGTGGGATGAATTACCCGCGAAAGCCTTTTCACTGCCAGTAAGGACTATGGCACCAATGTCCTTGTCCTCATCATATTTCGTAAGGGCATCGTTCAATTCACGAAAAAGCGGGCTGGAAAGAGCGTTAAGAGCTTTTGGTCTGTTCAAAGTGACTACGTGATGTTTTGTCAGCGTGGTTATGTCAATGCGGGAATTCCACAATAAAATAAAACCACTTCAAGTTCCATTGTCCTGTGAGTACATACTGAGGCCAACTCCTGGTTTCGGGGTGGAGACGAGGATATGTTCGTAGGCTGGAGAAGCTGTGGAGTAAAGCCGGCTGTTCCTCAAACATGAGGTCAAAGGCGTTGCAACCACGCGCGCAACAAGCCGCTCACATTGTCTAACAAACATCTTAGATAGCCAGACTGGTAGCAACAGCACTAATTGGATAGCAATTAGATAATAATTGAGATGCCCGCGCTGCCTTGCCTCCCCTTTGCTGTGGTTGTGATGGTTGTTGATTCGAACTTATCTCACAACAGCCGGAGTTCGATGATGGTTTTGCCGAGGCCAACCGACAGGTCTAATCACGTGAATAACATTAGATAAAATACGCTAACCCTAATCAGAAACATTGTTACTAAGCCAATTGTGGCTTGAAAATCTTCAGCCACGTTTTGTTTCCGACCAGATATCAAATCGTGACTGACAGAGAGCCAAGTTCTACCTCTGGCGCGCAATTCCTGTGAACTGACGTGGTCTGCGTCAGATATCCCTTTCGCCGTGGATTTGTGGGAATATTGCTGATTTATTCGTTTGTTCATTTTGCGCCATGGATGCCGTTGAGCCTGACCAGACGCCTTTTGCGGCAGTGACGACGCATACCTCAAAGCTGGCTCGGGTATGTGGTTTTCCATGCTATATAGCATCAACGCAGTCTGTTGTAACAGATTGTGGATTTGGGGCCTTTAAATTTATCTACCCAATTCTTTTCTTTACCAGCGAAGATGGCTGATGCTGATGTTTTGTGTGATTTAGAAATACCAAGCCTATCTTGATGCCGCAACCCCTTACACTACATACCGATGGATAGGCACTGGCCTTCTGCTTGTTGTCTTCTTCTTGAGAATTGTTATGGCACAGGGCTGGTATATCGGTACTTCCTCCCCCGCCGATTGCACAGGACCTATCTTTACTGAAACCCATCGTTAAATTGAAAACTAATCCATTGACCGGCAGTCGCCTACACCCTGGGAATCTATCTTCTCAACCTCTTTCTTGCCTTTCTACAACCCAAGTTCGATCCATCTCTCACGCAGGATGAGGGCCTAGAGGATGGCGAAAGCTCTCTCCCAACCAAACAGGACGACGAGTTCCGCCCTTTCATTCGAAGACTCCCTGAGTTCAAATTTTGGCATTCGGCCACCCGGGCGATCTTCATCGCATTCCTCTGCTCCTGGTCGGAGATCTTCAATATCCCCGTCTTCTGGCCTGTCTTGGTGGTCTACTGGTTGCTGCTATTTGGCCTCACGAGTATGTTCTAAATCAACTAGCCTCAATTTCATTCTCGATAACCCCGTACATACATATGTCAAGTACCTGGATATTGATATTCTATATTAGTGCGACGACAAATACAACACATGATTAAATACCGCTACGTCCCCTTCACGTTCGGCAAAGCGAAATATGGCCGTAGCTAAAGACAGACATAATCCATGCCTGTTTCTTGCTCCTTACGACTTACTATCCCCGCGTCCAACCGTTCGCCTTCTTTTCTATGTTCTTCTTCTGCGTCGTACAATCTATTATTACTCGCCAGCATATGCAAATAAACAATAAATATAATAACTGAAATTGAAAATGAAACGGAAGGCCACATGGCGCATGGCGCATGGCATGGCAATATTTATATATTGTGTGCTGTCTAACTTCCTTTCAACCGCATTCAATTCCCTATTCCCATGCTCTTCTGTGTATAAATAGGATTTAGAGACGGTGGTTGTTCTAAGCATTTGTTCCACTCTCAAAATGAACAGCGATGGCCCTTTTCAAGTGGGCGTTTTTTTTTTTTTTTTCTTCCGTGAAGATATTCCAAAATGATTCAGCCGTTCGTCGCTTTTCCTCGATGGAGCACACGACTAGAACCAACAACTGGAGCATTTTCTGACTTTTCTTTATTTCTATTTTCTTATTTTATTCCTACTTATTATATTATCACAATTGTCGTTTTTACCCAGCTGGGTGTATCATGATGAGACAAATAGGCATTCCTGCGACAAAAGGATCAATGAGTTAAGTGTATTTTGCTTTTATTTCTTAACTTACATAGTAAAAGAACGCAAATTCCCCTTTGACGAATCATTTGATTTACTCTTTGATAGAAAATGGCTTCAAACCATTGAAATAGAACCAATGAGATGTAAATACAGATACACATACAGATACAGATACAGATACAGATACAGATACAGGAATATAATTATTCAAAAAGGGTATCTCTCCTTGAAACAACTGCATATTGGTGTTTCAAAGGCCTGGAAGGGCTGTAACATAGGAATCCTTCATAAATCCCTAGAAACCCGGGACAAATTTGACCAAAAACTGTGCCAGCCTCACTGAGTATTCATGAGATTTGATAAAGTAGATGTTGAATAATATATGGATACTAGGTGAATATTTATGATGAAAACAACACAGCAGACAGACGGAAAGCCCTTATAGAGAACTTTCAATGTCTATCTGATACATCTCGCCTATCACATCATTAATACCTGCGATGCATTCGAGTTCACAGTCCCACTGTTGGTCTGTGTCGCACCACTGTCTGCGCCGAACGATGGAATCGACGACGACAAACAATTGTCCAGGAATGTCGATGTCCATTTCGGGATCGCTTAGATCTTGCACGGATCTGCACCTCTCTGCTAAGGCTCTCACCATGCAATGGCAGTGGCTTCGGGCTTGATCTATCCAGTTGGCTGCTGCCATCGCCAAGCCGCTTGACAGCTCTAGTTAACTAACTCTTCAGCCCTCCAGAGTGACGCCATAGGAGTGCTTTGCGATGGCTCTGCTCGTATTGTGGAGCTCTAACAAAGTTATATATTTGCTGTGTTCCAGCACTCCCAAATACGCAGCTGCCTCAGAATACATTAATTATTGTATTTTTCATTGGGGTTGTCCATCCGCCTGGCAATTGGCATTGATCCGGTGGTTGTTCCTTATCCTTCTCGGGCAACAATGGAGAAAGGCGGGAAGCAGGTGATATTCCGCGTCAAAAATCCGCCAGCACAACCAAGGGCGTCACGGAAACAGTCGTCGCTCGTTTGCGAAGGCCAATCGGTTGATCCAGTGTACCATCCACGACAGGCACATCGCAAATCCCGAACTGGTTGTGTAAACTGCAAGCAACGGCTGATAAAGGTAACAGTGTCCATTTATCTGGAGTGGCTTCTACATATTTCTAACGAAATGATGGATTAGTGTGATGAGATAAAGCCATGCTGCCGGAGATGTGAGATTTATGGAGTAGATTGCTCTTACTCATCTCCAAAATCATCACCCAAGATGCGGCCATCGGCGATGTCTGGATATACTCCCTCACCTGACGGACACTGTCAAAATATGGCAGCAAGCGATTTGGCTTGTCATCTAGAGCGTCTTTTGTGTCACACCGATAATGGCTTTGTATCGGGGTCATTCCGTGCACAGGCATACAAGTGTCTATATCTTTTTATCAACGGACTTTCCGGAAGAGTCCCCGCGACTCCAACCTTCGCCGCAGTTATCAAGGGGGATATGATTCGGCTGGCGTTGCAGATGTGTCAAAATTTTTGTCCAGATGTTGAGTCAATGCCAGGAAAAACGGATATTAATGCCAATACCTACTCAACCTAGACACCGTACCTTATGCACGCTATATTAGGAATCTCCAACGCGTATTTAGCAAGGGCCTTGCCGAGTTCTGCATGCTACAGAGTTCGAGAAACTCGCCATCTCATAGATGCACTTCGTCTTTATCAGCAGGAGCTGAAGTCCCAGATCACCAAGGACAACATGGACGGAATAATGTCGACGTGCATGTTATTATCGGATGTCCCTCTATTGGAAGTGGAAAACTCACCCTCCGACTCATTCGTATTCTCCTCTGACCCTTCAGCCCTAAACTGGCTTCTAATGCAATCCGGCCTCTCATGCCTACTTCTGTACACTCAACCATACCTTTCAGAAAGCATCTGGTTCGTACCCTTCATGGAATCATATAACGAATATCTGAAAACCAGGGACCGCCGCACCGGCCGGGAAGGACTCCACGCTGAACTTGCTCAGTTATGCGAAATAAAAGACGACAGCAATGACGAGAACAACACGTACCATGAAGCCCTACGAAGCCTCATGCCGATTCTGGACATGGAAACTAATCGCACCAACTTTGTGACCATGGCTTCATATATGGGTAACCTGAAGCCCAAGTTCACCGCATTAATTGGGAACAGGGAACCTAGAGCGCTTCTTATCTTAGCGTTCTGGTTGGGCAAAATGTGCGAAGATCCGTCCTGCTGGGTTTATGCGAGAATGCATATGGAATGTCTGGCTATCTGCATGTATCTTGAGAGCAATTCGGATCCCCGAGTAGTTGGTCTTTTGGAATACCCGGTGTCTCGGTGCGGTTACGCGTTAAAGCACAACTGAGAGGACAGTTTCCTTCGGCTGGGAGATATGGAATATGCTGTAGGCAAAATGCGTTTTGAAATGTTTCAAGAGGGGCTTTTGTTTACCCCCTTTACCAAAAGCATTTACCCCGTGAAATTAAGCCGCGATAAAATAGCCTGCAAATATCTTGTAGGGAAATGGCATCGCCCTTCCCTTCCCTTACCAACCCCACCCTCTCCCCAGGCCCCATCCACTCGCCTAGAAATATCACTTTCATTCATAGAGATTAGATCATTAGGAATATGAAATCCAAAATAGGCCTTCGGAAGAGCAAAACCTGTAAAACTCCTCCTTAATTCTTAAGTCTACGGATTGCTCTAACTTTAACTACACTCGATAAATGTATTGTACAGTGTATAAATATGTCTGGGCCAATTTGTAATAGTTACGAAAGGAAACGAACTCTCTCATCAGCCTATCCCAACTAGATAAAAAATTAAAATGTCTGATTGACCGTACTAGGCCCACATCCCCTTGAACTTCGTGTTGAACTCTGCCTGTAATAGCTTGAATCCTTTCAGCACATTGATGATCCCACCACGATCCATTCCGTCCCATGGAGCCGCGGGTTCATCATCGTCCCAAAAATCGCTCGCTGCGGGAGCACCGTCATCTTCATCACCACCACTTTCCTCCACACCGTCATATTCCCAGCTGCTCACCACCTTCTTCTTCTTCTTCTTGATTGTTTTTGCAGAAGTCATTAGGGCTGGGGTGGAACGAGCAGTTGTTGTTTGCGGCATATGCCGGCTCAAAACTCCTCCCGCGCTTCCAAGTTCCATGCCACCAAATCCATCGTGCATTGCTCCCACATCCACTTCTTCCTCATGCATGTCCCCGGTTCCCATGACCTCCGCTATATCCGCCTCCGTGCCCGGCGCCAGCTTCAGGAAGTTTTCAAAACTCGTCACAATCGTTGCAAGGACTAGGGAAAAGTCATTCAACAAGTACCAAATGTCGCTATTTCGAATTCCATTGTCCCTTTCAATCGCGTTAACATTGCTGTGCTTGAAGAAATCGTATAAGTGCGCGTTAGCGGTTCCCTATCCTCCTCGGGATAGAGTCCCCGAGTACGGAACAACAGCCTTTTCGAGCCAGACGCCGCTGCGAACTGTTGTCGTAGAGATCAAAAATGTTACTCCACTCGTCTCCATGTCCTGATAGAGCATAAAATGCCGACGTATACTTCGAGGGTGATTGACCAGTAGTCTATCTCAACTTAACCTCGATATCCCCACCACATTTCATTCCCGTGAGCGGTAGCTCACAGTCTGGCTCTGTAATATGCTGATCCACAAACGTCTTGACATAGGTGCTGTATGTCTGAAATATCTCCCGATTACTGCGACGTAGCACCTTAGCCGCTTTGCCAGGCATGGGTGGAAGGACAATAACCGAAGTCGACCTTTTGAATGCGGTTTTCTGATTTTCCAGGGCAGAGAGTCGCGTCCGAGAAGGTGAGACAATACCAGCATCAGCGTAAGGAGTTTCTGTTCGGTGCGGGTGTCAAGATCTCTAGATAAACCATGGAAGTAGCCATCCTTCAACAGCGCGTGGAAGGCGAAACTAGAGTTCTCCACAAAATAGAGATGGGAGACGCATCCTGCAAAGTATAAAGGCGCGCCGTCTGGTTCTAAAAGGTGATTGCGGCGTAGGAATTCGATAGAGAACCGTAGATGATGCAATACATGTTCTCGCGCCTCTCCTCCACCAAGGTAGATGTGTGGGCATGAGATAAGGGAGTTGACCATCCTCACCGCATTAGGCGCCTGCTTCGATTCATGCAACAATGCGAAAAGGCGAAGTGCCAGGCTAGTCGTGATGGGAAAATGGCCGTGTAGATCTGGAAGTCTTGAACTAAGTAAGCGGCAGATTTTCGAGTAGGGAAGACCCTGAAAGACAACGTTTCCAAGTACATCAAAGCCTCGACGGCCAGCACGGCCAGCAGCCTGACGGAAGTTGAGCGCGGTGAGGTAGATAGAGTCGCCGGAGAACACAACAGTCCTGCAAGGCATGTTAATACCAAGCCCAAGTGTGCCAGTGGCAATAACAACCCGTAAATACCCCTTTCGGACGAGTATTTCACACACTTGGCGGTACTTACGGTTCATGCCAGCGCGATGAACACCGATGCCACGTCGTAAGGCAGCGATCAGCCGTTCCGGGACAAAGCGTCTCCTCAGTTCCTGAGCGTGTACCTCAAATTCGGATGGCGTGAGCTTTTTGACGTCGGTAAGATGAAAGCCCTCCAATGGGGCTTCAGGATCGAAAGATTCAAAGACACTGGCTTCCGCAGTTGCCTCTTCCCACATGCGATCCTCTCGAGATATTTGGTCATTGCCCTTCTTGCCCTTCTTCACATCAACCGGAGCCGCCTTCTTGGCCCGTTTGTCTTTGGATATTTTCCAAGACTCAAACGTAGTAACTTTAGCTTTCCAAGCTGAGTTCGATGCTTTCCATTTTTCTTCTGCTTCCTCAAATTCACTAAACACTATATCTCACAGAGCGCCTCGCAGGCACCTCGGTCATAATTGAAGAAGAGCGCTGGAAGGGCGCCTTGTTCGTGGAGCGAGCAGATGAGCGGAACTGTCGTGTCTAAGAAGTTGTTACGGACGAAGGTTGGTGAAAATTCAGGCTGTCTGGACTTGCCAGACGAAATCTGAATATCGGGTCGTTGGGCACTTTTCACGGAAAATTCAAGCGCTTTTAGGACTAAATCAAAAGGCGACTTTGGATCCATGATCTAGGTCTTCAAGAGCGGTTTGAGTCGAGCCTTCCAATTGATAATGTCGACTTTGCGAATAACGCTTGGTAGGGCAACGGAAGGGTCAAGCGATTCGTCACAGGAAAGCCTGCTGTTTGGTATCTCGCCATAGCCTTCCAAAGTAGCCAACAATCGCGTGCCTCGAAAGTCAGATCATCTGGCATTCCCCTTGAACGGTCAACAATGGACTCTACTGGGTGTATGTATATATGCCATGCCAAACGCATTGTCGAGACCCGTGGGGGCGAAAGGTACGGAGTCTGGGAAGCCATTGAAGTGAAATTTTGTTGGTGGGTTGTAAACAAATTTCCGCAAATCAGAATAGCGATGGCGATGTTCTATCGTAGTGAGGTCGGTCCCATTCTCCATCTGGGTCATGCGGAGCCAATTGCTGAACTCCTGTGGGTTTCCAACTGTAGCAGATAAAGCTATAACAGGACAGGGGGCAAGGAGCAACAATTGCTCCCATACAACACCATCATTCACTTGGCCGATGCAGTGTATTTCGTCGAACATTATGCGCTTGACTCGGGGTACTATGAGTTCGCATTCGCTGGCGCAAGGAGCATAATCTGTAGAATATGTGGACCCCTAACTAGAATTTGACAGCCGGTAGGGTTGTTGATGCGGTAATCGCGGGTATGGATGGCTCATACAGAGATTCCACCGTGCTTGAAGGACTTCGAAAATCGAGCTTGGATTTCGGCAGCGACCTGATTAACAAGAGCCTTTGTTAGAGAAACATACACCAATACACTGTTGTAGTCTTCTCCAAGAATTTTTTTCATCGCGTAAAATCTGTTGCACGGCGTAGTGTTAAACACTGCAAACTTGGGATATTATGAAGTAACAGCGAAGAAAAGCTCTTACGCGGCAAAACCCAAGAAATAAACGTCTTTCCTGCGGAAGTAGGTGCAACCACGAACAAGCTTCTGTTCGCATCAATCTCGTCAAGAACCTCCCGCTGCCACTTGTCAGGCTCAAAATCATGGACAAGGGGTTCGCGGGCAGAATACATATTCCGATCAAAGAAAGGAGCAGCATGGCTGAGCTGGAATTCGGTAGGAGACAATCCGATATCCAGAACTCCATTTTTAGCATCTTCTAGAAGAGGAAATCTCACAGCTGCTTGCGATAGCTTCAGACTGAATTGAACTCCAAGCTCCACCTGTGGCAACCGAAGGGCTTTGACAGTTTCTGTAACGTATTCCGCAATGTCGGGGTCCCTTCCTTGATCTTAGAAATACGACAAACCATATCCCAAATAAACGCCGCAATATGGAGTGACCAGTTTCGCACTTTTGTTTCCTTTTAATCATCGACGAAAATGTGAAGGGGAGATCTGGAGAAGTGTCAACTTACCCAAGATTAATATTTCAGATGTAATGCTGACTCCACACAGTCGCTTCACCCATATAATGAGAGACTCGAACTTTAAAACCACTAACGAATTGGAAAGATTCTGTGAAAACCCTAAGTTCAAAAAATAAAAAATATTCTACCATCAAGTAAATCAGCTAAATCGCAATATGTTGTGTTGTTGCCCACAAATTCTTTCCAATAACCAGATCTGAGAACTTGGTAGGCGAATGTAATAAATTTTGAGAAGAAAATACCACCCCGGTTTGACTTGGGGCTGACTGCGCGATCGGAAAGACGAAACTCATGCAGAGTGGCAGTGTGTATTAGTATTGCCTCCGATTCCGCGACACTGTGTCCTTCTAGGACACCGTATTTGTACATCAGGGTCAGCGTCATGACGACGACAAGGTCACGCTGGGTCAGGTCCTAACAATCGGATTTCTTCAAGATGTTCTGGAATTCTTTCAAGTCCTGCGGGTCTCTTGCTCCCTTTTTTGATTCAGGGATAACTACCACTCGTGTTTAAATCCAATTTGGCGAGTTCCTTGGCGACGACCTCTTTAGCATCAGTATCGTCCAAACTGCTAGAGTCAGACTCTGATTCCGCATCAGACCTTCCGTCTTCTTCATAAACCCCGCTAGTAATCCCAGTTTGTTCATCATCAGCGGTGGACATGTATGGGGACGCCTTTCGAGCCCCTGTTGCGCTGCCTGTAACAATTATCGCCATTACCTGTTCCCCGATCCATATCAGTTCTCTCATATCTAGGTAATTGGTGAGAATAGGAGCAAAGGGAAATTAAACGCACCTTGGTATCCCGACATTCCAGACCATTGAGGAGGGCAATACTATAACCTAGACAAACGAACCAGTTTATCATTGACCGAAAACCAATAGCATGACTGGTAAGATTGATCGAAACTGCTGATGGAACCTCTTAAGAACTGTAATCACTCGCCTGGCCATCTTCGTCTTTGGGGCTGGCACTGTATTCAACTCCCGGCTCAATATTGACAAAAGCACCGTCATGACACATGATAAAATACGCTTTAGAGGCAGTCAAGAAGCTCTTAAAATCGCTGGCGTAATAAGAATCAAAAACCCTAACCTTTGTAGGAGAAGTTCGACCGTCCATATTACTCGAGAAATGCTGGATAATAGATTCTCGGGCCAGAAGGTACCTGGAATGCAGGTCACCCTGGGTATTAGGTGGGATGCATAGCTCTGCATTGTCCTCAAAAAAGACGAGATGGAAAGTGGATTTCCGCTGCGCAGAAAATTCTCGATCATATAGGTGGCATGTAGCAGCTGGAAGCCAGGGTTAACAACTCATCACCTGCGTAATCTCCCACCAGGTCGACACTTCGGGATTTCAAACCCGCATACCTAAAGGTTATATATTAGATCGAATATTGTCTCTTTTTATTGTAGAGAGGGGTATGTTCACCAATGTAAAACAGTCTCTGTCTTTCCCATATTCAGACACAGCTAGAGCAAGGTAGAGCCTGGAAAGATAATAAAAAAACGATTTTAGATCTTAACTTATCATAAGCGGTTGGAAGACCTGCAAGGCGTTCAAGGAAGGTTTCTGTAGGGAAACAACTCATAAAAACAAGCAAATGGGGCGATCAAGTCCCTCTGCTGGGGTAATAGAAAGCCAGGACAGAAAAACTTATAGAAAAGCAAGAACAGCTATCCCACAAAGTAAGTGGTAATATGGATTATTTCTATCTTTGTATCCTTTCCAGGCCCAGGGACGTAATGCCCTCTATGGCACTGGATGGTTCAAGCAGGAGGCCTCGCTGCAGAAGACACGCCTGGCACTGCAGACACTGCCAATGGTAGCAAGGAGCCTGATGAAATTGGAACGAAAAGCCCATCAAGCCATCAATAGTTGAAATCCAAGAGAGCCTTGATGATCATGGGCCTGATGTAGATAATGGCAGGAAGTGTTTTATGGCTAGTTTCAGCCTTGTTGGAGGCCTCATTTTGTTTTGTGTGGGATGCGTTGCTGGCCTTAACACCTCCATTAACACTGGGCGGATGAGCATCACCAACACACACACACCAAATGCCCCGACGCAAGGTGGATGCGCGAACCAGGATATGCATCAGCAAGGTCTGATGTCTGCATATACTATCCGTGCTCGCGCACCTACCGAACGCCGTACAGTGAGAGATATGATCTAATACTATCGCTTGGTATCTTTTGATCTCCAGTGTTAGCCGCCACGGTAGGGGAACATGCAAACGGAGCACACAGCATGAGGGGGGATTGAGGCACCCTGGTGCCGTTCTACAGCGACAAGGATTGCGGGCCGGTTACCCGACCCAGAATCTCGCATATCCTAACTGGCTGACCGGTTTGCCAATTCCTATAATTTGGATTGGGAATGCACGGGATAAATGGAATGGATGGCAAACGAGGGGTAAACGGTGCCGAGACGATGGGAACACAACGCTCAGACAGAGGACATAGACCAGGAAAATGTGCATATAGTTATTTGCCTCTAAAACTTCATGTGGATGCTTCGTTAAAGAAAAATTTCGTTGCCTGTAACTAAGGTCCATGCCGCGCTACATACAGGACCGACCACAGGGAGTGGGGAGGAGGAGAATAAAGGTGGATTGATGTGGAAAACTCGCCTTGCTACAAACCAACTATAACCACTAGTTGCGCCATGGGCCACTCAAATGGAAATAACTACTAATCGTGCCGCGCGCACCCACACCTGATGTGGGTGCGCCACACCGTAACGATAAAAACAGCGTAACGATAAAAATATCAACTTCTTCATTAATCAATTTTCAAATATTAATATATCATCACCACCATGACCAATAAGATGGATGATATTGATAAATGTATTCAGAATGCCATTGAAGTCTATAATGACAATCAAAAACAAAAAATCCTACCTCTGATGTGCAAATTCAACATTCCTTATCAACATCTTTAAATGAGAATCAATGGAAGGAAAACACACAATGCAAAGATTGCACTGAACAAGAAGCTTAGCAAGAGTCAGAAGGATGTGTTGAAAGAGTGAATAGCTCATATGAACAGAAATAATTGCCCACTGACTGCAGAGCAGATTCAAGATAACATAAATCTCATTTTCAAACATCATCATATTGATTCTTCAACCTCCCCATTTGTGATCAGCAAGATATAGATCTATTGATATATAAAAAGCTTGAATGGGTATAAAAGAGTGAAGCAGAAGGCAATGAATCTGAAAAGAATTGCTGTAGAGAATATTAACTACATCAAAGTGTGATTTGACTGTCTGAAAATCTTACTTCAAAAGTACACATTTCAAACCTGTGATATCTACAACTTTGATGAGATTGGCTTTCAAGAAAGTCAAGGATGTAGAGAATGAGTTATTACTGTTTTTAAAGATTTGAATTCAGTTATAACTTCATCATATTTTTGAAAATTGATCACTGTGATTGAGTGTATTTCAGCAGATGATGAGGTATTGAATCTCTTCATCATTATAAAATTCAAAACTCATCTTGAAGATTGATATACACAATGTCACACCCTTGGTTGTGCCAAGGCCCCGTGACGGCTCCACACGGCCCATCGCTTCCCCTCGGATAATCCCATCTATCCCATGACGTCACGCAGGTGTCCGAACCGGTTTCCAACCACCCTATGACATCATTCGGATGCAATAGAAGAGGATCCGATTGATGAGATATGAGAATCCTGTTTCTATACGGGGTCTGGATTCCTTCTGGCAGATCAATGCAGCGCCACTGCGGAGTTGCTTCGGCTACCCTCGCTCATAGAGTGAGGGGAGGATGGCTGCCCGTTGTCTATATAGAATAGCTAGATGCTGGCTCTCTATTCCAGGAGCCAGCGATTCGTCTTTTATCTTTTGACAATAAGATACCAGAGTTACCACTGTCCTCATACAATATTCTTAGTGTGCTGAGTACCTCTGGTAGTTCAGTATTTGTATAGTATTCTACGAGTTCGCGGTTCAAGCGAGATAATCAAGCCCACCCATAAGGCTTCCCATTATATACCATCCTCCTCTGTGCCGCTGCCGAGTAGCAACCGCCTCGGCGCCGTCACATTACACACAAAGCAATCTACTGAGTGAATATATGATCATGATGTCAGATACTGGCTATACCAATGATGAGATTGACTTTATTTGAATTCAGCATTTTAATAAAGTTATTAAAAAACATCAACAAAGCAATCATTGATTGCTGTTTCTTGATAATCATAAATCTCATCTCACTGAAAAATTTCTGCAATACTGCAATATCCACAAGATTATTTTATATGGATTTCCTTCACATTCAACTCATATACTACAATCACTAGATGAGGTGTCATTTCAGCAGTATAAATACTATCATTCAAAGGCAGTTAATCAAACTGCTTGATATGAATATGAGCAATATGAAAAACATCAGTTTCTACAGAATCTAGTCAATGTCTGTAAAAAGACCTTTCAACCCTTCATTATTCAAGCTGATTTTGTGAATCATAATATCATTTCTTTCAATCTGCAATTTATATTTGATAAGTTAGATTCTAAGGTCTCTGACTGCTCTAAGCTATGAATATATGAAGGAAATGACTCTTTTTCTTCTCAATCAAACTGCTCAATTACTGCCTCCTCATAACTATTCTCTTCAAAGACAATTGAGAAGCTACAATGTCATATTTGAGTAGTAAAGAAGACAATGTAAGATATGAAGAATATACTCAATTTCAAATCACTTCATCTGAGCAATTGATTGCACAAGATTTTCCAAGGCAGTCTCATACAGGCGGAACTCAATGCTATAAGAGAGTGTGAGATTGAGGATTACTACCTTGCAGTCAAACACTGTAACATCAAAAATACACATCAGCAGGTTCAAGTAAGAGGTATACTCACTGTGAGAGATGCAAATAAGAAGATCACGCAATGTAAGAAGAAGGAAGCTGAAAAACAATGTTATAAGAGAGTCAAGCATGTTGGGAAAGATTTGAAGAAAAATGCTACAGAACCAACCCAACAAGAGGTTAATGATATATATGAATGTCTAGTGAATAATACTGCTACTACAGATGATATAGATAAATTAATTATCATAGATTAGCTATGCAGTGTTGAGATATTGATTTTTGAAGTTCATATTATTCATATTTTTATCGTTACGCTGTTTTTATCGTTATGGTGTGGCGCACCCACATCAGGTGTGGGTGCGCGCGGCACGATTACCACAACAATTTTACTATACCCGCATAGATCTTCTATTGTCGATATATATGTAGTCCTTGGCATGTATAAATAAATGCGCCTCAATTGCGATCCGTGATTGATATAAAGTGGAAACTCAGTTGAGACATCAAATAATTTCTACATTGTAATGCACTTCAATGACTGATTGGAAAAGGAGTTCCAAGTTATTATAGCAGCATATATTTCAGAGATACCCAATTCAAAAGCAGAATGATGACTCGACAAGATAACTAGATAGAAAAATAATTTGTTTGTAATTTTTTTGGCCATGGAATGGAAGATGGGTCATGAAAGCCACTTTTGATATAAGTACCAAAACTATGGTTAATATCAGGGCCCCGAAAGAAAACACCAGAGTTTTCCTGCGTAACTAGTCTTGCGGCCTATCCTCTTATGTCATTATCCAAGGATGTTTAAATCCATTCATATCCAGCCAAGTACCTAGAATGGTGAAAAGAAAATAAAAGGAAAATAAAAGGGTAAAAATGAAAAAAATGGAATAAAAGTCAATTCAGCCATCATAACCGACGTTCAATATTCAAACCTGTCAACCCCAATATCCAACCGAATGACATTAAAATGTTCTTAACGCGGCTACAGGTGCGGCTGCGACTGCACCTGTAACGCCACCAAAGCTTCTGTGGATGACTCAATGGAACTTCCCAAGTCCTTATTGACGCGGTTGAACATGCCATACGTCGCCTTGCGCACTTTCTGCTCAGCATTGCACAAGTGGCCGGCCACATTCTTGACAAAGTTCGCTTGCTGGCCAGGTTGGCGACCTAGAACCTGCCAGAGGCCATTGGCTTGCACGAAATCCTCATCGGTGACGGGGAGCTGTTTCGCGAGGACAGCGCCGGCCCACTTCTCGTGCTCCTGGCTGGCTTTGACGGGCATGTAATTCATCCGGCGGAAGGTGGATGGGTAGTTAGGGTTGGCGCCGTAGTTGCCGTTGACGGCCATGGCACCGTCGCGCTGGTAAGGGTTAAACGCGCGCAGCGGGCAGTTGACGGGGATCTGCTGGTAGTTGACGCCAAGGCGGTGGCGATGGGTGTCTGAGTAGGAGAAGAGGCGGGATTGCAGGACTGGGTCTGCGGAGGGCTCGACGCCGGGGACCAGGTGTGAGGGTGAGAAGGCAGCTTGTTCCATCTCAGCGAAGTAGTTTTGTGGGTTTTTGTTCAGAACAAGGCGACCGAAGCGGCGGAGAGGTACCTCCGAATGGGGCCAGACCTTGGTCAAGTCGAAAATGTTCCAGCGGAATTTCTCGGCCTGTTGAGGGCTAAGGACCTGGACGTAACAAGTCCAGGATGGATATTCGCCGCGCTCAATGGCCCGGAAGAGATCCTCAGTGTGCCAATCTGGATTTTCAGCGGCAAGCTTAGTGGCCTCCTCGTTGGTCAAAGTCTTGCTGCCTTGGTCAGTCTTGAGGTGGATCTGAACGTAGTTGAAACCCCCGTCCGGCGTGAGCCACTTGAAAGTGTGTCCGGAGTAGCCATTCATGTGGCGGTAAGAGTACGGGGTACCACGATCACTGAACAGATGCATAACTTGGTGGATTGCTTCCTGATGGGTGGACAGATAGTCCCAAAACATGGTGGCATCCTTGAGGTTGGTCTGGGGGTTCCTCTTCTGGGTATGTATGAAGAGAGGGAACTTTGAGGGATCACGCAAGAAGAAAACTGGCGTGTTGTTGAAGACCCAGTCCCAGTTGCCCTCCTCGGTGTAGAATTTGGTAGAGAAACCCCTCGGGTCACGAGCGCTGTCGGCAGATCCCTTCTCCCCACCAACAGTGGAGAAACGGGTAACAAGCTTTGTCTTTTTTCCCACGCCCTTAAGCATGTTAATGGTGGTCTATAGTAATCGTTAGCATAGAACATGGTTTTGGGTATGTCTGCAGCGCCGCAGCTGATGGTTGCAAACAAAGGACAAGAAGAGTCTTTGACTTACGATATCGCTGATGTCGTCCAGCACCTCGAATTCACCGTACGCTCCTGCACCCTTGGCATGGACGACTCTTTCAGGGATCCGCTCGCGGTCAAAATGCGCGAGGAGATCGATTAGATGGAAATCCTGAAGGAGAAGGGGTCCATTTTCTCCAACGCGCTGGGAGGACTCGGGGTCCATAACCTATATAGGCGTACCATCAGCATTAGACGAGATCCAACGGTTCTAATTAGTGTATTTCTCGTTGATCTGCTCTCTAATGATAGCCGATCTATAGTGGGGGTAATACGACAAATTATTAAGAGCAGACGCGAAACCTACCGGACAGCCATTGGAGTCAGTGTAAGTTGGAGTATCCTTGTATCGGTACGAGTCTGTATGGCAGCATATTGGTTAGCCCCTGTCTTCGATGTCGTTGCCCGCGTTTTAGACACGTCCGTCCATGTATATATCTAGATCAAGTATCGAAGCTCGGAGATAGTGGACCATGCTAGGAATGGTGAGCACATACTGAAGGTATCGTCGGCACCCATGATGGCGATTTGAGAGTCTGGCTGGCTGGGAGATGGTACCAAGAAAGTAGATCGACCTAGTAGTCACAACGGTGGGTTGCCCCTTAGCAGTGGGAAGGGCGGGGATGTAAGATGACACTCGAGACTTGGAAGCAGAAGAGGTTTATGGGAGGAGCAATGACGGGGTCGCACTGAAGAGGGGAAAGGGGTGTCTATATATATCGCCGAGACCCCGCCATGGAATCCCCCGAGGATGAGCCACGTGGGGCCGCCCATGGATGTACTGGTACTTAAGTTGCCTTGTATTTCGGTAGACAAACGAAGTAACTCTCTGTTCCTCCCTTTGGCCGTTGAACTGTCAGGGCTTTCTACTTAGCTACCACACCGACTACAGCGATATTTGCGAGGGAGGACGGCCGCCTGTCTCTATGCTCAGTCTCTGTGCTCTGTCTCTGTGCGCTGTCTGTGCATGTTTCGAACTTTACGCGCACCGCCGGGGTGCAGCTCGTTTGCCACCTTTAAAGAATTTAGACATAAAAATAGAATGGAATACCACCTCAAGGTCCTCAATACCAATCTAGCTCTGCTTTCCTGCAAACGAGGGATGATACTTATTCGTCTATATAGAACCGCCAAACTTCCTCAACTGAGCTGCTAAGGAAATATTTCCTCTTAGCGCCAGCAGGATCGGCTTGCCATTAGTCTACATATTCTATAGATTCAATGGCTTCTTCTATATAAATGGTACTCAAAAGTGTGAGAGCTCAGAGGCTTTGATTAGAATTTAGGTGGCCTGCCTATCTTGGTTGCAGGAAGAAACATGACTCAACCATGGAATTCTAGGTCTGGGGCACTCCTTGCCAACAGAGGGTATGCCGTACGCGGCATCTGCTAGATGGATTTTTGCAACACCAGCTAATCTATCTATCTCCTTATAGAGTTAGTTCTTGAAGTCCCTTATTTTTATTTTATTTGCCATCATATTTCTTGAAAAGATTAAATAGTTTTACACTTGTGAAAAGTTCCTCGTGCAAATACATTCTCGCAGAGCAGACAATATGTATGCTGGTTTCAATGGGTTTGGCCATTTCAATCAACGCAGAATTATCATATTAGAATTCTTTATCTCTCTAGCTATATTGTGTCTTAACACAGATACTTTGATGAATATTGACATATTGTAATATGACGGTGAATGAAAGAAGCTATCACTTCATGCATGAAAATCTTGAAAAATTATATACTTCCTTCGATGGATTGGGCGGGAGCAAGCGTGTCTGTACCCGTAATCCGATTAGCGTCTCCAACCCACCCATGCATAATGGGGCATTGCTTAGCCAATAATAAGGCCTGCAATGTAATCACTCCGTCAGCAGAAAACAAGAACGCTCAAATAGTTATGCTAACTTACCTGGGTTGCTTCTTGGAAGATAGGGATTTCCACTTCCGGATTTAGTGCGAGATCCTTGCCGCTGTATCCTCGTCTTCGTCACCAGCCACCCTTGTATGACTTTTTTTTTTTGGCAAGAAGAAAGGGTCTGCTGTCTGATGCAAGCCGCTTCAACCTTATACTTATGGTGGGTGATCACTTCTTTCAGACCCGTATACGATGCCCTGACTGCAACCATGCTTGCCCTGTGTCTCGGGTGTGCATCTTGTCTCCAGCAGCTTTGCGCGACAGCCCACCAAATATACAGTATCACCAATCCTGAGTGACCAGGCTAGTGCAGTCTGAATTATGCAAATACCCAGCTAGATCACTGATGGTGATAGACAGTCGATCTCGGCATTTCCATTTACCAGCGGTAGAATAGATGGAAAGCCCTGGATCCGCGAAATACCGTCAAAATCATAAATATCTTCTCGGAGAGATTGTCACTCGACGGCTATTGTATATTCGCCGTACCGTTATAGTATAGGAGATCGTGAATCCGAAAAATCTCGGTTTTTAATGTCTGGGGCATCTTCCAGAAGCAACGCTGTATATTCCCACACGAACACTTTAACGAACATTCTTCGTTTTCCGTCTTTCGGTTACAATACTTCAAGAAATCAGTCCCACAATTTCTATATAGCTAATTTCATGCCTTATAAATAAACCTCACTTAAGGGCTTTTGGAATGATGACTGAGTATTGGGGGTTGGGTGGACTCCTTCGGATTCCGAACTCGCAGTCGGTTTCGAGATGGTTGAAAGTAATGAATGGTGAGAAGTGCGCCGTATGCAATCTGGCGAGTGTAGTAGAAGATTCCTCGTGGCTCATGGTACATGTACATTAGAATTTGCATTAAATTGAAATTCATGTAACTAGCAGCTACTCAATAGAGAAGACTTCAAACCCCAATCCACCCATCCCACCACTATCGCTTAATGAATTGCGACTTCGATTTTCCCAGGAAATACCAAAGCAACACCAGTATTTAAATCATCAACTTCGCTGAGTGAAAAAAAAAAAAAAAAAAAAAAAAAAAAAAAAAAGGAAAAAGCAAAAAGAAAAAAATTTCTTCTACCCCTATCGTGTATCACCGCGTATTTTTACACACTCATTTTACCATAGATGAGGGTGTTTGAGAGGAACAAACATTACCTACCTATGAAACTCCTAGAGCCAGGGTAGCAGTATGGAGCCAGAGATTTTCTATCTAATCGTTCCAGCTTTCCGTCCTCTTTCCTTTCGCGGAATAGCGAACGGGGTCTCTTTCCTATTTAGTAAAGGAAGTTAAGTTCATCTCAAAAACCGATTAACCTTTCGCTTTAGGGATAAGATATACTTCATCTGACATTAGAGGGAATGAACGATTCATTCCTGCGATGGCATTACTGTCACACTCCAGGAAAAGGAGGCAAACGCAAGGTTGCACTGCCACGGACTGCCAAATGGATACTCTTCCTCCGGTTTTGTTGAGATATCCATCTAGAGTAGGCTATGCAACTGAGCGTGCACGAATACAGCAACTCTTGATTTTGGATCCATGGTTGCCGTACCATTGAATTGGAATGGGAATTAGAATGATCCGAGGCGACGACTCTGTATTAGTATGTTTTAGATGGGATAATGCAAAAATTGACCCCACTCCTGATTGTGTCACTCTAAACTTAAACTCATCTCGTTCCAGCTCATCTACAGTAATACACTCTGCATACTTCCCAGATTTGGGCTTTCAACTTTGGGTGTTTGATTTCCAAATCCAGCATTACCACATTGAGAGTCTTCCCCGTTGAGAATTGGAATTACATTAAGTTTTGCCCCCGTTGGAACTTTCATCGGTTCTCCAATATCCTAGCCGAGTCTGATTTTAAGTTAAAGTTCTTAGAAACTTCCAAGGTTTAATAAATGTGATCATCTGATATCTGAACCAAACTTTTGTTTTGTGGGGGTAGAAGGTTGATGGGTTCATAGTTTGGCGTTTAATATTTTTCCAGGAATGACTAATTGAGGGCTACCAGTTGAAAGTTAGGCGATGTTTATCTGTTAATCTTCATGCAACTGCCTGGCAGAGAGCCGATACACTGCTGAAGTCTGCAATTGCTCAACCTGCTTATTCTGGCAGATTTGAATGTGGCAGCTCTGGGGACAGAATGTGGGGAAGCTGTCATTGAAATAAGCTTGTTGCACTGCCGACTCGGCATGTCTTGGCATGTCTTGGCATGTCGGCTAAAATTCTTCAAATGCTTGTTCAAAGCTTGATGTCAGCCTCATCTGGACATTCCGGACGATGAAGATGGTTCGTCGTTTCATTAAGGTTGGCCCGCTCACTTGTATCCTCGTTATTCGGTAGCTGAGGCCGGTCGGTCACTCATTCAAGCCTTTCAAGAGTCAAGTGTGTCATCATGGGATAGGAAATGCCGGTAGTTGTGCTCCCATTTTTTCTCGATACCCTCATTGCTGACCGATTGATTTCCAAAGCTTCCCTCCACTTGTGGCTTGAGCCAAAGCGCTAAGCTATGCTTAAGAGCTGAAGTGGAATCATGAGCAATAGCTTCATATTGTTCAATCTTACAATGAATTCACCAACAAGTATTTGCGCATATCCAGAGAACTGTTCAAGAGCATATTCCTGCAGGTTTCTTCCAGTGGCACACAGGTTCAACGCCAAAATCCACGGTGTATGGACCTTAGCCAGAGTGTGTAGTCGTGTATTGCTAGAAAGAGGCTTGATTCTTGGCTACTCAGACCAATATGATAATTTGCAAATCATTCAAATTGGCATCAAAATGTCACAACCTTTGAATCTGGGAACTTCGACTCTTCGTAGTTGGATTCCATTTGTGCATTTTTACCTTTCGGTTGATTCCACGAGCCATAATGGATATCCATGGATGAAGTGACGATAGCCAGGTTAAAGAAAAACCTTATTGTGGCTCTCATTTCCCCGCATCGGGCATTGCGCCCAGTTATTTGCCATTGTATATACTACGGTATCCGCCCACTTTTTGTTCCCTCGCTTTGCTCTGTCCTCCTATTCACAACTTCTATATTTTATTTCTATTTTCGCTTAATATTCCTTCTGCCTCCAAAATTTCTACTTCGGCTGTTAGTAGGCCTCAGCTGTTCTTCCTAAATCTCACGCAGCTGCTGCTAATAGCCCACATCCGATCTTTTCAAAAACGAAGATAGCGGTTTGTAAGATGAAAGAGATTACGAACATATACGCCATCGCGGCTTTGTCCGTGATTGGCGGTGGCCTGTTCGGTTTTGATATCAGCTCTATGTCTGCTATGTGAGTTACCTTAGTCTTTCAACGGTGCCGTGTCGCGTCCTTGAATTGACCGCTCTTTTCGTGCAGCATCTCGACTTCCCAGTACCTTTGTTATTTTAACGAAGGTCCAGACTATTTCGGGGTGGTAACCGAAAGTAACCCTGATGGCCTTCGCTGCAGCGGCCCAAGACCCAGTACCCAAGGTGGTATCACTGCTTCGATGCCTGGTGGTTCCTGGGTTGGCGCTCTTTGTTCCGGATATATTTCAGATATCTTTGGTCGAAAGAGATCAATCCAAGTCGGCTCAGGATTTTGGTTTGTGCCCCCTAAAAACAAATTCTTCTGGAATCTTTTACTTACCGCGGCTCGTAACTCGTAGGGTTATCGGAAGTATAATCTGCGCTGCGGCTCAGAACATAGGCATGCTTGTCGCTGGGCGTTTTATCAACGGCTTTGCTGTTGGTATTTGCTCTGCTCAAGTTCCCGTTTACATTTCAGAGCTGGCGCCTCCATCGCGACGCGGCAGGTTGGTTGGTTTACAACAGTGGGCCATTACATGGGGTAAGTCGAGCACTCACTTTCGTGTTAAGGATTCCTTCCCTGACTACTAACATATACGATTAACAACAGGTATCCTGATTATGTTCTATCTCTCATATGCATGTACATTCATTGGGCCAGCGAACGGACAAACATCGTTCAGACTCCCTTGGGCCCTTCAAATGATTCCTGGCGCCTTTCTCCTCCTTGGGCTCTTCTTCCTACCGGAGTCTCCTCGCTGGCTCGCCAAAAAGGGCCGCTGGAGCGAAACCGAAAGAATTATCACCGCCATCCATGGCAAAGGTGATGTTGGCCATCCCTTTGTTAACGCCGAGCTGGGGGAAATCAGTTATTTCGTAAAGATGGAGGAAACTAACGATACCACGTATGTGCCCCCGTATTTATTTTGGATCCCCCCATCGTAACTTATATCAGAATGTGCTGCTAACGCCGTGCAGCTATTTCGACCTCTTCAAAAAGAATATGATTTTCCGAACGCACGTTGGTGTCTTCACTCAGATTTGGAGCCAGTTGACGGGAATGAACGTGATGATGTATTATGTGAGCAAGCAACTCAATACCCTTAATTATCTTCAGTTTGTTAGCTTTAAAAATAACAATTTGACACCGTTCTAATTTAACATAGATTACCTACGTCTTCGCCATGGCTGGATTGCGAGGAAACACCTTGCTCGTATCATCCTCTATTCAATTCGTCATCAGTATGACCCCATAAAGATACCTATCCTAAAAAGAAACTTCAGACTAACCATTTTTCAGACGTTGTCATGACCCTTCCCGCCCTTATTTGGGTAGACAAATGGGGTCGACGTCCCACTCTCATTGTCGGCGGACTACTCATGTGTACCTGGATGTTCGCTACAGGCGGCATCATGGGAGCGAACGGCCGATTTGTTCCCGGGGGTATTAACGGAGTCAGAGCGGTATCGTGGGCTGTTAACCCTGGGCTCGCGGCCAAAGCCGTCGTAGCCTGTACTTACCTCTTTGTGGCCTCCTTTGCCCCTACGTGGGGTCCCGTTTCTTGGATCTATCCACCAGAGCTGTTTCCACTTCGCTTCCGCGGGAAAGCTGTCGCACTTTGCACGTCTGCCAACTGGGTATTCAATTTTGCTTTATCCTACTTTGTCCCCCCAGCTTTTGAAAATATCCAATGGAGGACATATCTGAGTAAGTCAAAAATGACTCTTACATTTTTCCCCTCTACTACCCCCCGGGTCCAAATAGAGAAATTCTAACCCGATAACTAGTCTTCGGCGCCTTCTGCGCCACAATGACCATCCATGTATTCCTCGCCTTCCCCGAAACCGCAGGGAAATCGCTCGAAGCCGTAGAAGAGATTTTCAAATCACGTACCCCAGCATGGAAAACTCACGTCACAACCAAGGAAACCATTGCAGCTGAGCATGGCGAGGTCGAGGCCAAGCATACCTTTGCTGAGCGCACCAGAAAGACGCGGAATGCTGGAATGGAAAACATCCCTGCGCGCGGTGTAGGTAGCGATGCCCTCAGTGACAACGGTGATTCCGAGAATGCCGATGAGAAACCAGCTACAAGCATGCTCGCAACACGTACCGAGTCAGGGTCCAGTTGCAATCCCTAGATGCTCATGCACTCGCCGCAGATGACTTGATCAGCTTACCTGACACCTATATATGAACACCGACGAATGCACCACCGAAGCGCATCTACAGCCAAAACTTTAAAGGTATCTTTAGGGACGCGCTCTCTCCCTCCATTCAAGTCAACTGTTATCTTGTACTAGTAATATTTTCATCTTTCTTTCTCATATATCCATGCTTTCGCTTTTCCGTCCTGCAATTTTATCAGTTTTGATTTTATCCGAGCAAGGTGCAAGGCGCGTATATCCAATTTTTTGTTTTCACTCCACGCTCTTGCAAATTCTTTGGCTTTCGCGACCAAACTGGATTTCGGTAGCTAGTTGTGCATCTCTTTGTTGCGTACTCTTGGGCTTCCATATTCCCATATTCGCAATTTCGTTTTCGTTTGAATCCTTATTCCCATGTCGGCATGATGATACAGCCAGTTACATTATCTTCATTTGTCTTCTATAGAGAAGAAAGATATTATCACGCATCCGAGCAAGCAAAGGGACGTTGAAAAATGGGCTTTGAGAAAAGTGAAGAGAAACAACACGCAAAAGAGCCTTACAAAAAGGAAGGAATGCTACTGCTCCGAATGCTTTGTTAATTTTTAATATTGTTACCTGTTTCACTCAAGTCATTTTGGTATCACAGGTGGGTTTCTCTGTACTCTTCACCTCTTCACAAGGGGCTGGTGGTGGCTCTTGCATATTTTATACCAAGGCCATAATAATTAATATTGTCACTTCCGTTTTTTTAAATATCTATCATCTGTGTCAGAAATGAAATATCATATTGAGGATTCTGTTGATAGCACTAGCAAGGATCTTCTATTATCTCAATTCCGGAAACCGGATCACTGCTCCGGTGTATATCAGCACTACCCCTATTATATGTTCAAGCATTCTCTTTCCTATAAATACTGCCCGATTATCATGTAATTATTGGAGTTAACTAGTTAGAATAAGCAATTCAATTTATTTTATCGATATTCAGTACTTGGGTCAATATTCGGACTTATTCAGTTCCGACAATCTGTTTCTTAAGGTGCATATCTACATATGTTGTTTTCAATTGTGTTTTGTCTCTTATGCTTGTATATAACTGTTAACGTAGTTAGCCATCATATGTTTACGCAGTTATTATTTAAGAAAACGATTTCCGCTCATTATAGTTAACCAGCAACCGTTTGCTAAGGCTATAAGAAGGTCAAATGACTACTCGATAAAGTTTATTCTCAATGCTTATTACTGCCATATCTGCCAGCTCGCCCAAGAAGCTCTCTGGATAGCGGGCCTAGAGATATAAAATTTTCAAATGTGCGTCCTACCAAATCGCAGCTAAGTGGTGAATGATAACTTAACTTGGTTGGGCGGGATTTTTGTATGATCAGAGTGCTCGGACTTGATTCTATCAAATAGGTATCAAAGGACACGGAAAATAGGCTATATAAGGAAGGGCAAGGGAAATGTTGTAAGAAAGAGCAGGAATGGGAACTTATATAATATGAATAAAAGATTCGGAATCTGAAACGCCGTCCACATGGTCTGTTATGCGCCAATGCTCGTCAGTTTATGAATTTTCCGATTGAACCGTTTGCTATATGGTAAATGAAACGATAATTAGCCACCTGATGGCATAATAATGATTTCCCATTTTCACGCCTCCGCGGGAGAAAAAAAAGTCAAAGGACCAAGTACTCACCACCAGCCAATCCATCCCCTCCTCGATTCCCTTCCCATCAATAGCAGAACATGCCACAATGCTCCAATTGCGATCCCGCAGCTCACCCAACTTTAACGCCTCAGAAATTTCTCCCGCACCTTTGGCGCCTGGCTGATCCTGTTTATTCGCGAAGACGAGCAAGGCAGCATCGCGCAGTTCCTCCTCGTTCAGCATTGTGGCTAGTTCATCTGAGGCGGTCCCTAGCCGCTCGATGTCTGTGGAATCAATGACGAAGATCACGGCGGCGGTATTGGCATAGTAACATCTCCAGTAAGGACGAATGGAGGTTTGTCCGCCCAAGTCCTGTTTTCTCGAGTCAGATTCATCCTTGGGTGGGTGGAAGGTAGTGGAGCGAACGTTGGAGGATAGCAAGCAGAGGTACAAAAACGTACCCAGACGTTGAAATTCAGGTTTTTATATGTGACGGATTCAACATTGAAGCCGATTGTTGGGATGGTTGTGACGACTTCGCCGATCTAGATAGAAGATTAGCCATGCCAGCCTCAAAAACAGTTACATTTAGAACATGGACACACATACCTTTAATCTATAGAGTAACGTTGTTTTTCCAGCATTATCCTACACAAATAAACCCCAGAATATGTTAATTTTTCACATGCAAAGACAATAAATGTATTCCCACATATTTCCGGTACAGCACCGGGCCGCGGGGGAAGAATTTAGTAGCTTACAAGCCCCAAAATCAAAATGCGAATTTCCTTCTTCGTCCAAAACAGGCCTGACAATATTCTCGATATCGACCCACCCATGGCTGCTGACGCATAAAAATGTATGTAGAGTAGTTGAGAACGGAGTGGTAGCGGAGCACGAGGCGGAATAGGAGAATGATATTTGTAGTCTTCCAGAGACGCATGCTCACAAGACCAACCCAGTGACAGGCCTCGAGGAAAGAATATTCGCTTTGGAACTAGAGAACGGCAGTCTATGTATCTCGGTCAAGTTGTTGTGGCCTTGGGTAATTGCGGAAGTTGGCTCGAACGACGGGAAGTGCTATTGGAATGACGTTGTGGAGACCAGGCAAAGTGGCTTCGAGCGGATGTTCAGAGGTGATGAGGTATTATTAAGGAAAGGGGGATTTTAGGCAATACGCTATGCACGGGAAATAGATGCAGCATAGATGTAAACGAGGAACTGTTGTTGTCTGAGGTTATGAAAAATTATATCAACTTAAGGTCGGTTGTTGACAAAGGCAAGTTTGGCTTGGCCGAGAGAATGCATCCGTGGATACTTTTCCACTGATTCTTCTGCACACACACACACACACACACACACACACACACCACACACACCAGAACAGGCGGCAGATTAGGAGGTCGTTCTATTCCTTCAAGTTCTATTGGAACCTCTCTGGCTGCTTGTACGCCTGCGCCAGCTGTGTTCACTTCTTAGCTTCCACTCGATCGCATCGGTAAGACAGCTTCCTCTTATCCTGAAGTTACTAAATATACGATACGGGTCAACTGCCATCTCTCCCGCCACGTCTGGCGATAGGATTTGGGGTTTCGCCTTTGTTCGTCAACCCGCCTATCCGTCCTCTTCTTCGAAGCGCTAACTTGCTACAGGCAAACTACCCACATATCAAGATGGCGGGCAAAAAATCGGGGACCAGTGGGGAGACGCTGAAAAAAGAAGGTACTGTTCCGCTATTGAGGTGAATCGAGAGATCATTATAGCTGCTATGGCACTGACTTTTGCGTGTTGGTTGGAATAGGACTGGCGAGATTCCACAATAACATGGGACTCACGAGTTGGCCACAAGTATCTGCTATTAATCAGAAGAATTACTACACGTAGGTATCGCCTGTATCGGCGTATACCAGTTCCCTAACACTATTATACACTAAGGAAATAAGGGTTTTTGCTAATTTGTGCCCGCAATGCTGAATTATGTACAATTAGAGAGTACCTCAAGCGAGATGATCAAATCCTCGCCTACCGACTTCAAAATGAAGAGAACCGCAATCGTATGGCCAAAAACGCGAAAGATAGAGATAGGTCTCTCGCAATGGCAAAGGCTGAGCTTCCTTTGCCGGAGCCTGAGCCAGATGCGGATGGAGACACCACGATGGAGAACGCAAATGGGGAATCTGTACAAGAGCTGGCGGGATCGAAAACTATTGTTATGCATGTGGGAAGCCAGAACCTACGAATCGGCCTCGCAAGCGATGCGTTACCCAAGACGACGCCGATGGTCCTCGCACGAAAGTCTCATGAGAATGAGGCAGAAGAGAATGGTGGTGAACCTAAGCCGAAGCGGTTGAAACTTGATGATGGCCAGCTTATGGACCCAGAGAAGATGTTTGGTCCAGAGGTATGGTTTATGCAGGTCTCTCTAAGATATCTGAGCTGTCGCTGACAAAATCCCTGTGACCAGTTCGCATCGCAATACACTACGATGTCTGCGGAACTCAAAGCGCGTATGCGGGCAAACAAAAGAAGAACACTCCCGAACTCCAAGGAAATGGTGGTCAATTATAACCGCAGAACCGTACCTGAAACTATCTCTGAGCACAATGATCCAATGCGTATAGATTGGACGGAAATTCCCTCTGATCCGAAGCAAGCCCCTGAGTACCTTACTGGGGAAGCTGCCCTGAGAATACGAGACTATTCCAACCCTCGATATAAGCTTTTTTGGCCTATCAGGCATGGATGGCTTAACGAAAATGATTATAACAGCAAGACTTTATTGTTTCTAGATATCGCTCTCATCCTTGAGGATGCTATGAAAACCCAGCTTAACTTGTCCGGCAAAAAGGACTGGGGCCAGTACTCGTGTGTGTTTGTTATTCCCGACCTCTACGAACGCGCGTACGTCACTCAGATTTTAGAGATGCTGATGCGAGAGTTTGGGTTTGCGCGAGTCTGTTTTGTGCAGGAGAGTCTCTCAGGGACGTTTGGGGCTGGGTACACGTCCGCCTGCGTTGTGGACATTGGTGCTCAGAAGACCTCCATATGTTGTGTTGAAGAAGGCATGTGCATTGAGAGTTCCCGTGTGAACCTCAAATATGGCGGTGCTGATGTGACAGAGTCTTTCATCAAAATGATGCTCTTTGATCACTTCCCATACGACGAAATCAACCTGAATCGCCGCTACGACTTTCTTCTGGCTGAAGAATTGAAGAGGAATGTTTGCACCATGAATGAATCTAACGTTTCCGTCCAAGTGTTTGATTTCCATCTAAGAGCCTCAGGCCAGGATACACGCAAATACACTTTCAAAGCCTATGATGAGGTCATACTTGCCCCTATGGGTTTATTCCAGCCCGAAATATTCGATGTCTCCCAGAAATTAAAAGGACGGAGGAAGCTCATCAGCCCTTCATACGACCTGTACGATGGACAGCCAAACGACCCCACCTCCACAGCTCAGTCCGACATTTTAATGGCGATTGCACCCCCCTTACCAGCGAATAACACCCAGGCAAACCTTGCCGAGATTCAATCCACACCAAGCCGCTCTCAAGCGATCAACGCTATAAGTCGGGTACAGGACCTGGACGCAACGCCTCGCTCCTCTGCTGCGAGCTCCCCAGCCCCCGATGCGATAAATACGCCGCAACAAGGTGGTCCAGGAACGCCAGCTCCGACGTTGCAAGCGCCAACTACAACCTCAAGCTCTCGCCGACCCGCCGTCGAAGAACGTGACGACGTCCTCCCCATATTCCCACTCGATAATGCTATCTTCACCGCCATCGGCGGTGTTGCCCGCGTCGACGAGCGGAAATATACTGATTTTCTGGGAAGTGTATTAGTGATTGGTGGCGGGAGTTTGGTGGCTGGTTTCCATTCTTTTCTTGAGGAGCGGATGCAATTACGTCGGCCGGAGTTAGCTTCGTATGTTTTGGTTGGCACGCCCCCGCGCGAGCTGGACCCGCAGGTTGTGGTGTGGAAGGGGGCGAGTGTGTTTGCAAAGTTGGATGCCACGAACGATAGCTGGATTAGCAGGTTGGAGTATGATAGGTTGGGCAGCCGGGTAATGACTTATAAATGTATGTGGGCTTGGTGAAAGGCGCGGGCTGAATATATCATTGATGTCGAGGAATGGTCTCATCTATTATCACTATTATGCAGGTTGATTGAGTTTAATGATATTTGAGTATTGAAAATATAATTAAATAATTTTACTGTTGCGATATAGTATCTCAAGACAGCGGCTTTCTTCAAACTCCCTTTCCTGTCGGCGGTAGCAAGCGGCAGAACGGATCCAAGATCTCGCGTTCTCTACAGCATCATTTTTCCCAAGGATCAGAGCTCAAACTACACGACTCCCCTGTCGCAAACTTCCTGATCCCGAGAGCCAGAAACCAACCTAGCTTCCGTGTGCTAACACTATTGTATCCCCGGACCTTTCTGTCTGCTGCCCGCGGCAAAAATGTCAAAGCCTAAAGATGGTTCCGGTGAGAGTTATCACCAGGAATACATCGCCTCGCTGCGGTATCGCAATGATCTGCCACCGCCCGAAATGCCGCCGAAATTCCTGGAAATCCCACACGAAGGTCTGGAGCGGTTTCTAACGCCGGGGTTTGCGTCGAACATGGCGCGGCGTGAAGAGCCAAATATTGATGTGGATGCAGAGGGTGGTATGCCAATTGACCTGGTCGGCATTCCCGGCCTGCATTTGGGTGATGAGAGTGGTATGTATGCATGCCTTTTTTGCTTCCTTTGTAATAAATTAGCATAATTTTAAAGACGGCGACTAATATGGCTTCTGTTTCTTGTTTTTAGCTATTATGGCACCTGAAAACCCTCCTCCAGTCGACCCAGCCGATCTCCCCCTCCTCATGACTCTCGACCAACTAAGAAATCCTGCCCCGAAGAACTCAAACGTTAGTTTTCTGCGGCGCACTCAGTACATTGCTGCTGGTGTTGCTGCGCGAGGAGTCGACGGAAACGTCAAAGCAGCCCCTCTCATTGCTCTCACTGCTGTGAAAGCCGCACCCGCTGCGGCGAAGCCTGCGAAACTCTCCCGTGACGATCCCCTGCACGTGAAGAAATACATTCAGAAGGGATTCGATATTGCGTACCCGGAAAGTAAACACAAGGGCGAGGATACCCCTAGTAAAATCAAGGGACTGCCAGCTACCAAAGCGGAAATCGACGCCTGGGCGCATCCAACACATCCAGATAATCCGAAACTAAAACCTGTCGGATTCTACCCCATAATCCCAGACCTGGGCGGTTTCCCGGACCCTGGCGGGTTTTTACAATTCAAATTTGACAAACCACCCATTCAAGCAGCACAGGGACGACGGGATGAGCGCATGGATGTCGGGATCCTTGTTCCCTCAGCCCCTGAAGAGCGTGTCTGTCAAGAACATGCCAGTAAAACAGCCCTACACAAAGCCAACCCATCCCTATACCCAGACCCCGGCCCGATACCCTGGGACTACGATCTCTTCCTATCAGCGAAGGAAGGTGCTGCGCCGCAGATAAAAGATAGCTTGAACGTCTCCAACCCACACCGCGACGATGCAGAAAACTACACCCACGAAGCCACGGGCCCAGACGATACCATCCTAAAATACCACCGCTACGACCGCATCCGCACCTACGCAACAAGCTCGCAAACTCTAAACCCAGAACAGAAATACAAAGACGTCGCTCTCGTCCTCTTCGACCCGGACGAAGCGATATCAGAAACAACTCTCAAATCCACTCCCATACCCCACCGCCTCAAGCAGAAAGCCGCCTACTATTATCCCATCCTAGGCAAGACGCGTCTGAAGCCCGAGCGGGCCCGTACAATCGCGCAGGCGGGCCTGGCACCGACACGACCCAAAGCCAAGGAAGACCAGGTGCATCAGATTCAGGTTGTTGTGCGGGATCCGGATGAGGCGGAGGAGTATAAACGGGCATCTCATCGAGCACAGGTAGATTCAAGGTTTGCGAAAACGTTACCTCCGCCAGCCGAGGAGGAGGGTGATGGTGAAATTGCAAGTGAGCGGGATATGGACGAGGGGAGCAAGGAGCAAGCACTCGCGGAGACGCCGGTGGGTAGAAGAGGGTTGGAAGCTGTGGGTGGTGATGGAGTGGGGATGGATAGGGAGAGGAGACGGGGAAACGTTGATGATGAAGATGATGAGATGGCCGATCCATGATAGGCGAATAACATCTTAGCATTGCGCTTGTGTTTGACAGACCTTTGGATAGAAATAAATGAGAATTTTGCTGTATTTCAATATCCAATTGTTTTCCGCTGCTGGTTCTTCTCCTCATAGCTTCTTTGTCGTTGTACTATCTTTTTTTAATCTACTATTTATGTGTTGGATTGAATCGACAAAAGCATTTGAGCCAAAATTAGTTTAGTATGAGTAGAAAAAGGAACCATTAGAGTCATATAATGTCAGGATGCCAGAGAATTAGGACGATCAATTGATATTGGCAGAGAGGGAAGACCTAAAGCCAAAGAAAGCTGTTTACCAAATCGAGTTTTAAAATAGAATAAGCAAAAAGAAATCGTTTTTCTAATGCATACTATACTTACAAATATGAAAACTTAAAAAGGACGAAAAACCAGGAAGACCAGTGCAACCAAAATACGCCTGCAGTTAGTCAAAAAAAAGGCAAAATCAAGAGCCAGACAATGGATGATAACGAAACCAAAAAACAAAAGGACAAATAAACCTCCCTACAAAAAAAAAGAAAAAAAAAAAAAAAAAAAAAAAAAGAGGCCCATACCACCTAAACATGTAACATACATTCATTCCATTCCTTATTTTCGCCCCTTTAGACAGGTAAGGAGGAAGGGACAAACGAACAAACGAAGGAAAGAAAAAAAAAATGAGAAAAAGCCCAAGTAAAACTCCGCGCCCGGTTATTTGTTTCTATGAAGAAAAACCAGTGAAGCTGAAACGCGATTAAAAGACGTGAACTGAAATCCAGAAATCCATGAGATGTTATTGTCCCAAGCCCAGTTGGAATCAGATTTCTTTGGCGCGGATGCATAAAAATGAAATAGAGGTAGAGGATGTGGAAAGTCGGAAATAAGTAATGCTTGGCATGAAGGTAGAAGGTAAGGCGCTGTGAGACGAGGAGGGATAAAACAACAAGCGAGAAAAAAGTGTGCGTGTTTCACATTGGGGCGAAGTGGGTGAAGAACGTCGAAAGCCGGGTTTGTGGGAGAAACGAACGGCAATGTTGGATATAAGAAAGGAACATATACATAGTTCAGATGCGCTGGTTTCAGTTCCCCATCGACGTATCGGCATCAGGCTGCAGATTCGAAGCGGGGACGCCGTCAGCGCGGTCGACGTCAATGTCGACATCTCCATCGATAGAGATGTCAACATCAATATCCGCATAGGCATCGATGTCGACGTTGCCCCCGTCCCCGTCCCCATCCCAGTCCCCGCGTACGATGAGTCGCAAGACGCTCCTATCAAAGAGATCGAGAGCAAAGCGGCGGGCAGGCAGGCGGAAATGGTGGCTTTCAAGAAGTATGAGCGTCTTCTGGAAGAGGGGGATTTGGCGAAAGTATTCGGGTTTTTTGGTCCTAAGGCTGTTTAGGGGGGTAATGATTAGTGTTATTTTCTTCTCTTTTTCTTTTCCTTCTATCTTTCTGTTTTTTTTTTTGTCCTGAGAGTTGCAATGAAGAAGAATAGATACATGTGTACATGTATATATCGATATGTATGAATAATATGTAGGGCTGGCTTACGTGTTAAGATCCGACGCCGCCCTCTTGGACAAAACAGTGTTGCCCATGTCAATGATCAGATCCAGGATCTTCTGGCAGACAGGATCGGAATCTGTAGCAGAGGCTTTAAATCTTTCTTTCTCGGCACGTTCTTCGTCGATATTAGGTTCATAGGTAGGGAAGGAAACCTAGTGTTCCGTCCAGCCAGGTAAGTTAGACAGGGTGAACAGTACAACAATTTCACTCAAAGAAGAAAAGGATGAAGCAAATAAGAAAAGAGAAGGGGTGAAACCGTACCGAATAAAGCCTACTCAACTGGACAGGGATACACGAGCCGAGCGATCGCCCCTTCTGGTCCACCGCCGCATCCCAGCCGGCCTCCAAGAGCATCTCCATCCCATGAAGACTCCTAGAAATCAGCCCGAGCACAAAGAACGCCGTGCCCCTCATCGTCATGACCCCCGCATTTTCCGCAATCTTCCCAATCGCCCCCACAATCTCCGTCTCCTCCAGAAACGGCGCGCTAAGATCCATCGAACCCACATTGCCCACCGCCCACAGACATCCCTTAACCTTCAGCAGCACCTCCGGATCCTCCTCGTCTAGCCGGAAGTCACGGATCGTATGCGCAAACTCGTTAAAATGGCCTGACTGCTCCAGCAACTTGCAGCCCTCGTGCGTTCGTGCCAGCTCCCGGTAGAAATGGGGCGGTACGAGGCCGATGTCTTGCATTTCGACGATGTCGTCGAAGGCAAAGCTGTTGCGCCGCGGCTGGTCGACGTAGGCGCGCGTCAGCGATGCCTCGACGAGGCCGACGTAGGCGTCGTTGCGGCCGAGGAACCAGTCGTCCATTTCCTGGGTGATGTAATCCAGGCCGTCGAGGTAGTGGTATCCGACTGAGGTTGAGAGGAAACGGAGAAGTAGCGGCGCACCAATTTCTCCTAGATGGTCGAGCGAGGGCCGGCATTTGACCACGTATTCGAGACAGCTGCGTTGATTGCAGGCTTCCTCGAGGATTTTCACAGCAACTTGGCATACGGCAACTTCCGGATCGTATAGCTGTGTGACAAGCAGTTTAACAACCCACTCCCCATTTCCTATATCTACCATCGGGGCGGGAAATGAAACGCTGCCCACGACGTATTTTCGTAGTAATTTCGTTGCGAAGATGCGGATATCCTTTGATCCTGTTGTTAACGCCTTAGAAAGAATGATCCGTAGATGGCTCTCGAGGGAGAAATCCATATTCCCTAGCAATGTTTGGATAAGATCATTTCGATCCTTGAGTTCTATTATATGGTAGAACATGTTATGCATATGCCACCTCTCCATCATCTGAAGTCCGCTTGGCTCGCTGCTTAATACACCCAGTAACGCAAAGTAGCCCCCACTCAATGTTTCGTTCATATTGTTCCGAGAAAACACAGGCGATGACGACGTCAGGCCGCTCATGCGGTCAACTTGCGCAAGACACTCAGCAATCTGCCGCAGTAACTTATTCTCCGCCAGGTATTTCGTTCCTTCGGGCGTCTGCAAAAGGGTCCGCATCAACGCGCACCCCGTCCGGACATAGCGCTGGTTCGGTTTCGTATTTCTAATCATAGAAAACCTGGATTTAAAAGGTCGATAGAATCCCATCAGACGCTTCATGAATTTCGAGCCTCGGATAGCCTCATCCAGGCGTTTTGGGTTCGTAAGCGGACCCTCGATAATGTTGTGGATCAAGTCCCATTTCCATTTCATGAAATTCACAGAACTTAGGACATGGGTGTCTAGAATGGCCGTGCGGAATTGGCCCTCGTCCATGCTGGCGCTTAGTTTGGATTTCCCCTGTTCGGTAGTTAGCAACGAAGCGGATATATCTGTGTGCACCGTATATTTGCCGCGTGACGATTGCATCCCATCTGACCGGGTCAATGTACGGTTAATGCTTTCCATTTGATAAACGGTTGATGTCGACACATGGTAGGTCCCAGCATCCCGTGGGGTAGAGCACGGAAGCAATTGAGGGAGAACCTGAAGCTTGGCGCTCATAGATTGCGGCAGAGAGTGATGAGCGAGTTTCAGCACCTCTGTTAGCAGCAATGTGCCTTTCCTCTTCAGGGACAGGTCGGGCTCGTCTTCGATTAAATTCGATAGAGCCTAGAAGGCGCATCAGTATCCAATTGGTTAAATAGCGAAGAATAAAATATAGAATAGGTCAATACCGTAATCAGTCCTGCCTCAATCAGCACAGCAAGGACCAGGGCAGAGAAATGAGTGGTGAGGTCAAAAGAATTATTTTCATGTTCGTCGAATGCACGTAAGTGTTTAGTATCAGATTCCGATCTAAGGTTCGTAACCCTGCCATACGTAGTAAGTCTCCGGCCGGCAAGGAATGACGATGACCATGACGGAGGTTTAATACGGAGAGCGTCGAATAAAAGTTCTAGGATCAGATCTCTTGCCAGGGGCTCAGGGTATTGCAGAGAATTCAGCAAGGACTGAAGGGGTTTTTCTTTGTTACATAACAGCGTGAGTAGGCCAGGCCAAGTTTTGAGCATGGAAGAAATGGTTTTGGCTGAAGATTTCAGCCTTGCATGGTGATTGCCATCCCCCAACGGATCTGTAAAAGCGGCAAAGACTCCTTCGAGTTCACACCCTGCTCGGAGATATATCCTGTTGCGGGGGGTGTCTAGAATGTGTATAAACCCTGCTGCCAGACTCTCTGAAGCGCCATAAACTCCCTCTCCAAGAGCATCGTTCAAAACGCCAATTCCACCGGCAGAAAACAGGAGACCTGGGTCTTTGACCAGGATCTCCGCGAGAGTCATAATGCAAATATTTCTCAGACGATCATCGCGATGGTCAGCAATGGAGACAAGCGTCCGGACAACCCCACGAGACAGTTCTCGAACTCCATCTTTAACATCAAGAAAAGCCCTGACAAATTTCAGCGCCTGCTCGCGTTCTATGGTCGCTTTAGTTTCCTTCACAAGCGACATCATCACCATCTCGTCCGTATGGAATGATCTGATGATTTGAATAGAACGTCGATCGGCAATAGCATGTCGTGTCAATCGGTAGCCAGCAGCAACGACGTCCCTGCTATCGCTCAGCAGCATTGTCTGAACACGCAAGCCAAAGACCTGCCAAGCCAAGTCATATTTTAACGTTGGATGACGCTTGAAGAGGTCCACAAGGTTATTCGCCCGTTCCACATAGTAATCCGACGGCATGTCTGTGGTCTCCAGCTCCTGCAAAGTCTCAGCTAGGACATAAGTTGGCGACTCCGTCTCCGCATCCCCACTCCCCATCCCCACGTCCCCACCCTGTGACGCACGAGAAGGAGATCGCAGGGGAGTTCCACGAAACAAGGTAGATAACCGGCCAGCGGTAGGCGAAGATTGGGCTTGGGCCCGTAATATTTCCTCCTCAAGCTCATGTCGCAGTTGCGCAAGTTTCATATTGGACGAACTAAGCTCCGACTCAACTCTCAAGCGTTGCTCTTTCGTCTGTTTAAGATTTTTGACCAACAGGGCCTCCAGCATATTTTCCGTTCCGCTTTTCATCTTCAACTCCTTGGCAATCTTGCCGCGAAGCACAGCCTGGCGCTGCTCCGCACGAGTAAGAACGTCAACTCCATCGATGGCAATTATACGGGAAAGGAATGGAGGTTCGGGGCGTGGTGTAGACGTGGTGGGACCGCGCGTCGAGCCGATACTTTTTAAATCCGAGCTAAAACTACCTGGCGGAGGTCCAGAGGGAGCGAAAGAAGCGCTCCACGGCCCAAAATTGTTGGTATTGTTGATATTATTGCTGCTGTTGTTGTTGTTGCTACTGCTGCAGCTGCTGCTGTTGCTGCTTGCGGCGGTCGGGGCAGGATTGCTTCCGATACGATTTCCCGAGGATTTGGAAGCGGCGTCGTGCCAGCTTCCATCGGTGGAGACATCTTCCTGGCTTGAGAATGGGGTGCCGCCGCTCAGCACACGGCGCTGGGTTGGCGTCGCCGAGGAAGCAGGATCATAATTAGACGCCATGGGTCTCCATCTACCGTGTTGCCTAGTAGGAGCAATATCCTACTAGTTCCCCGGTTCGCCAGTGGGAAGCACAAGCAATATAAGTTAGCATTTGGAGTTGTCAGGCATCGAGCAGTCTGTCAGCGCAAAACCGTCGCGATATGATATATGGCAGCAAATGATTTCAAGTGTCGGTGGTTCACCGCGGCGGGGGAAAAGGTTGAGGGGGCGTGGTGATGAGCGTAGAGGACGAGATCGAGCTAGGTGTTTTGATGGGGACTCCGCAGGCTGAGCATCGACCAATGGCGCGCAGCGAACGAAGAAGGCAGGGCGCAGGGCGCATGGAAACGCCAATTACAAGAATGATAGAGCAAACGGTGCCAGGAAGGGGAGGCAGAAAGATCAGGCTGTGTGTACGGAGTGTCTGGAGCATGAATTGGTTCGAAGTGGATGGAGGAGGCCAAGCAAAATCACGGGAAACAGGTCTGATATCACGTGTGCATGAGTACCGAGGTAGACCCGCGGCGGAGAGATTGAATACGAGTGTTTATTAAATGTACTCAGTTAACTAGTGCAGTAGTTAAGTAGTCAGTTATATGATACTATCCAACTTCTTTGCAGGTTCGATATATGATGTGGTTGTTGGTCGATGAAAGCTGGCCTGACCGGCTATAGCGACAAGGAAGAGACAGCCTTCTAGTGAGTCGTACGCCTGGAACCGCAGATCATACAAGACCTGGATGGCAGTCTTATATATGTATCGTTCTATCCAGAGACCCAGTGCTTACGTCCAATATGTTGACAGAAAAAATATAGAGCATTCCACGCGCCGCAAAACTGATAATAATCGGTCCCTGTGCAATTCTCCTGAGTGGTTGCTTCGCAATTGCAAGAAGCTAGAGATCGCTTCTGTGCAGTATAAAGGTCCTCTTATTATCTTTGCTCTAGTGCATTGACTTGCAGCACTTGTGGATTCTGGACTCCCCGGCGCCAGACTTCCTCAACAATCGATGACAAGCAGTTCAGCCACTTGCGTAACCAGCAATACGCTGCCATTGTTGGCCCTATTCTCGCCGAGCTCCTATCTACTAACTACTCCGTGCAAGAGATTCGTATCCACTCCCATACAACTACACGAGTGCGTCTGCGCTGGCGGGTAGGCCCACAGCGCTCAGTTTTTGTTTGGCAGATAACTTGGGAAATTTAAATTTATTTAAATCTTTTAACTTCCCGCTGTCGTGTTTATTTAGCTATCGTTCCTGAAGCTTCTTTCTTCCGTCTCCCTACTATTCGTTCTGATTGCGTATTGCCTGTATCCGGCATATAGCTACGCTCTCACACTCTCTTTGTCCTTCATTAACCTGTTCCGCTCTCCTTCATTTCTTTTGCGAATTCAATTTCCTACCGCCAATTCAATCGAAGGACAAAAAGGCACCATGACCCCGATATTGGCCGCAGCACGGTATGGCAAGGATAATGTCCGCGTCTACAAGGTGCATCGCAACGAGGAGACAGGCTTCCACACCGTCGTTGAGATGACAGTATGCGTCCTGCTCGAAGGGGATATCGAGACGTCGTAAGCCTTGTCTTTCGTTGCATATCATCTATCATCTATCATCTCCTACAGAAACAGCGTAAATATGGCCCCGTTTTGCTAACGCAACTCGCCGCTCTCATATAACAGTTACACCAAAGCCGACAACAGCGTCGTCGTCGCCACGGACTCCATGAAAAACACAATTTACATCATGGCCAAGCTGCACCCGGTGACTCCGCCGGAACTCTTCGCCTCCATTCTCGGTTCCCACTTCACAACCACATACCCGCACATCCACACCGCGCACGTCGACATCGTCATCCTCCGCTGGACACGTATGACATTTGATGGAAAACCACATCCCCACTCCTTCCTCCGCGACGGTACGGAAACCCGCAACGTCTCCGCCATCGTCTCCGAAGGAAACAGCGGCAGCAAAGACATCACCTCACTAACCAGTACAATCAGCCTAACCTCCTCTATCTCGGGCCTCTCCGTCCTAAAATCCACAAACTCACAATTCCACAACTTCATCCGGGACGAGTACACCACGCTCCCCGAAACCTGGGACCGGGTGCTAAGCACCAACGTCGACGCCAACTGGACGTGGCAGCCCTTCACGTCCGTCGACGCCGTGAAGCGCGCGGTACCCCAGTTCGACGAAACCTGGCGCGCCGCGCGGGACATCACGCTGCGCATCTTTGCGCATGATAACAGCGCCAGCGTGCAGAATTCCATGTACAAGATGGCGGAGCAGATCCTGGCTGTGCAGCCGTTGCTGGAGACTGTGGAGTATTCGTTGCCGAATAACCACTATTTTGAGCTAGGTGAGTTATCTCCCTTAAAACCTTTTTTTTTTTTTTCATCTTTTCTATAAATATTTCGATTTAATCAAATTAGCTAATTAACAACGTTTCCCCCTCCCCTTTCATTTTGAATTTCCTACAGACTTGAGTTGGCACAAGGGCCTCAAGAACACGGGTAAAAACGCAGAAGTTTACGTACCGCAGTCGGGCCCGAATGGTCTTATCAAGTGCAAAGTGGGCCGGGCCGGAGGAAACCGTCGGGAGACGCCGAAGTTATAGAAACGAGAGCAATTTTGGCATTTCAACACTTACGTAGACCAGGGGTTGGGAGAGAAGGGGCGTACAATAAATATCGGTAGAGATAAGACAAGATGTTTAGAAGCTACATACCAATTGCTATGAGTTTTTTGCAATGTTTCTTAACCTTTTTTTTTTTTTTTTCTTTACAAGAAAATTGTTATGCTGGATACATATGTATATCTATATGAGATGATGATTTCGTGTTTCACCAATTGTGTTTATATACTAGAGGTTATACGGCAGGGGCCTCAAGTCCCAGTGGCGATCCTTGATGTTAGTCAGTAAGTTAATTTAGTTGTACAGTACAATACATTTATAAAAGGAGAGAAAGGGACAAACTTGTCCTATCCCTATACATGAACACCTTGTATGCAGTAGGAAAGAAAAACAGTGAAACAGGAAATCCGGGGAAGGGGGGGGGAATCCAATAACAAAGTAAAGAGCAGATAAAAAACGAAAAGGAGAACGAAGCAAAGTTTTTATTTCAATGTAATCAGGATGTTGTTTGCTTAGCCCCAGTCTCCGCCCCTTTCTCCTTCGCAAACGCTTCTTTAATTAGCGGTGAATCCGCGATGGAGTTTGTGGGGCCCAGGACGCTCTTGCCGGCCAATTTCAGGATATTCTTCTTGTACGGATGCGCGTGACCTTCAAACACTGTGTAGAAATACCCATGTTAGTTCCTAACTCCAGTGCATATATATGTCGAATGTCGAATGTCGAATATCGACCCTGACACACAAACACATGCACACAAACAGGGAGAGAAAAGAAAAGTAAAATGACATGAACCACCAACCTTTCAGCCTCGCCAATCTCTTGTCCCTCAGCCGATTCTTCGGCAACATACCGCTGACCGCCTTCCGCAGCACCTCGCCGCCACCCCACTTCTCAAACATCTTGTCCATCGTCATCGACTTCAGGCTGCCGGGCCGCGTGTTGTGTGTGTAGTACAGCTTCTTGAATCGCTTCTTGCCCGTCGTATGCAGGTCATGGCAGCCGACGGCCACGACGTAGTCGCCGCAGTCCGTCGACGGGTCCCAGATCGGCTTGTGCTTGCCCATCAGGAATACGGCGATGGAGGAGGCGAGTCGGCCCAGGCTGCGCGGGTCGCGGCTGACGTCTATATAATGCCATGTTCGCGAGTAGGCGAGGCGGGTCTGTGGAGTGCGAAGTATTGTTAGACAAGGGGATATATTCATTTCTAATTTCGTTTCATTCTGGGAGTGAGCGTCATGTTGAACATAGATGGCTTACCCGTCCGACGGTCTGTGACATTGTTGCGGGAATGTGGCTATCGATGCATGGGTGAGGAATGTATGGGGAGTGGGAGCCCGGGGAAAGGAAGGTTGCTCCCTCAAAACAGAAATAGGGAAAAAATTGACGGTTCCTGGGGTCAGTATGGAAGTAGCGTCATCAATTGGAGCTGTAATTGAAATTGTCGTGACCAGTTCGTTATTGGTTTTGCTGCTTGTTGTTTTGCGGGCACTCAACTTCAACTCGAGTTTTTGAGAGACATCACGTGATATGATGCCCTAGCGCGGACTAAGCGAACTCGCACATCCCAGATTGGCAATTCTCCAAGCGTTCAAAGCAGAAAGAGAGAGACTGCGACGACGACAACACAAACAGGCAACACGACAAACCACGACACACTCTGCTGCCCTCCCTCCTCTCTCGCGCCCCGGAGCCATCGTCCCCTCCACCTGACCAACAAACATGGCTACTACTCAGAGTGTGCAATGCTTCGGCAAGAAGAAGACAGGTATGGCGGAGACCCTCTGAAATGCGACAGCCCCATCTAAATTTTAATGATTTCTTGTTGACATCTGGAAATCTACGTTATAGCCACTGCTGTCGCCCACTGCAAGGTACGGATTGGTTGCTGAGATATGATCCTTTCCCCGTTGTACTTACTGGGTTTTGAGAACGAAGTTTGGGGGTGCGGAATTGAAGATTTGGATGGAGATTTGGGAGTGGATTGGGGCTACCATTACTCGGAATACCTTTGAATCAATACAGGGCATGTAACTAACCGGAGTGTAATTGGGAAAATATATAGGCAGGAAAGGGTCTCATCAAAGTCAACGGCCAACCTTTGGCTCTCACCCAGCCGGAAATTCTCAGATTCAAGGTTAGATTCGCCCTCTCATCTCCCTCATTCGTCGGACATACAGGAAGCCATCAAGAGCCGGGGAAAGACATGAAGTTTTGTTGTATGGGCCACTGAACAAAAATGCCATTGGGGAAAAAAAAAAAAACTATAGGTCTACGAACCCCTCCTCATCGTCGGCCTTGACAAATTCGCCGCAGTTGATATCCGCGTCCGCGTCACTGGCGGTGGTCACACATCGCAGATCTACGCCATCAGACAAGCCATTGCCAAATCGATAGTGGCCTACTACCAGAAATACATCGATGAGCATGCCAAGAACCAGCTCAAACAGGCTTTCGTCCAGTTCGACAGAACCCTCCTCGTCGCTGATAACAGACGCGCTGAGCCTAAGAAGTTCGGCGGTCCTGGTGCTCGTGCTCGTTACCAAAAGTCTTACCGTTAAACCGATATTGTGTGTGTGTTGTTGTGTTGTTATGCGGGGGCAAAAGAGGACGAAGAAGATAAATGGGTTGGGGGAGTATGGAAAATCAGTGAATTTTTCATTACATCTATCGGTTGGGTTGGGTGGTTCTTGCCAAACGATAGCACCTAGCGTTTGATTATGTTAAAACAAATTTGCTAGGGGAACGATAGAATAGGGCCTTTTTTTATCCTTTGCCTTTTCTTTAAACCCTTTTGCAATCCAATTTCCTTCTATTTTGTTCAAACTAATGGTCTGTTTTCCCAATATGTCCTGACGTGATTGTGATACGATGTGATTATGGAAAAAGTACAATTTCGACAAAAATGGATCAGACTCAAAGAGTATCGGATCATGCATAGGAACACTTCGCAATTTATGCCGTGGAGGTGCAAAGATTAGTCCTTACCGAGGATAAATATCATGCTACGGACTTACCCGCCTCCTCGTCCTCTTCCACTTCCTCTACCAAGCCTTTTTCAAGGCTATCTCCCTCTCCCAAATCAACAATAACCGGAGCATACTCCCCCATCTCATCCTCTTCATTTGCCCCGCTAATCTCCACTTCCACCTGCTCCCCATCCTCCAACTCCAACATTCCCCTTTTAACTGTCGCTCCCGGTCTAAGCTCCCAGCCGTATCGCCCCTTAACCCAATTCTCCAACTTCTCCAACTCCTGCCTAACCAGTTGTCCCTCCGCCTCTACAAAATCCTCCACAGTCCGCGAGAACCCCATAAGCAATTTCCTCAGCAACGCACCTCCATCATCACCATCCAGATCAAACAATCCCCCCTCAACATCATCAAAGTGTTTCAGCTGCAAACGCAGCAGACGCAGAACCTGCACGAAGAACTTCTCCCGCACAAGCACCGCTGCTCGACACGTCAATACCAACCCTAGCAACCGCTTCCACTGCTCCTGGCACGAGAAGTTCATCAACGTAAGCACCATCAGGAACGTAAATTGTAGCTCGCCGAGGATCTGCGCTTCGCCAGCCTCCTGGCTTTCACCGTCAATGGTACCAGTTGTAGATCCAACAATTTCCCCCACCCAAGCCGTAGCTGTAAGATTATCTGTATCAGATACTCCTTGTCCAAATCTCCCCACCAGATCTCCCAACGCCCACGACCGATCCTGCGCCGCCTCCGTCCTCTCCCGCCCCACCGCACCAGCCCTCCACGTCCGCTTCAGATCCACAGGCAAGAAACGCAATTCTTTCTCCTGCTCGCTTGCTATGCCGGTGTCATAGGCCCTGGCTACCTCTGCAGTGGAGAGGCCCGGGATATCATCGCGATCTCGCACCGCAGAACTACCGGAGGACACGGTCCAGCGCAGTGGCTGTGACGTTAGTATATCTCCATGTTTTGTAGTAACAACGGCTGTGGTGGTTGGAGGAGTGGCAGTGGGAGTCGAGCCGAGAATGCGCGACAGAAGGGCGGGGGTGATGTGGTCGGTGAGTTGCGGCCAGTCATTTGGTGATTCCTGTGATGATTCCGATTCGAGTTCTTGTTTTTGTTGCCGGTGATAATCTCCCACACTATTAAGCGGATGATTATTATCTTGCGCTCGTTGCCGTTGTTCTTCCGTCGCTCGATCATACGCCAGCAAACCCCCGCTCGCCCATATTCGTCCCAGATTCGCGCGCAACTTCATAGCATCTCGCTTCCCCGCCTCACTGCTTTCATCTATGGGGATAAGTGCTTCAGCACCCGCATCCCATTGGCGGAGACGTATATCTATTTTCCCCACCGCCGGGCTACTACCCCTACCATTTCCGGCACGGTGTCGAGGTATGAAAAACCACTCCCCGTTCCGTAGCGAAAAACTCTCCGTCGTACCTGTGAATAGAAAGTGGGGTCCGGGAGGGAGATTTTTTATACCATGGAAATTAGGGGTGGAGGTGAAGGAGAGGAGGTCGATGCCAATGAGGGTTTTGGGAGGGAGGGAATTGAGGAGGAGGGTTGGCGTGGGGATTTGCGAGGTCATCTTGAGAGATAATCGAAGGCCGGGGTAGATCTAAAGGGTAGGCATTTTCGGTCGTTATGAGAGGCGAAGTTGGGCGAGCGGTAGTGGGCGATGCGAAGTGTATACTTAAAACAATTGACGGTTCCAAGTAGTTATAGAATATGTGTATGTAATCAAAACACCCAATACTAATATTTATTAGAGGGCATCTTTCTTGCTGTTGTCGTTCAATGGTATTTACTCAACTAAAGGTTGTTACATCATTGGATGGTGCAGGAGGGGAAAACTTTGGCTCCGAAAAATACGCAGCCAAGCTCCCAATTACAACCCCTGACAGTAACTGGACAACTACGATGCAGGTAAATGGTACTCAGATGCAGGTCAATAGGTCAATAGTAAATAAGAATCTCTCCATTTTATTAATAGACTGTCAAGAGACCCCTATTTCAAAAGCTGGCAAAACTGTAGTCAGCAACCCGCATTAGGACTGCAGCAGTCACGCCCAGCTCCAAGGGAAAATGCTGTGATATGAACAAAATCCACAAAGAAAAGAAGACCAGGCGAGAATACTGCCGTTCTTCGCGTTTATTCCATCCACATATGCTAATAGATACCCAGAAGATACCCGCACAATCCATCCTTGGTCCACAGCAATCGCAACTTTTGCAACTGTGCACAGCCTGGACAAAGTATAGTAGGCGAGACCACCACCCTGATGCCTACAGACGACGACCACGGCGACCACCCTTCCGGCGAGTGGAGTCGGAGGGGGTAGGGGTAACGTCCTCGATTCTGCCAATGCGCATGCCAGAGCGGGCAAGGGCACGGAGGGCGGACTGGGCACCGGGGCCGGGGGTCTTGGTTCCGTTGCCTATTTGCAATCGCGGTTGTCAGAATTCCACTTTCTTTCCGCAAGTTCCGTTATATTTTTATGATCTAGGAGCTCAAAACGTACCTCCAGTCGCACGGATCTTGATGTGCAGGGCGTTGATCCCCAACTCCTTGCAGCGAGCAGCAACGTCTTGGGCAGCCAACATAGCAGCGTAGGGAGAGGACTCGTCACGATCAGCCTTGACCTTCATACCACCAGTAACACGGCAGATGGTTTCGCGACCACTGAATCACCCAGAATATTAGCCCACTATCCAAAAATTGATCATTGTATGTACAAAATTTTCTCTCTGGGCAACACAACGAAAGTTCATCCTGCCAGAAAATTTTCAAATTTAACAAAACATCAGTTGAAGGTGATAACGGCACGAACCTGAGATCGGTGACATGGACGAAGGTATCGTTAAATGAGGCAAAAATACGGGCGACACCGAAAACGAGCTTTCCTGTACGCATGTTAGTCGTGTGCTAGATAGTGGAGAGCAAATTGAACCTACCATCTCCGGCCAGCGGGCCGAGAGAGATGTTCTCGTTAGCGGGTCGGTCAACCTTCTTCTTGGGAGGCATTTTGGGCGTGATATATTGGCGGATGTGGTGGATGGTGAAGAGGGAAAAAGAAGATAAGAAATCCGCCGCAGTTAAGATTCCAAATACGGAATAAGGAGAGTGTGCCCTAAGTCCCGAATTGGGAAGTGGGCGGTTTAGGGTTTAGGGTTTGTGTGCTTGCCTAATCCTAAACTGGCTACGGATGACTCAGCCTAGTGGGAACTAGCGCAAACAGCAAGCTTTAAATTGTTCTTCAGGGCCGAAATTTTCCCTGTCAACCTCTTCCTTCGCAGCACCTCTGACAGAGAGACAAGTAACAAATCCGCCAGTCTGTCTCTGCTCTGTTAGATTGTTATACAGACGGGCGGTTCTACACAGGACATCCGTTCGCTCACTTCCAATTGAGTGCACATACCCAACGGGAAAATCTTGTATCTTATTCTTATGTTCAAGTACGGATTATATCTCAGTTGCGAACTCACAACAGAAGAAATTATCCTACTTCAAATTCCCCAATGATGGCGACTACAGCGGACAGAAGATCCATTGGGATCATTGGCATGGGTGACATGGGGAAGATGTATGCTCAGCGTTTAAGCCAGGCTGGTTGGAGGTAAATATCCGGACGTCATTTTCGAAACTTGCTCTCTCTTTGAAAAGTGTTTGCATATGCAGTTTAATATGGTAAGCTCTCTTTTGTTCTCTCCCGGTTATCTCCTTTTTATATGATGACTTGAGTGCATTTGGCTCGAGTATGGCCTGGGAGTCACGTCCGCCATTCTGGCGTGTGCAGCGGCTACCAGGCTGTCAATGATGTAAACTCCTCGCTACCTTACTTTTTCTTTGTCTGAAAGTACATTTCTCTATTAACAGAATTGTTTCCTAATTACGATAATTGGTTGCTACAGTGTGCTAACGTTCAGTTATCACAGCTCTCATCTGCGAACTATAAATTTCCATCACCCATCCATGTTGATAGTACCACTGCTGACACAAGATATGTAGAGTCAATGCCTGCGATAGGCCTACAAACTATGATGCATTAAAACAGGAATTCGCGTCTGATGTATGTGGATTACTGTACATCGCCACCAACAATAGGGCTAATTTTAAGGACTTCTAAAGCAAAATATCAATATACTCCCGAATGGGCATTTAGTCTCCAGAATTAGCGACTACATTATCTACAGCGTAGAGGCGGAAGCCATTGACATAATTGTCGCCGAGTACGGACCATGTATGTCTACTGTCTGAGCTTTGAATCGTATTTTCCAATCTCGTGCTCCCTTTCTTTCATGCTCTATGCGGATCGATCAGCCCAGTCTGACATGCCATTGAATTGAAGCAACCAAGGTCGGCGCAATCGTGGGCGGCCAGACATCTTGCAAGGCCCCTGAGCTTGCTGCTTTTGACAAATACCTACCCGACGACGTAGAAATCATCTCATGCCATTCCCTTCATGGCCCCAACGTCAACCCCAAAGGCCACCCTCTGGTATTCAACCCACTATATCCAGATAATCATGAGCACAACGGCTTGAATAACACCTGTCATTCCAGGTCCTGATCCAACATAGAGCGTCAGATGAGAGTTTAAGATTCGTCGAGAGGATCTTCTCGACATTCCAATCCAAATATGTTTATCTCAGCGGCGACCTACACGACAGAATCACAGCAGATACCCAGGCGGTAACGCACGCCGCCTTTCTTAGCATGGGTACAGCATGGCATGCAAATAACCAGTTCCCCTGGGAAGTAGCCCGTTACGTGGGTGGTATCGAGAACGTTAAAATTAATATAACACTGCGAATATATGCAAACAAGTGGCACGTCTATGCGGGACTGGCCATATTGAACCCAGCAGCAAAGAAGCAGATCCGCCAGTATGCGCAGTCAGTGACAGACCTGTTCAAGCTGATGTTGGGCGGGCATCGGGAAGAATTGAGAGCTCGAGTGAAGACGGCCGGGGCGGCGGTGTTCAAGTCTGATACCATGCAGCATGATCTGTTATTAAGAGATGATGTACTTGATCGGTTTTCCCTGTCCAAAGGGAATTCGGAGAGGATGCCTAACAACCATTTAAGTTTGCTGGCCATTGTGGATTGTTGGTGGAAGTTAGGAATTGTTCCATACGATCATATGATTTGCTCGACGCCTGTCAGTAACTTCAAGAACATGATTTCGTTGTTGAAAAGGAGAGCTGATAGCAGTGTTTGTCCCCTTTACAGCTCTTCCGTCTATGGCTGGGAGTAACGGAATATCTCTTCAGAAATGAAGACCTCCTCAATGAGGTCCTGGATATCGCCATTGACGACAACACGTTCCGCTCTGATGACCTAGAGTTCACATTTGCTGCACGGGTGAGTTCATTTATAGTACATACGTCGAATGCGTTTTTCTCCCGCTTCTACATGTCATGCGATACTCTCAGATTCATTTTTGTCGGGCTTGAGACAAAATGTCTCCTCATTTCTTATATTCCACTTCCTTGGGAACCCCGCGTCTGTTGCTCCGGTTTAGACTCTTATTCTGAATATGTCAAATATTGCAACGCATGCTTCCTGTTTGATCCCAGTGGAACACCCCAGACTCCTACCACCCGCCCTCCTCCACTTATGTTATGTTTCTCCTGTGTCTAACTTAAATGTGTACCGGATGGTACTCAATAGGCTTGGTCCGAATGCGTCTCCTTTGGCGACTTCGCGTCATACCGCGATCGTTTCGAAAAGATACAATCATACTTCTCCCCTCGTTTCCCAGAAGCCGTCAGACTGGGTAATGAAATGATGAAGACTATTTTGGATAAAACCACCACTAAAGCCACTATGAGTTCCTCCTAAAATGAGTGAGACGACATCATGACATCATAATATAAGAAGCCAACGAGGTCGGCATAATTCCGGGAACTTATTATCATCATTCTTATTCTTAATTTTTCTCTTTTACGATGAAGAAATGAAATAAAGGGGAAATTCGGTAAACCTTTTATCCATTTACTCCCATGTCTTCACCAGGCGAGGTGCAGAATGATAGGTTTTCGGGCAGGCTATCGTTTTTATATCAATACTTATACGATTCTTCTTAAGGGATCCAATATCGTCATCTTGACATACAGTTCCGCGCTTTTCGGGGTTTACATCAAGTTGGATCCTTTTTTTATATAATTTTTGGGAAACTTTCTTAGCGCTTCCTGTGAAGCATCTGCACAGACCACTCACTATACATCAATGGAGTAGTTTTGTGGAGACTCAGATGTTCAGATGTTCCTGCTCCGGACTAGTGTGAGAGCTCAATGTCTTCACCTCCAACCTCACCTTTGGCATTATCCTTCCCACCCTCAAACCACCCATCCATTCTCCTCGTCGAGTACCCACTAGCCACTTCTGCAGAAGGGTTCTCCTTGTGTTCGGCCGTTCTATTGGGGGCAAATAGCACCCAATGTACTCTATCGCCGGTACCAAATGCAAAAAGATGAAGGGTTTGCGGAGCATGTTCAACAACCCGAGATGATACTGAGAGTATTGAGGACATACTGAAGTTGTACTGAATTTCTCACCCCAAAGAGTTCGGAAGAGGGGTATTTAACTATCCAATTAGGCAAGAGGAATGGAAACAGAGTGAGCAGTTCCCGAAACTAGCTCTGCTCCAACTATGTCTTTTTCCGCAGGAAACACAGAAATGCCCACATAGCTTCCCATGTGCAAAGCATTGAGAATCATGATAGAATGATAAGGAACGCTGATCCGAGTCTTCTGCCAATGAATTGACAGAATTAAATCCGCCGTTTGAAAGGATGCCTGCTCAGAAAGCATAACCAATCTCTTTCGGGAGCAGTGTGAAAGCCTCATATGAGTGCATGCCCCAAATCACCATTGACATTCTGGGTCATTAGGGGCCCTTTTATAACCAAGGATGATGAATTCAGCCTGCTTGGTAGGTAGAGAGCGATACACACAGGTGCGGCTGATTGCAAAATTGGGATATCCGTTCGGTACGCAAGTAAGGAACCGCATGGTGTTAAAAGGCCAAGGAGAAGAAAGTAAAAATAATGCAGTTGAGATTCTTGTCGGAAGATGGGACAAAGGTTGGATTTCAATCGGGGGTGCAGGAATATTTATCTGAATAATTTGCAGTTTTGAGGAATTCTTATATCTCCCTATTGATTGTATGAAATAGTTCCCAATAACCCAATGAATTTGGACCTATTTCGGATTCGTACCTCCAATTTTAATTTTACACACCCTGTAACTTATAGTTGAGAAGAAATCCTGAGTAACTCTCTTCCAACGGGGTTGGTGAGCCGCTGGGATGCAAGGATAAATCTGGCTGCAATTCCACCATCATTGGTGCATATCTCAAGCTGTTTGAAAGGGCTCAACCAAATACAAGTATCCATTTCGAATCTCTCCCACTGGAAAGCCGGAAATCCCACAACTGCCAGCGTCGAAGCGACTCACTTGAAAACATGACTTAACGTTCAAACAGCATTCACCAGGAAAACCCCAGCGAACTAAGCGCTAGCAAGACTAATTTCTATATTGATTCTAGTCCCTCATTGTGGGGTTCTTATGTTACCCAGGATTCAGCACGTCCCGGACCCCACAAAACGTCAAATCGCCCAAGGGTAGCATGCACGCGAGCATTCTTGCTCACCGAGGCAAAAGCCCCTGGGGTTACAAGTAAAAAGTGTCACGGTTGTACTGTTGGTTTGCAAGCGTCTTTTCGTCTGTGAGTTATCAGTGGAAGGGAAAGCAGTACACCCTTGAATGAAATCCTGGCTGCAGGAGGAACAAGCATCTTCCAACTCGGCCAGCATACCACTGGAGGAAAGGGGCGGCGAAAAAGCAATGCACAGATGCGCTCATAACAGACGGGTTTGGAGCTCACAGGCTGTTCACGTCATTAGCCATATGAACATCAATACGTATGAAGTCACACGGGCCTTGTTGGATACAGGACCGCTCAGATGCTCTTGGGACCAGCGGTTAGCTTTCAGATGGTCCTATACATCTAACAAATTCTCTCGATGCTTCTCCATTTTTGCGATTCATTAGCGTAACCCCGCAATCCTTTCTTTCCCATTTGCATTGAGCCATATATCCTCTAGTACTTCTGGAAAATAGATGCACACAGGAAACCGCAACTGCCGCTGGCAGGATATGCACAGAGCTTTGCAAGCCCTTGGTCGCATCGAAGAGAACACACGGCATAGTCCCCTGTGTTCAAAGGCTCGAGGCAACAACGTAAATTGCCATGCCGGCTAACATTTTCCGGGGAAGACGACTTTTCTCCTGACTCTATACCCAGGAACGTGCAAGGTAAATGCAAATCGAAAGATGTAAGAAAGCAATCCTAGGGAGATTCGTATATCTTGTTAGAGCAGCCATGGCATTGCCAGATAGGAGACAGCTTGTCATTGGTTTGATTAAGCTGTGCCCGTGTTTGAGCGCTCTGCTGCTCTATGAATGTAGTAAGCTTATTTGTGAAGAAGAGGGTATCTAACTGCTAGCTGTGGAAGAACAGGCTGTAGAGGAGTCTGTGGAGGGTGTGATTATCAACAATTACACAGGCACACCATACTACCATATTGGGGAAGAAATTTCATTCTCAGAACCCCGAGGAAAGTGATATTGGCACCTCCGCTGGACGCTAAGAAATACGATCCACCCCTGGCCCGAGTTAGTAACAAACTGCCAATAATGGCCAATTGCATCTTGTATTGGCTCCCTATTGTGGACTTCTCATTTTTCCCCCGCTTAAGTGGGAGGAAATGACTTATGAGCGCGGAAAAAGGCCTGCACATCGACACAGCTTCAACCTGATCTTTGATGTATTTTCGTGTACTTCCATTCATGATAGCTTACGTGTTCCAGGGTGATGAGTGAGCCGATTCATTGACTCTGACGATTCTGTCCCAATCACGAAGATCAAACCCATTTTCAAACTATCAAATTCATATATTAATTTCTGCTGGTAATCTACTCCCGGGGAACGCAGATTACTTTTCTTTTCCGGATAGGATTCCATTTCAAGTTCTTAAAAGGATGGACAAGTCACAAAATATCAATGCGCCCTCGGCCACCACCATCGATGGCCCGGAAGGATCTCAAGTGTTAGTTTTCAGCGAAGCAACAACACAAGAGCAACAAGTCAAATGCTTCAAGGTCGTAGGATCGAGTTTCGGCTGGCCTCTGCTGGCCTCTGCCGGCCTCTGCCGGAAGCGGCCTATATAGAGAGGGAGAAGTACCTCACAGGGCTGCCGCTCACGCGCACAGGCGGTGCTGGAGTGCGATGGTGGTGTTTTCGAACAGAAGACTGGGGGCATGTTGTTGCGACTTGCAAAATTTTGAATCGGGATTTGCTCGCCCGGACTGCTGATGGAGTAACTAGAGATAGACAAGGCTATTGCATTGGGGTAGTCGCTACTGATAAACGATATCGTCGACTGGGGCTTGCCGAATTCCTCTTGAGGGTTGTTGCCTAGTGGATGGATGGACCTGGAGAGGCTGATGCGAGTATGTTGTACTCAAGTATTGGGAAGGTATGGAAAAAGAGAAAGGGATGTTGTGTTACTTTTCTGACGTTTCTAAATAGTATTACACCAACAAAGGGTGGAGAATGCTCCCTGCATTCCAATCGGCTTTGTCTGCGAGTCAGTCTCTGGCATCGCCGAATAGATCGGAGCTCCCACAAACGAAACCTTTGATGCTGGATGGCATCCCAGCACTATGTGCTCGAGATATTGGCGCCATAAAAGTTGAGTTTTCTAGTTATAAACCCGCTGCGGCTGAAATCCTCATGGCCGTCCTTCCTTCTGCCAACCTTGTCAGCTGGCTACAAGAACGAGCTGCATTCATCAGTAGCAAGACCAACGGTGAAGTCCCCCTGATCAAAGGCGCCATCTGCGAAGATGCTAAGAAGTGGTTGTTCTGGAATCATGACTTCCCAGATCGCGAGTTGACTATCCAAAGGGTCGTTACACCGACCAAGGCGGCGGAGGCCGAGGATGAGGAGAGCCAGAAGGAGACAACCCTGGCTTTAGCCAGCCTTTTGTTGGCAGCTTTGGACGAGACTCAGAAGTGGAAGTTGCATAAGACCGTCATATGGAGGAGTCCAACGCCCGAGCTGAACCGTGCTATTCACATGGTCCAGGAACACTTTGGAGTGGGCGTGACGAATGAAGAACGAGTAAATAGAAATGTCCCTTCAGTGAGGTGGAAGGGAGGGGATGAGGAGAAGACCAAACAAATTGAGATTTGTCACAATGAATTCTATGCTTGGAGCTGAGGAGTTCCTGACCTGATCCACTTTATTCGCGTATCTAGTCGAAAATATTAGCCCTACAATTTGTATTTTAAACCCTTACCGGCTTATCCCACTAGAATATCTGAAAAATTTGAATAGGGGGAGCCAAATGGGCAATAGGATATATCCGAAATGGCTCCTCCATATGTCAACCTCCTTTACCACCCCTGTTTTGAGAAAATTTTTCTCTGTTCTGTAGGTGAGATATTCACACCCACCCTGCTCTGCTTGTAATTGAGCTGCGGCAATGGGATTTCAACAGATGCAGCTTGGTTAGGAATGGTCGTGGCATCTGAAATATAAAAGAGCACGAAAAAATTGACACTGGCTAGGGAGGAAGGGAGGGGGAGTGGCAGGGGGGGTTGTAGCATGGTTCCACCCGCGTTGTTTTTCCACCGATCAATCACTTTTTGAGTTGAAGTAAATACTGGGTAGCGGGTCACTGTGCTCGCCATATTCTCCCGATCTGATTGATGCATGGAGTGTTTGAGAGATAATGCACTTAATTATGATGTAGAGCAAAATCGATATGCAACTGAGACACTGGAATGAGTGGGGAAATATATGGAATCGGCCAGGTTTCCCCACATTCCACCATTCCTTTTGAAAACAAAATGCGCAAGACTGGGTTGGCCATTGTCCCGGAACATCACGGTATGGGAAATTGAGGCTGTCAGAATCCACGCAGGCTCGCAAGACAGGTATTGTATGTCACTGCCGACAGGTTGAGTGTCCATGCGCAATTTGAGTTCGCCGGAGGATTTCCGAGAATGGCAGGCTGAAGAACTTAAGAAATCATACGTATGAATTCGCATCGATAGGCATTATCGCCTTTCCCAATTTTCCCAGGACAGGGTGGTATCCCGGAAGGATATTTCGGATGCGCGTGCACTGGCCAAGGAGAAATTCTTTCCTTGCCCACAGGTTCCAGATCCCTGCGTCTTCATGCATGACCGGAGGGCTGTCTAGATATCGGCAAGGACCCGCCTCCACTCGGTGAAGCGGATCTTTTGTCATGACCACGATTTGATCAGCAAGCATAGTAGCGGTGATTGGATTCTGTGAAACAAGAGCATATGAACGTGATGACTTGTACAGCACGTCGAAATCAGTCACAGAGGCTCAATTAGAAAGTGGGTGTATGGGGTTATTGAACGTTTTCTGTCCTGATTAGTAGCCTGCAGGACTTGCTGGTTTGCAAAGAAAGGGGAAATTTGACACAGTTTCGGTGTGATCGAGAACTTCAACGTGAACCATCCGCATCTTTCAGGAGTGCAGGGCAGGACAGATCTGCGACAAGTGACCCCAGATCACGGTTCGCAATGTTGCAAGAATAAAAATGCGGCATGTTTTTCCCAATTGGATGACAATGCAGGTATTCTTGTTATGCAGTGTAATTGACGGATTTTCGGCCGTACCTCCTGGACTGCAAACTGACGTGATGGTCGTCATCATCGTGGCTGTGGAAGTTGGCCAAGGACAAGGTAGAGCGAGAATTGCTTAATTGCATCCTATATCGTCGCCAGATTTCAGGGATGGAGATCGATGACGGGTCGATGGCATCCACAGAATCAGCCACAACGATCCCAATTGTGTCACGGACTTATCTGCGCCACGGCTGCTGTTGCGTGTCTTGTTTCACAGTGGCCTGCAGGGATTTCGAGAAATATCATGGATAGTTTCATGCTGGGTCCAAGACAAGAGCAAGATCGTTTGCGTCTTCCAGCCTTCCAGGGCCTGACACAACAACAGAAATTCCGGAGACATTTTCATCCGCTTGGTGCTTTATCTTCCCTCGGCGAACTCTTGGCCAAGTTCACTTCACCCAATACGCTGTAATGTATTGATAAAATTCCCACAGCCAAAGAAATAAAGTGGTGAATTAGCTCCAGCGGCTTGTCTAGAACAAGCCAATGGACCGAGTCTGGTGCCCAACTTCAAGGCTGCTTCAGTTCTTGCCTTTTGATCCCTGGAGAGGATCAACTTAGCCCTGATGTTCGTCGACAGCAATCGAGCAAGGGAAATCAGCTTTGCAACTTTCCCAAGCAACCCTAGGAAGAGGAACGGGTTTACTCCGTACACCCCCTGCGAATACAGTCAGAAGTAAAAATAACGTCCTTGTAGGAGCTACTAATGAAACGTGAAAACGCTCCTCAAAACCGGCCAGCATCGTTGATTCCCACATTCCTCCCATGTTTTGCTTCCAGTCTCCCTGCAAGATTCCACATAGCCAACTGGTTTCAGCGTGGCTGCGCGTATCTAGTGGTTCCCGTGCGATTGGCTGGGCGAGTAGAGCGTACAGTCGCTTGAATCAGTGCAGCCAGGTCTGTCCCGTTGATGTGGGGGTTTTGAATCTCTGCTGCGTTACCTTTTTGGCGCACCAGGAGGCTTCGCAGGGATGGTTAGTCGCACGGGAGAAGTAAATTAATTTCAAAATTGAAGCAAATATATGAACCCTGGCTTGCGCCGCAGGAACTTTTTGATTTCGTATCTGGCGAAGTTTGGAGTGTGTGATAATTTTATTTGCGTTCTTGCTGGATCGTGTTGCTGCTTACCTATAGGTGCTCACTCTCTACCCCTTTCGATGCAACCCATCAGGCTGTCAGTTTGCAATTCTCAATGTGAAGCAACTATTGACTACAATTCACCCGCCTGTTCAAATTTTACTTCAAGGACCATCTTACAACACAAACCGATGCCTTGAAACCATTCACTTCAATCGATAAGGTGTAGATTTGTCTTCATATACACTCTCACCATGAGGCTGTTCTCTTCAGTTGTCACAGCAGTGATGCTGGTCAATGGTAAGCGTCCTTTTACTTCCTATCGATGTAAGTCATAAAAGGAACAGAAAGGAAAAGATTGGCCGTTTTAACATTTCCTCCCACAGCGTCAATGGCGTTCATCCAGACAGCGCAATTCCGCCCTGGCGATGAAAAGGGCATCTCTTACAGCGTCAACGTCCCACCTTCCACAGCCTCCAGGGGTCAAGGCCCCATATATTTCCAAATGGAAGCTCCCAGTGATACGACTGAATGGTTCTCCTTGGGTCAAGGAACGGGAATGGCAGGTGCCAATATCTTCGTTGCCTACATCTCATCGGACAAGAAGAACATAACTCTTTCCCCGCGCCTAGGGCGCGGCCATATGCTCCCCGATTACAACCCCTCTGCCCAAGTCCGCCTCCTGGAAGGCTCGGGAATCTCTAACGGAAAAATTATCGCAAAAGTGCTCTGCGAAAGCTGTATGAGCTGGGATGGCGGCTCCATGAACCCTACGGATACAAAGAGCCCCTGGATCTGGGCCGTGAAGCGCGGCAACCCTCTCAACTCCGCCGATGTCGAAGCGTCAATTCCCTTCCACGACAACCAGGGCACGTTCACTTTCGACTTGACAGTGGACGCTGATCGCGAGGATGGCTCAAGTGGTTCAACGGCCGGCATCTCCCAAAGGACCATAGACATCAAACGTGTGACACATGGTATCATCATGTCCGTCGTCTTCGTCATTCTCTTCCCAACTTTCGCCCTGACCCTATTCTTGGTCCCCTACTCGAAGACAGCCACACGCATCCACGCACCCCTCCAGATCCTCACGCTCTGTGCCGCCGTCACCGGGTTTGGTGTCGGTATCTCCTTGGGCCTTGACCTGAAGAGGGCAACCATGTACCACCCCATAATCGGGTATGTGGTTATTGGCTGGCTATTGCTTTTCCAACCACTCCTAGGATACTGGCACCATCTCAACTACGTGCGCACTCGCGGGCCTAGCGCTATGGGGCTGGTACATCGCTGGGTAGGCCGGAGCATGCTCGTGTTGGGTATCATAAATGGCGGTTTGGGATTTAAATTTAGTGGCATTGGAAAAGAAACGGTGCCTAAGTCCGGCGTTATTGTCTACGCAATCCTTGCAGGGGTCATAAGTGTGGCGTATATTATTACTTTGACATGGGGAACTTCGAAGAAGAAGAAAAACCAGCAGCGGTTACGATCCGATGAGTCGTTCTTTGATAGTGAAAACATAAAGCTGGCAGACGGAAGGAGAAGGGGATGAATAATAATATGAAAAATGGAATGGCCGAAGGAGAGGTTGGGACGTTGATCGTCAGATATATGCATTTTCCATGCGGCCCGCACCTAGATCTGACATACCTTCCTTATTTTCCTTTTTGTTTCGTGCTACGAACTTATGACACATACAGGCGCTTTGCTGGGGATTTTCTACTATGATGCTTGTCTCCTTTTCTTGTTACTGTAAACTTCAAGTCTTTTCGGCAGGTGAAACTTTTATTGTGGATGGTTCTGGGTTTGATCATTCTTTTGCAGAACTAGTTAAAACTTTTATGAAATATCCATTTTCTCATCTATATCCTTCTTGCGCTTTTTCTTTTCATCTCTTTCCATCTGATTATTTGAGTGAGAGAGACTCTTGTATCGGGCATGTTTTTTTTTAAAGATGTAGAAATCATCCAGGACATCACAATTTCAAGTGTTCGGCAAGATAATTTTGAACGCATTAGCTGATGCAAAATGTGAACGTATGACTGTCCAGATTTGCGGTGTTCTCCCAGTAATGCTCTGCAGATGCAGAAATTGCCATTATGTTAAATAAGTTGTTCAGAGGAAAAGCCGCTTTGGAATTTTTCCTATCAACCTGCTGCAGCAAGGAGGGCGAGGTCTCATTGTGCAAAATGAGTTGTGCAAAAGGACTCAGCGAGCGTAACCTCCAAACCTATGAATGGCTGCTGTGTCCGTGTCGACTTTGCGATAGCATTTCGTGTTCCAAACAAGGACCCAGCAGAAAACCTTCGAGCAATTCTGCTTTTCTCAAGCAAGTTAGCAACCAGGCCAGCATCAAGCACATGCGCATGCAGCTCAGATATGCGAGCTTCTCTGGCCTAAATGGATGTGTTTTAGCGGCTTGATGCTTAACTCAGCTTTTATGTGAGGTGTCCATCCCTCATAACTTCTGCCATGAGGGTGAGATCTCAATATTGAGGGTTTCATTTTCCGTTTCCAGCTGGTGCAAGGGTTTTTGTTCCATGCCTCCATATTCCGAATAATCCAAAACATATTCAAATTCTGCGCATATCTCTAGACACACACTGGAGCTTGTAACCTGGTTATTCTTGAAACTCAATATAAAGAAGCAAATAACATCCCGCGGTAGGGTTATAGGATTGTCTTCCAGTCCCCTATAGATCCCGCAGGGCATGTTGAAGGGGGCAGATGATTGAGACAATCGTGGTGAATTACATTCAGCCACCTAAGTTGGAAAAAGTAGATCGTCAGTCACACGGCGGGCAAAAAGTCCCAGATAGCTTTCATCTAAAATTTCCTGATTCATACTCTGCGTAGATTGTGGGTATATAAAATAGTCTAGAACAACCCAGCCGCGCTCACTTAAAGGTGAAGTCAGTTAGTGTTTCTCCGCAAGACATCGCGGAATTCTGGTGGCAGTACTTTACGATGCTCAACAGCAGAGTTCGCTCTATATCCAAGTTAACCTCAGTCAACCTGGGCTGAGAGCCTTTCAGCATCTGACGCATGGACCTCGAGTTCTCTGGGCCGCAGCTTCAAATGAGCCCAGTACTATCCCGGATACAATCTGTGGTTCGAAGCCAGTTTTCCCGGAAGTCCTTTGTTTGAATGGGCTTCGTTTTTGATATGAGGAGCTACTATCGAGCCTCTAGCAACCCCATAACGTCATCCACAGCAGTTGGAGGTAGTTAGATTTGTATCCAGCTTTGAGGACGGTTGTTAGGTGCGGGCGCTAATCCCTAAGTTATTCTGAGGTCTCGCCATCTGTCCTCTGGTACTGGATGGGATAGGTTATTGTGCTTTACGAATCGCCTTAGTAAACGGTATCTTCATAACACTGTGGGTACAGGGCCATTCCAGTAATATGTTCGTTTGCAGCTTCGAATGGAGCAATCTTGGCTGGAGATGCCGCACTTTGAAGGTTGTCTGATTGGGATTGCCAACTATGAGCCATCACATCATGAAAGTTTTGAGACTGCCACCATAGAAGAGGAATGTTAGCTTTCCTATTGGAGATATCGCAAGGGTCTAGCTTTTGGATCTTTTATTTTGAATGTTGGAAAAAGTGAAAACTTGACTTTTAGTTCTTTATAAGAGAGTAGGGTTGAACTTCGGCCGAGCACAGGGATCCGACATTATAAAATGATGTGATGCCAGACCTCGTACCGTTGCTCGAACGAAGCTGGAGACATTTTCATCTACAACTGGGAAGTCATGCAGTTCGGCTGATTCGTTTGGAGGATCCGACAAATGATAAGATCACTCTGAGCGCAAGCTCCCAGTAAACATCAGCTCAGCGCCATATATTTCCCTAAGAGACTTTCAGCAACACACGAATAAAATATTAAGATTCATTAAACATGACCAGTTATATACATACATGTAGTTATTTCATAAACAGATTGTTTTGGAGCGTAACAATTCATTATGTTTGCACCATCAGGCTATGAGAGGGCCACAAAACCTCCGCACGGTCAATGAGTGATCCAGATATATGAACGTCAAGCCGAGTAATATGTTCCTACACACAGACTGCTTCTCTAGGCTGATCTGGGTCCATCTGGCGCAGGGTGTGGTTGTCCTAAGCGAGGCTAAGCACGTTGACTGATAGCTTCCCTCGACGCGCTTGGGGGTGGTGGACAGCCTCAGATTGGGTGATCGCTGGATGCTTAAATATTTACATCCACTCCCTCGCCTTTCACCTTTTCTCTTCTCACTCCTTGTCCCTGGATATCAGATATCCCCGCCCCACCAACAAGAGCAGATATTTGTGCTCTTGTGAGAAGTGTAAGTGCGCCTTGCAGCCATCATCCCGATATTTCTTTGCTGTCTCTGTTCTCTCCACAAGCTGCTGCTGTATTGGACGTTTAACCACCGCACCAAACCCCAACCAGCATCCTGTGATGTTGCTGCTCCCTCAAGTAACGCCCTTTCATTTGAATGCCGGCCTGAATGGCTTAAACTTTTGAGACCTGTCCTATAATTTGGCCTTCGTTGCTGACCATCCCGCCACTGTGCAACCTATTTAGATGCTCCATTCGTCACCGGGAAAGATGGACCCTCATGTTACCATCAAAAAATCACATTTGGACACGCTCCTTCGCAGGTACGATTTTGACGGATATATTCCCCTGATATCCCCTTAAATGCTACTCAATTGGCCCTCAATTACTTGGTCAGGCTTCCGGAGTTCATCACTGGCTTCGTTGAAATGCTATTTATTTATAACTCGACCCCCTTTATTTGTTCGTCGTTGGTGATTGAGCGCTAATGGAGACTCTGGCTGGATTCCAGGGCGGAGTTGGTGTGTATCCCATATTCACAGCTTGACGCAGTTCGTTCAGTGCCATTTGACGCTCTAACAGGAGCCCCGTGCTTTGTGGAACTATAGCATGGCTCGTCCGCCGATTTTGATGCTTCTTTGAACGTTGTGACTGTTACGATCTCGAAATCAGAGCACGAGCTTCTTGTGAGTTTGTTTCTTTGTGAGTTAGTTAACCTTGTGTGATTATATAATTGCTAACCCGTTGTTGAAGCTTCGTAGATCCTGTGAATATGGTACCGTACATTCCTGGCTTCTCGAACCTTCAGTTTTTATACTCTCTACGCATTCCCCATATAGCGCTATACCTAACAAGTTAAATATGGTAGATAATTTGAAGCAGGCCCTGTATGACGGGGGTGTAACCGAAGAAGCTCTTGAAGTGAGAGAACTCGAGTGCAACCGCGCAAGGTCATACCGCTTACTGAGTTACTAGACTTTGATAAGCGGCCCCGGAAACTCGGAGGAGCAAGGAGAGTCACTCGAAAGTACCCTAGACAGCAAAGCTGCAGTGGAAATTAGAAATTTCCCTCGCCATCCTCTACACCAGATCTCGAATGATCCGAGTAGCAAAAATACAACACCCAACAGCGGTTGGCCTCAGAATGGTGCGGGCAGGATCCAACGGGCTTTTAACAGCAACGGCCGTCAATCGAGTCTGGAGAACGACGTCACATCATTCCCGAGCGATGAAAAAGATGATGGGCTATTTGTTGGCACTACGCAGCCTAGGCAAGACCGGCAGCAACCGTCAATAGAAAACCGCACCCTACTTCTAAAAGGCCTTCCTGAACGGGCGACTCACCGTGATGTTGTTTCTGTGATTCGAGGTGGCGCGCTGGTAGACGTTTTCCTACGACCAAGAGAGCGTCAGGCGAGCGTCTCATTTGCTGAGGGCAGAGCTGCTCAAGAATTTTTGGCGTTTACTAAACGACAAGACCTTTTTATTCTTGACAAGCTGGTGAGACTCGTCGACACATCACGATATCCTCTCTATATGTGTACTGACTGCTTAACGAATAGATTGAGGTCACTTGGAGTGATCGCCAGTTTTTCCTTGCTGGCCTTGTTGCTACTAAGCTGGCGAATGGAGCCTCACGTAATCTGGTAATCCGCTCGGTGCACCCAAACCTGACAGAATCCAGGATTCGTGATGACTTGGAGCATATCCATAACCTTGTGGTGATCGATATCACTTTCGATAAGGGGAATGCGTACATCTCGACAAACTCAGTACATAATGCTTTGTTTGCACGAACTTGCATGATGTCTCGTTTGGCGTACAAGGGCATGAAAATTGAATATTATCCAGATGAGTGCGCTGGCCCATTGCCGAAGGTGCAGTATGTTCCAAAGAAGGTTGCACCGTCTCCTCCAGTGAAGAAAGCGACTCCAATGGCCAACCGCTTTCAGATGCTTAACATGGATGGGGCAAATGACTCCGACGAAGAAGATGAACTGACGAGCACTACCTCTCTCGGTGGCAACCTAAGCTGGGCCAACTCCAGCATTGCAGTTTAGTTGCAGATTTGCTTCTTATCTAACAGCCACATCATTAATCTTATGACTAGTGGAACGAAATGGTTTGGAAGTTGTTTTCATCGATACTACGAAAGGTCAACAGACAAGCGTATCTTTCAGCTCGTGGAATGAACCCCCAGGCACGGGGCTTATGATAATTTCTTCATTAT